TGACTGGATGGAGAAACATTATCGTCGAGCAAGGTCCCGAGGCTTTCGCCAAGGCCATCCGAAACTATAAGGGCTGTCTTATTATGGACACCACCTGGCGAGACGCCCACCAGTCCCTTCTCGCGACCCGTCTGCGTACTGTCGATATGGCCAACATTGCCCGAGAAACCTCCCACGCTCTTCAGAACGCCTACTCTCTTGAATGCTGGGGTGGTGCCACTTTTGATGTTGCTATGAGGTTCTTGTACGAGGACCCCTGGGCGAGGCTGAGAACTTTGCGAAAGTTGGTTCCCAACATTCCTTTGCAGGCTCTGGTTCGAGGTGCCAACGCTGTTGGATACACCTCTTACCCCGACAATGCCATCTACGACTTTTCCAAGAAGGCCGTTGAGGCTGGTCTCGACATCTTCCGAGTGTTTGACTCTCTCAATTATGTTGAAAACTTGAAGGTTGGTATCGACGCCGCCAAGAAGGCTGGTGGTGTGGTTGAGGGTACCATCTGTTACTCTGGTGACGTGGCCAACCCAAAGAAAACCAAGTACACCCTTCAGTACTACCTTGACCTCACTGACCAGCTTGTCAATGAGGGAATCCACGTTCTTGGTATCAAGGACATGGCTGGTCTGCTCAAGCCCGAGGCTGCCAAGATGCTCATTGGCGGCATCCGAAAGGCCCACCCTGATCTCCCTATCCACGTCCACTCCCACGACACTGCGGGTATCGCTGCCGCCAGTATGATTGCATGTGCTGCCGCTGGTGCCGACGTCGTCGACGTTGCCATTGACGACCTTTCCGGCCTCACTTCCCAGCCTGCCATGGGTGCCGTCGTCGGTGCTCTCGAGCAGAGTGGTCTCGGTACCGGTATCTCGCACGAGAACATCCAGGCCTTGAACCAATACTGGTCACAGATCAGGAAGCTCTATCAGTGCTTCGAAGCTAACGTCCGTGCTTCCGACTCTGGTGTCTTTGACCACGAGATGCCTGGTGGCCAGTACACCAACCTGCAATTCCAAGCTTCTTCGCTTGGTCTTGGTACACAGTGGTTGGATATCAAAAAGAAGTACATTGAAGCCAACAAACTCTGTGGCGACATTGTCAAGGTCACCCCGTCATCCAAGGTCGTTGGTGACTTTGCCCAGTTCATGGTTTCCAACAACCTCTCCGCTCAAGACGTCTACGACCGTGCCGGCACTCTCGACTTCCCTTCGTCTGTCGTGGAATTCTTCCAGGGTTACCTTGGTCAGCCGTACGGCGGCTTCCCCGAGCCTCTTCGTTCCCAAATCATCCGGGACAAGCCTAGGATCGACGAACGCCCTGGCTTGAACATGCCCCCTCTTGATCTCAAGAAGATCAAGACCGAGTTGAGGGAAAAGTACGGCCCTCATATCTCTGACTTTGATGTCGCCAGTTACTACATGTACCCCAAGGTCTTTGAGGAGTTCCAAGGCTTTGTTGCCAAGTATGGCGACCTCAGGTATGTCTTTTTGCTTGTTGTACAGGACGAAGGTTGACTCTTCTCAGTGTCGTCCCTACTCGGTACTTCCTCGCCAAGCCCGAGATCAACGAAGAGCTTTCCATCTCTATCGAACCCGGAAAGGTGCTTACTATCAAGCTCTTGGCTATCGGTCCTTTGGACCAATCCCGAGGTACACGAGAATGCTTCTTCGAGCTTAATGGTGAGACTCGAGCCGTCGTCATCAACGACACCAATGCCGCCATCGAGCACGTCTCCAGGGAGAAGGCTTCCAGTGACCCCGGAAGCGTCGGCTCGCCCATGGTATGTCTTTCATCAGTGTGTATGTGGACTGAGCTAAATCAACCATAGTCTGGTGTTGTGGTCGATGTCCGGGTCAAGGAGGGACAAGCCGTCAAGGCTGGTGACCCCTTGTGTGTCCTGTCGGCTATGAAGATGGAGAGTGTCGTGTCGAGCCCAGTGTCCGGTACAGTAAAGAGGGTGCTCGTTGGAGAGAACGACTCTATCGGTCAGGGTGACTTGGTGGTCGAAGTGACGCACTAGATGGGAAAGCATAAAGATAAGAGCGGTGATCGAGTTCGTGAGAAGTAAAAAGGTTGTCTCCATTCAGGTTTTTGTGTAGATTTTTGCAAAATATAGGCTGCCAATGATGATGCAATGATTGTCGTGTCCTCTGCCATCTTGATGTACTGTTGTATTAAAGATGGAGATAAACACGTCGCGACGGGAAACGCGTCGCGTACCTGAGCGCGTCGACATCATTTCGACGCTTCCTCTTCCTTGTACTCTTGTCGTCTTTCACCTCCAAATAACGACTATATCTGGGAGTAGCTGCAAATCATACCCCAGAGTCTTCGACCATACTCACGACTATGGATCAGACAATAGAGTGAGTCATCACGAGCGATAGGAAGTCCGCTCAAACCATGAAGCGTGAGTCAGACCAGGCCTGTCTGGTATCTGACTCCTCTCCCCCTCTCTCGCGTCAACACTTCCGCCATCCGCCCTCGACTGCCCGTGCGCGGCCATGTTCCTTCCCTACATTCTCTCTGTCTGAACACAATCTCAGTCAATTTCGACCTGTTCGAGCCTTCATCATTCGATGGAATGAGCCCACTGCTGTTAAAGCGCATCTTCAGCCGCGTTCGCTCGGATAGAGAGTACGAGGATCACCAGGAAGAGACGGCCGTTTCCCTGAATCCCGACGAAGCGACCATCTGGGCGTATAATGCCCTACTACAGGGGCGAGACGCTGGCTCCTTCAATCTGGGTCTCCCTCTTAAGAGTACTCTGGCGCACCTGCGCCCCAATAAACACGCGCCAGAAGCTCAGCACCCCCTAAACCTATTACCTTCCCTGTTCCAGAACCCCAAGTCTATCGTCAACACATCCTTGCTCACGTCGTTGACGTTGGATGCGATGGACGATCTCATAGACGACCAATCTGTACAGGCTTTGCGGTACTGTACCCAGCTGACAGCCCTCTGGATGAAGGGCTGCAAAGTAACCGACTCTGGTCTGAGGCTTCTTGCCAGTGCGTTGTCTCTGCCTGGAAATCGAGACCCCAAGGATGGGATGGGAATGTGGAGACTGAGGGCGTTGTATCTAGCGGGCTGCTATGGAGTGTCGGACAGGAGCGCAAAAGTGTTTGCAAAGTGGCCAGGATTGGTGACGTTGGGTAAGCAGGCTGTCCTTTTTCGGATCGCAGCTAATGCGATACAGATATACGAGATACATCGTGTACTGAAGTGTCCATGGATGTCTTGAACAGGGCAAATCAAACACTCTTTGCGGGGCAGATTCCCGACTTTCAACCTTGTACAGACGGGTTGGTCCCTCTGTTTGCTTCCAATCTTCCTGCTGCCGATACTATATCGAACCTATGCTTGACACTCATCAAGCTTCCTAAAGAACGTCCGGATCTCGTGACCCTCAATGTCACGTCATCCTCAAAGCCCATCCATCCTCACTTCCTCCCCTTCATTACTCGGTCCGCTTTCTCGAACAATCAGCCATCTCATCACTCTGTGTATTTGGATGGCGAGGATCGCGTCTTTGGTCAGGATCTTACGGCGATCCACACTAGGAGTGTAGCTCCGGAACCTCGAAATCCCGCATCTTCGTTCGACTTTGAGGCGCGAGAACGTAACAAGGCCCCAGAAAGCAAGGACAAGAAGGCCGCTACGCCTGCCCCCGAATGGGCGGAAAAGCGTCAAGTGCAGTGCGATGGCAACCAGGGGTGGGAAGAAGGGGTTGATCGGGCGGAACGCTTCTACGGGTATACCCTTCCAGCAGCCAATGCTGCTAAAGCTGCTGGGATTGGTGAACAGCGTAAAGCCGATGCCAGGGCGAGGGGAGAAGGAGATAGACGTTTGATGATGGTCCGCATGGTTCCTGAGACATGGGATCAGCTGGCATATGCCAAGGTAGCTATGCCAATGCAAGCAGCCATCGGCGGCAAAACACAAGTGGCCCATAAGAGGAGGGGCCTAGAGGATATTCTGTCAGCCACGCAGCATGCTGCGAAAGGCAGCCAATCAGAAGATCACTCGACCGAAACAAAAACCATAGTGGAAAGAGACTCATCACCAGTCTATGCGGGCAGTTCCAGCCCGAGTGCATCTCAACCCCCGTCAGAGAGCGATTCTGGGGGCATCGTGCGTCACAAGCAGCCGCACAGGGTACTTGATGCTGGCGGTCAGACTATTTCGGATGTTCCCTCGTCCGACCCGTCGGAGCAATATGTGTACAAAGCGCCCCCCACCAACAAGATCCTTTCTACAATGTATCGCAAGAAGAAGTCGGCTCGTCCTGCACCGCCACCTCCTTCCAAACCCTCCCCTTTCGCCCCGCACTGGCGGCACGTGGCGTCCTTGTTGGGCTCGTCTTCCAAATCGAGTATCAAGAAGACCTCTAGCCATTCATCTCCTTCACTCGAGAGCAAAACGGTGCCCTCAGACCCAGGGTCCTCCCCAACACCTTTCACACCTTTGCCGCCAAAGCCCCATCTCAATCCGTTTGCCCCCAAACGCCCTACCGTGTTGGCATCGTCGTCTCCGACATCAGCCGCCGATGCTGGCGGTCTACGTTTTGACAGTGAGCCGGGGAAGAAGAGGACATTTGGTGGGGTACAAGGGGGCGACACGAAGCGGAGAGGAATGAAGATGTTTTCGGGAAAGCCCACTGAAATGCTGTTGAAGCGCGGTGGTACTTGAGCGTGCGCGAGGTAATCCAATCCCGGGGCATGTGAGCAATCGATACATACATTGCTATCAGTGAGCTTGCGAGGGATAGCAGTGCTCCCTTTCTTAGGTGGAAAGCCTCGGTCGACGATCAGTCACCTTGGTTGGAGCTGCTCTAGCCTATTGTTGCGCAAGCTTAGATTATATCTTGACCGTGAGAGTCTGGTGAATTATCACACGATTGCAGTACTATACATCTAGGCTTGCTGTCAGATGTCACGAGCAATGAACACGAGCTAGCAACTCACATGAATACAATATCATTCAAAGAGTCGAGTGCGCTCTCAAAGAGGGCTTTCTGGAGGGTTCGTTGTAGACTGCCCTTCCGGTTGTTCACTCGCCTCTTGGACAGCCTCCAGTTCTTTATCGAGTAGCCTGGAGACGGCCATGAACCTGGATGCAGTTAGCGGCGTTCAAGACAGCATTGACTGGCTCACTGTGAACCACAGTGTATTCCCAACTTGGCAGTCGCGTCGAGCTGGTAGGCCATCATCTCTGTGAGCCCCTCGGTCTCCGCGAGGTTGGACTGGAGGACGCGGATGCGGGATGCGAGGGCCGAGTAGTGGCGCTGTTTTATGCTGGATGCAGACATGCTAGATGTTAGAGGTGCAAGAGAAACCAACCAAGTGCAGTGGCATCTCTGGATCTAAGCTATGTATGGTTTGTTTGTGTACGTACGCGCCGGCGCGGTGGAGGCGCGTTACGTAAACTAAATTTCAGCCAACGGGGGCTCGTGCAGATGGACATAAGCAGATGCAATTCATTTTGAATTCACTCACCGCTCTCTATCCCATCGCCATGAAGTGGAACATCGGATCCCCTGCCCCCGTCCCCGTCGACCACACCGCCCCCGTGCCCCCCCACCCCGTCCCCGCCTCCTCCTCAAACATCCCCGCCTCATGTCCCATGCACCAGTCCACCCCGCCCCACCCCCTCCCTCCGCCCCTGCCCCCGCCGCGTGCCCCATAAAGCACGACGCCCTTGACCCCAACACCCACATGCCTGCCAACCTGTCTCTTTCCCGCCAGCCCAATCAGCAGCTCGACCTCCCCGTCGAACGGACTGCATCTACCATCCCCCGCCCCGCCTCTGGCTCTCCGGGAGGAGAGGCCTATGGAACTGGGAACACTTGGGACTACCCATCACCGCAGCAGTTTTACAATGCGCTGGTGAGGAAGGGATGGGAGACGCCGGAGGATAGTGTGGAAGTTATGGTAGCAATCCACAACTTTCTGAACGAGCGGGCTTGGGAAGAAGTGATGAAGTGGGAGAAGCGGTTGCCGGGCGGTGAGAACACTCAACTGGTCAAGTTCCAAGGGCGACCAGGAGAGCTCAGTCCCAAGGCCAGGTTCCATCTCTGGGCGGGGCAGCTGTTCCCTTCAAAATTCAAGTGAGTGGTGACGCGGTTCTTCGATTGTCATACTAACAAGTGTGCAGCTCCGAGCCCCCTTTTGATAGACATGACTGGGTCGTCAAGCGTACCGTTCCGTCTGCCTCCAACTCGAATCCCTCAGCCCCCCCAGAAACATACGACGCCCGCTACGTGATCGACTATTACTCTGCCCCTCCCGACGAGGACGGAAACCCCGTTTTCTCGCTCGATGTGCGTCCGGCACTGGATAGCTTTGAAGCTGTCAAGCAGAGAGTCGTGGTGGGTGTTGAGGAATGGTGGAGGGGCCAGGAGGTGGATTAGGTATAGTAGGGGCAAGTTGCGTTGCATTCTAGATGCTGTCGATCGTGCTTGATGCATATTCACATCTCTCTGAAATTATCGCTATGTCATCTGAACGCCGGACACTTTCAAAGGCAGCTGAAAACCTGCGTTCTCCTCCTCGACGACCCATGGATGGCTCACAATGCTAGAGAGCCATCAGCACCAAAAGCGAGGAGAGTTTATAAAGCTCACGAAAACTTTTTTTCAATGAGCGGTCTGTTCTCCAATTCTTCGAAACGAAAGCTCTTGATCAACACGAACAGCATTACTTTGATTTCTGCCAGTGCAAAACGGAAGCCGATGCAGCTTCGCGAGCCACCCCAAAAGGTCAGAAGGTTGGAGTAGACCCCAGGGACAGACTTTGCGCTCCCCGGGTAAGTTTCTGGTGTAGGTGTGAGCCATCGGGATGGGAGGAACTCTTCAGCTCTGGGTCCCCATATCGATAATTGGGTATTGGCGTTACTGATGGCTGGTGAAAAGTCAGCCAGGTGGCAATTCAAGACCATGAAGATACCAACGCATCAAAATCGTCGTGCCCTTCCCGACCTCTACCCTGTCCATGAGATTACCGTCCTTGCCAGTGATAGGTGTGCTAAGGGGAATTGAGATGTCTTGTGAGGCTTCGCGCAGAGCAAGCGGAACGGGAGCGGATAGTCGTAAAGATTCTTTGATCACAGCATCGAGGTATGGGAGCGCGTTGAGTGTGTCGCTAGTAACCATCAGTAATGCCCAAGAGCCAGAAGCGACTACTTGCATATCTGGCTGCTGCTCTGAGATCTCCAGAAGCTCTTGACGTAGCCGTTCTTGAATTTCCGGGTGTTTCGCAAGTGAATAGATGCACCAGCAGAGCGCCGTCGAAGTTGTTTCGTATCCCGCCAGCATCTTTTGACATGAGCCGTCATGCTAGCCAGTCAATTGTGACTGCTCACGAAAGTGTTGACTTGGTCTAATATCTCCTCATCTGTGAGCCTTTCGTCTGGACAGGAAGTTGCCTGATTTTTTACTGTCACTTTGTCAGTGATATCCTCGAGTGACTGTACCTCACGCATAGACGCCAGAAGCCCAATGTCATGGTCCTGATACTTTTCCAGGTCGAAAGATCGTAAATTGTCTCTCTTTTCCCTGATGATCTTCTATACCGGTAGCCACCATCAGTCAATGTTCCTACCTATGCCGGGGATGGATACTGACTCTCCCAAACCTTCTCGCCGTGCGCAAGCTTCGATCAAGAACTGCAGTGCGGTTGGTGGGCTACAAGGATCAGCACTGATAACGAGGAAAAGGTTTCTCACAATTCTCTTGAATACAGGTAGCAAAAATTGCAAGACAGACATCACAGACACCTCTGTCCCAACTTGAAACATGCCCGTATAAGCATCAACGATCTCCTCTGCCTCTCCGCTGAGAGCATGGAAATCGTGGTCGAATTGCGCAACTCCCATCATATCGAGCGTGGCTCTGCTGATGTACCATAGAAAGTTGATTCTGTTGTCCCTCTGGTCATCAAGATCAGAGGACAATCTCTCAGCCAGCTCGCGAGATTTATCGTAAAAGATCGGTACCATCTTTCGTACAGCCGCTGGGCCCAAACTTGGATTCAGATTCTTTCTCGTCCTTTTGTGAACATCACCCTCCTCCGAGACCAACCCGTCTCCAATCATCTCTCGGAGCGCTGCTCTGACATGGACTGGTTTGGGGAAAATGGCAGGGTGGGAGAGGATGTAAGAGATGGCGGCGAGATCAGCAGTGATGATGCGCGAGTTGCCGAGGAGGATGGGGTACTGGAAGGTCGGACCGTATGTGGTGAGCCAATTTTGGTATGCTGTGGTTGGGTGGGGAAAGGAGTAAACGTATGGCAAGGCACCCCAGAAGACACTGGATGAGTATGGGCCTAGGTCCAGGTAAGACGTGGACTTGAGTCATAGTATAGCTGTACGTACCAGGCAAGTTGCGGTGGTGGGAAAAGTATCGCCGTATCGGCCAAAAGTAGAGATAGGCTGCAGCTACCAGCAGGAGGGCAGCTGCCAGAAAGCGCGAGGCAACGGCGAAGAGGAGAGAGGTCGGCAATGACAGCAGGTGGCCCATGGTCAGTGGGGTGTGAGGATCAGTTCAAAGGCAGGACAAGAGGTGGAAGCATGATACGATTGAATACACCCGGGCTGGATCTGCCTCTGCCAAGCAGCAACAAGGGTGATCGCCCCAACACGCCGAACGATTGTTCATGGGGACTCGGAAGATACCCAAGAGAACGAGCGGGGGGTAGTCACCGGTCGAGTAAATTCCACGTCACTCCAGTTTTGACATTATTGCTTTGACTCGCAGCCGAGGAGTGGCACTTGCAACTTGCAACTATTTTATGCTGAGCACCCGCCTTCTCTCCCAGGCCGCCAGATCCCAGACACCCCTCATATCCCCCGCCCGAAGGTTCAATCCCAAGAAAGCCACCGCCATGGCCGCTGCTGCCTCCACCTCCAAGCCCTCCGAGCTCACCGCTCCCGTCAAAACCGCCCATGCGTTCGACAAGACCACTCTCGACGCCCTTCTCGCCAGGCGATTCTTCTACGCTCCTGCCTTTGAGATCTACGGTGGTGTTGCCGGTCTTTACGACTTTGGGCCCACTGGTTCCGCCCTCCAGGCCAACATTCTCGATGCCTGGAGAAAACACTACATCATCGAGGAAGACATGCTCGAGCTCGATACCACCATCATGACTCTCGCAGAGGTTCTCAAAACCTCTGGCCACGTTGACAAATTTGCCGACTGGATGGTCAAGGACACCAAGACTGGTGAGATCTTCCGAGCCGACCACCTTGTCGAGGCCGTCATTGAGGCCAGGCTGAAGGGCGACAAGGAGGCCCGAGGTGTCAAGGAAGAGGTGAAGAAGGAGGAGGACGACAAGAAGAAGAAGAAGAAGAAGGCCGTCAAGTCTGAGGCCATCAAGCTCGAGGACGATGTTGTCGCCGAGTACGAGACCCTCCTCGCCCAGATCGACAACTTTACCGGTCCCCAGCTTGGTGAGCTCTGCCGAAAGCACAAGATCACCAACCCTGTCACCGGCAACGAGGTCTCTGAGCCCGTCGAGTTCAACTTGATGTTCGAGTCCAACATCGGCCCCACTGGTCAAATCAAGGGCTATCTGCGTCCCGAGACAGCCCAGGGCCACTTTGTCAACTTTGCTCGTTTGCTCGAATTCAACAACGGCAAGGTCCCCTTTGCCTCTGCCCAAATTGGTCGATCTTTCCGAAATGAGATCGCCCCTAGACAGGGTTTGCTTCGAGTCCGAGAGTTCACCATGGCCGAAATTGAGCACTACGTCGACCCCCTGGACAAGAGACACGCCCGCTTCAATGAAGTCAAGGATGTCGTCCTAACTCTTTTGCCCAAGGATGTCCAGAACGCTGGTAAGACCGATCTCACGCAGAAGACTGTCGGTGACGCCGTTGCCGAGGTGAGCCACTTTTGTACGTGTGTGGTATGATGACTGACACGAAGCAGGGTATCGTCGACAACGAGACTCTTGGTTACTTCCTTGGCCGAACCCAATTGTTCTTGACCAAGATTGGTATCGATCCCACCAGACTGAGGTGCAGGCAACACATGGAGAATGAGATGGCACACTACGCCGCTGTATGTGCTCCATCAAATGACACAATGTCCGAGGGTGGCGCTGACGAAATCATGTAGGACTGTTGGGACTTTGAGATCCAGTCCTCCTACGGCTGGGTCGAGTGTGTCGGCTGTGCCGACCGTTCCGCCTACGATTTGACTGTCCACTCTGTCCGCACCAAGCAGCCTCTTCGAGTCCAGCAGAAACTCGACAAGCCTCGCAAGGTCGACAAGCTCGAAATCACCTTTGACGCCAAGGCTTTCGGTATGAAGTTTAAGAAGGACGCCACGATGATCAAGGAGTTCTTGTTGAGCCTTGAAAAGGACAAGTTGCAGTGTATCAAGGATGAGCTTGCGGACAAGCAGACTTCCGAAGTTCAATGCCCTGATGGCAAGTCTTACGAGATCAACTCTGATCTTGTCAAAATCGACCCGATCACCGTGACCGAGCACAGTCAGTCACCTTCTCTTCTCTCTCTCCCTACCCCTCCAGCTAACATGCTATAGTGCGTGAATTCACTCCCAACGTCATTGAGCCCTCCTTCGGTATCGGTCGAATTCTCTATTCTCTCCTCGAACACACTTACTGGGCTCGAGAACAGGATGCTGCCCGTGGTGTTCTCTCTCTCCCTCCTATCGTCGCTCCCATCAAATGTCTCATCGTTTCCATCTCACAGGATGCCACGTTGAGGAACAAGATTCACGAAATCTGTACGCAGTCATCCTACCATACGAACTCCGCTAATGGATGTGTCAGCTCGACAGATGAGGAAGCTTGGTATCGCCAGCAGGGTGGATGACTCTTCCGCTACCATTGGTAAGAAGTATGCCCGAAACGATGAGCTCGGTACTCCTTTCGGCTGTACCGTCGACTTTGCCAGTAAGTCACCTCTACCTTCCCGCTCAACCGCAGCTGACTTGAAGTCTAGCTATCCAAAACGGTACCATGACCCTCCGAGAGCGAGACTCCACCCTGCAACTCATTGGCCCCATCGAGGATGTGGTGTCTGTTGTGGACCAGCTTGTGAAGGGTACACTCGACTGGGAGGGTGCGAGCCAAAAGCTGCAGTCTTATAGCGGTGTGCAGGATGTTGAGGCTTAGATGTAGATTTACACCCGGATAGTATTATCTCTATGCATCATTCTAGGCAATGTTGTGGCCTGTTCGGGCGTCGTCCGTCTACAAATAATGTCTTGTCTGCGAGTTTGTCATCTTGACTGGCAAATCGCAGATCGTGGCCAATTGGTGATGTCACGATATTATGAAGCAGTCAAGGAGTTATCATTCGGCCATAAAGTTGTTGCAGTTGGCAGATAGTCTCGCTGAACTCTACTGGACCATAAAACCTCGACATGCGCCTTCGACCGTCTGAGCAACAGTGGATATTCCCCAAATCTGCGCTGTCGCATACCCCATCCCATGCCGACGGCTACTCTCTCGAAAGCGAATTCCGATCTCGCAGAGAATGTATCAGAGACATTCGCTCCCTCCTCCTGCGCACGATTCAAGAAACGTGAGTGCTGATCCCTTTTCTCATTGGTATCCCTGACAAGACTGTATAGGAACGGCCTAAATGTAGACGACTCCAAACGCACCCACAAGTTGGCACAACACTTCCGCGGTCTTTTGACAGTCTGCGCTACCCTCGTTCATCGCTTCTACATGCGCCGCTCTCTGAAAGACTTTGGGATCCCCGTGGTCGCGGGAACAATTTTGTGGATGGCCAGCAAGATTGATGAGTCGTCGTTGAAACTGAGGTATATTGTGAACAATTGTTTGCACAAGTATCACCCTTTCGAGGAAGGGTACACTCCTTGGATTATCAAGGATGTTGAACGCGCTCCTGTAAGCTTATCTCCCGTAATTTGAGATATCATGGGCTGATCAGTGTAATATATAGGCACAAAGTGCGGGACACAGCGAGTTTGAGAATAGTATCGTGAACACTGAACAAATAGCTCTTGAAGCGCTCTGCTTCGATCTTGACATTGAACAGCCATGGGTTATCCTCTGGAAGAGTGTCAAAGGGCTCGACGAGCTATCTGGTGTGGAGGACAGGAAGAGTGGTGAGAAGGCGAATGGACATGGCTCAGGGGTGAAAGTATCAGAAGCTTTGGTGACTGCTTTGGGGTGGCCAATCTTATCAGAAATGTACGTGATCATATGTCAGTCTGAGCCGCTCTTTAACCTTTTCGCAGATCACTATCACCGATGCCAATTTTGTATCCCGCCTCAATAATCGCATTCGCGACGTTTGCCATTATAATATCATCAATCGAGAGCGTACCCCTATGCCAAGGCCTTTCTGCCGCGGCGGAGCTGGGAGACAAGTTTCATCTGGGTGTGCGCTTCTCGGAGGAAGGTCCTGTGGGGAACGATCTGGAGATGGTCAGCGGTGAGTGAAACTGCGATACAATGTACAGGGATTACACTGACATAGACAAGGTTGTCTGGAGTCGTTCCGTGAATATGTAAAGATGGAACTGATAAGTTTCGATTACGGCAGATATATCCTGGTAGGCTATTGGATCGTGAGGCTGAGGATTGTACTGATGATTTCGTTGAAGCCTGACCCGGAAGGTGGTTTGTCCAAACCCGCGAAGCGCCGCTTCGGTCCCAACTCGACAGTAGAAGAGGCTTCTTCGGACGGCACCACAAAAAAAGGCAAGGATGACGGGAAAGAACAGTCGGGCTCGAGCCAAGAGCAAGCGCAGAGGGTTGAGAGGACGAAGAGAGGCGCAGAGGAGGGCGAAATGGCATCACGGCCGCAGGCGGTCACCGGGGGCGCTGAACACTCAGCCCCTACACCGCAGTCACGACCGGCTACTCCCGCTCCTCCAGACTCTGCCGTATAAGCATGCCACCACATCATATAGCATTACATCATAGAGCATTACAACATATTACAGTTATGACCCACAGGGACTTATACGCCCATGGCGGCCAACCACCGCCTCGGGCCGTCGGCACTACCGCCTCTCCCGCCTGGTGCAGATAGAACAGAGGGAATCAGGGTGTTGGATGAAGTTGCTGATTCTTTCCTGTTCTTTGTGGCGCCTCGCACTATACAGGAGTGTGAGCCAGCGTCATGAGTCGAATGCGAACGCACCACACGCGGAGATCTCGTTGATATTTGTTTCCAGGACGAGTCCGCCTTGTATGATTTCAGACAAGACATGGTGGACCTTGATGACATCTATCAGCAAATGACACTCAGACTTTGGATACACGTACTTCATCAAAGTGGAATATCAAATCCAACTCGCAGACATTCTCGAACGCTCGGTCCAGAGACTCTACAAAGACCTGCACGGTACGCGTCAGCCCATTTCCATTTGTTCGGCTCACGAGACACACTTGTATCAAATCCAAAATGCCCAATTCACTTTCCGCCCCATCGACAACAAAGACAAAGTACAACGTCGCATAATGCCTGTAGATTACCCGGGTGTCATCGTCTTCGGCCACAGCAATCTTGTCTCCCACAGAGCTTCTTTCTCTCTCCTTGGTGTCTTTCAGGGACTGGGGAGTGGGAAAGACAAGGTCTGGGGCATCGAGAAAGTTGCAGACGCCGGCTGGGCGGTCTTGGATGAGGGAGAAGATCTGGGAGATGAGGGACTGCTGTACGAGGGGCGGGAGTGGGGTGAAGAACTTGGAGAGGCGGGGCTTGCCGTTGGTGTTGAATATGAGGACGGCATGGATCATGGTGCGCGGAGAGGGAGGACGGAGGACGGAGTGCAGACGGAGCGAGGATAGACAGCAGCGCGGAGGTCGCCGCCTTAGCCTTACGGCCGAGCGATCTGCTCCGATGCTTGGTTCCGCCAGGCACGGCGACTTTCTCCGTCGGGCGTGAGTCGCGTTTATTTTGTGCAACTCCAATGGCTCACCACATCCCTTAAAACCCTCTTTTCCATGGACTGCCCCTTCCTCTGACCAGCTTGCACTCACACCATGTCCCTCGCAGCCCCCATCTTCATGCCCTACACCCCGCCCCAGTCCCCCCAGCCAGCATACCGCTGGCTCAAGCGCTCCACCCTCGCTCCACACTCACCTGAAGACTCGGGCGAGAGCGATGCTGAGGCGGACACCCTCCCCCACCATCCCAGAGCTCACACCAAGCCTCCCATGACCCACGATGTCGACATGGAGACAGATGAGGAGAGCGAACCGGGCTGTCAAGAACGCTCGGCATTTCTGCGCCTTCCGATAGAAGTATGTTGACCAGCACGCAAATGTGCACAGCGCACACTGACACTTTCCACCCCCAGATTATAGACAAGGTATTGACTTCTTTTGGCGATCACGACAACATATCGCTGGCGAGGTTTGCAATGACCTGTCAGGAGCTGAGAGCTCACATCTACCTGGTGAGGCAGACTGGGCGCAGGCCGTCTGTGGTGCATGCTAATGTCCGACAGGATCCTGACCAGTCCCTCTGGAGAGACATTTTCCTGCAAAATTACGACGATCCCCGAAAGGCCGCAGCACCCTGGGAAAATGCCCACACTGAAGACATTGATTGGAGACAGAAGGTGAAGGACAGAGAGTTCGTCTTCCGCGTACTGGACCTCTGGCAGGAGGAAAAGTGGGACGAAGCTGTGAGTACGCGATATAGAGTCGTGGCGTCGAGACTGACCATTATGCAGATCCGTCACTTGGACTTGATCTGTGACACTCTACTCGACATGTACCTCGATCTTCCCTCTACAGCAGAGGACGAGTGCCAGCACCATCAAGACTCTCCCAGGCCTTACCGCCCTCGTGCCTCAAAGAACACACCCATTCTCACATACCTCTGCTCCTCCCCGTTGTTCATCCATCTCTACCGCAACCATCGCCTTTGTCCCCAGTCTCCCGGTCATCCGCGCCTCCGACCTTTGGCCGGTGCCCGACAAATCCCCCAATGGTCTGTTAGGCGCCAGATCAGGACACACACCAACCCCAAGCTCGCCAGATTGCACACACTCCTGCCCCCTCATTTCGACGAGAATGACGAGGCTGATAGAGAGTGGAGAGGCTTTATGAGAGAGCTGGTGTACTCTATCAAGGGCTTTTCCGAAGCTAATGACCACGGGCCTTTCCATGCGGATGGAACTGTGGACTGGGTCATTTGCGATGCCGTCGGATCTGTCATGAGTAAGCTGCTGTACATTGTTATAGATCAAGGCTAATACAGAGCAGTGTCGAATGCCGACGAGGTTATGGACAACCCCGAGATCAGCGAGCATTGGCGAGACTCGATTGTACCTCGATCTTATGGCGTCGAGCCTACCCGTGGGTGGGGCTTCTCACACGTCGAACGACCCTTGGAGCTGCCGAGTACCCAGGTCTGGGACTGGGCCGGTGTTGAGGGTACTTGGGAAGGCTCATACGCCTTTATCGAGTGAGTTGATCCTTTCTACATCAGCCTGTTCTTATCGAATTTTGTAGCTACACCGACTGGATCTCTCTCAATGAGCCTCAACTCATCCTTCAGCGTGGCCGAGTCGCCCAGCTCGATCTGACGCGATACCACGAAGCCGTCGGCGACCTCATGCGTCTCCGTCTCGTCCTCGATGATCCCACGGACCCCAACTCGCCCACTCACCATCTCCCCCACATCGTTTCCAACCTTCCTGTTTCCAACGCTCTCCCTCCCATCCGATTTGTGGGTGCGTCGCTCTCGAGCAACGATGTGGAGCACCCCTCGCCACCTTTGGGTTTCGTCAGGGGCACGGTGCAGCTTACGACGGATAATCCGCCGCAGGTGAGGTGGACTTTGGTGATCAGGTATGGAGGGGCGGACAGGTGGACACTTGAAGCTGTTCAAATGGGAGGGCGAGGAAGCAAGAGGGGTTTCTTTGGTATCTGGACGGATGCCGCCAAGGAGGCTCATACTCCTAATGGGCCCCTCTGGTACTGGAAGAGTTGATGTTGTCCGAACTGTATCCTTTTCTGCTGCATCTCCTACTTTGTACTCTACTGTACATGGTCCTAGAATATGTTTGTCCGTTGCTTGTCTCCAATGCTTGCGTTTGTCATGAGTCTCCTTTTCCTAGACGTTGTATGAATATAGATGGGTCTTAATGTTTCTTTGTAGATCACCCTACATGTATTGAGCTTTGACCATACAGTGCTCATACTGTATACCAATCGATCAAGTCCACAAATAGATGACAGAAGAGTCGAAAGGTTCACGCCTACATATACAGGCTAGTCCCTACCCGTCAGTGGGAGACCAGAAGCCTTGACCAGATCCTCCCTGAGTTTGCGCCTCTTGTGGGCATTGGTCTCCTGTGGCTCCTCTCCTCCCCTGGCACGAGAGTTGGCGCCTCGTCGGGGTTGCTCCTCCTCCTCTTCATCATCAGACTCGCCCTCTTTGCCAATCATACTGACCAATGGGTCAGCTTGGGAGATGAATTGAAACAGACGATGTCCACTCACATCTCTTCGATGAATTCTGCGGCAGCCTTCGTGGAGAACTCAACCTCGGCCCTAGCACCCCACTTCCATTCGCAGGACGCCCCTTCGCGCCCACCCCCGTGCCCAGGAATATCAATTTTTTCGAGATATCGCGTTCTGGCAAGCTGGTCCAAGAACTTGTCGAGAGTCAACAAGTCGCCAGTGTTGTCTTTGGAAGAGTAAGGCAGGACGGTCTCGCGATGGAGGTTGAGACGTTTGAGCAGAGCGTGCAGGTTGTCTGGTGGAAGGTTAGCACACACGAGACTCGTGGGCCACAAGGCTCACCATCAGAGACAGTTCGTCCAAGACCCATGATAAGAGACAAGATGAGCGTCCGAAGGCCCATAAGTCCAACGTGACCAATGACGCCACCATCCGCCTTGTCCCAGGGTAAAAGAGCCCCAGAATCCTCCTCTTCCTCGACCTGGTCTTGTGTCTCCTGAGGAAGAGGTCTTGGGTCATTCATGAAGTCGATGATTGAGCTGGGCAAGGTGGATTGGAGAATATAGACACCAGAACCGGTTTCTATCGGCATCAGTCGGTCAGTTTGATCCGTCGATCATCGATGGAAAGACGGTCCCACCTTTGGCCCTTTGCGTAGCGGCAGGCTCATCGTCTTCCTCATCCTCCTCCTCTTCTTCTTCCACGGCGTTCAGTCCTCCATTGGATGGCCTTGCTCGCCCCTTTCCCTTGTTTTTCTTTGACTGGGTAGCTGCAGCTTGGCTCTGCTGGGCACTGACAGAAGCGTCGGGGGCGGCAGCACCCTCATTCTTCTTTCGAAGTTCAATCAATTCACAGCCAAAAGTCTCGCGCAATATTTCCTGAGCTCGCACAAAGACAGCCTTGAAGGATCTCTTGTTGTTGGGAACAACTGTAGACACGAGATAAGTCGGCGAAAGCCCCATCATCAGAGCCGACACGTCTTACCTTCTTTCGCGGCATCAGCGCGTCTTATCGGAACCCGTCTGTATTCCTGAAAAAGAGCGAACCTGACCAACATTCCAGCGCGAGATTCAATATCCTACTCCATTGGTAAGCATGTGCTTTCTGATGTGGGGGTATGGGTTACACGCGAGCCAAAACGCGTGATCAAAGTCACGCACCTTGTTGCTCAAAGCGCCAGAGGGGACCTGCTCCTCCTGCTCCTCGACGTCAGAACTCTCGGGTTCGGCCTGGGTAGCCCTGCCTTTCCCCTTCTTGTTGGCATTGGACGCACTAGGAGGCATAGTGGCTGGTTGATAGTTGTATAGAACATTGTGCACATTCTCCCATGTTGGGCGCGTCGCGTACAGCGGAAATAATCATTACGTAACCTAATAAATGTTTTATTTGGCACCACCACGCGCGCGACGTGCAGCTCAGCAGTTCCCCCAAGCCCGATAATGCACACCTGAACCGGAGATGATCATTGCATCATCCATTCTATTATGAACAAGAATGCAAGAGCCATCACACTATCCACATGATAAAACCGAACATCAAGCAAAATGAAAAAAGGAATGTGCGACAGAGTCGCAAAGTCGCAAAAATGCTGAGTGCCACGATGGGCGAGAAGTCATAAATGTCATTAAACCTCCTCCTCTCTCTACCTTCTACCTTGTTCCCTCTCCCCGTATCTATCCTCCATTCCCGCCACTATTATAAGTCTACATTGTTTCTACAACCTCAACTGGGCCTCTATCCAACCTGGGCCACTTAAGGGAAGCCAGCAGCAGCGACCTTGTCGGGCACCTGGCTCTTCAAGTGCTCGACCAGAGCACCAAGCTCGGCCTTGACCTCGTCGGTAGTGTCGTCGACGTGGTTGGGGTCGAGGAGGATGTAGGCAAAGGCCTGGAGGAAAGTGTCGATGTGGGCAGTGATGAGCTGAGGCTGGGTTCGGTAGACCTGGAAGAGAGCTCGGAAGACGGGACCGTTCTCAAGAGGGTCAAATCTCAAGGGGAGAACGGACGCGATAGCACCAACAACGTCACCCAAGGGGAGAGCGGCGGCGTTCTTGCTGATCATACGGGCAACAGCACCGGCAGCATTGTCTCGGGCGTTGTAGAGCGCTGGGGGAGCGTGCTCGGGAGGGGTGAACAGAGGCTGGAGAGCCTGAAGAAGAGCACTGTAGTGACTGGAGAGATCGGCGTCAGAGTGTTCGATAAGGACACCGGATGCGAAAGCAGCATTGGAGCGCACATCGGGGTCCTCGTCGAGGATCCCTCGAGAGATGACCTGGAACAAGGGCTCGGTGAACTGGGTCACACCGCTCTTCAAGCCGACAATGATCTCGCCGAGACTGCCAATGGCCATGGACCTCTCGGTATTTGTCCTCTTGGGCTCAGTGTACTTGGCAATCAAAGGCAAGACTTGGCCGAAAGCCTGTTGGAAGTCGGGTCCGAGGACAGTGGCAAGCGCACCAAAGACATCGGCGGCGTTGGAGACGAGGGCAGCCTCGTACTCGGAAGAGTCGGCGTCGGCCGAGTTCTCATCGTCTCCATCGGGGTCCTGTTGACAGAGAGACTTCTTCTCAAGGATCTCGATAGCGAAAGTGGCAACCTCATCGAGGTCTATTTGACATCAGTGATAATTCCATGCAGAAAGGAGACAACTTACAGCCCTCAATGATGGCGGGACCGCACTTGTTCATCGTGTCCGCGAGCTCGGCACACATAAAGATGACGACAGACCTGATGATTTGTTGTCAGCTTTGCCAGTACAAAACATGTCTTGTATAGTATGAAGGACAAGGTATATCAGGGTCTAATTAAAATTCGTTTAAAGCCTCATAGCCTAAAGGGCTCGGGGTTTTGACATAATTTCTCATCACGCAAAGTGTTCCAGACAGAAGGGAAATTGGAACCATACTCACTGGTCATCTTCAGTCTTCCAAGTCTCAAAGATCTTGGGGAGGACGAGCTGGGCAATGCTCTTGACGTGGTCGTGAAGGGGCACGGCAACCTTGGCTCCGGGAGTCCACTCGGGAGCATCGGAGAGCTCGTACATGGTCTTGACGAACTGGAACAAAGCTCCGACGGCAGCCTTCCTGATGCCTTCATAGTAGTGGTCGAGCAAATCGATCAAGACCTGAACAGTCTCCTCGACGTAAGGCATGAAGGCAGCCTTGGTAGCGGCGAAAAGCTCTCCGATGGTGTCGGCAGCGACCTCCTTTTCGATAGCGACGGCACTGTTGACCTTGGAGAACATGTCGTCGAGTTCGTTGATGTCAGTCTCGTCATCTTCGTCTTCCCAGGTGCTTTCACCCTTGCTTCCGCTAGCAGCAGCGTTGAAGGCATCGACCAGCTGGGCAGGGTTGGAGCCATCCTCGTCAAGCTCCTCAGCCGTCTCGCTCTGTTGGCAGGAAGCGATCAGAGCAGGAACACACTGAGGAAGGTATTGGGCAAAGTCGTTGGTGAAGACCTGGGCCATGATACCAAAGAAGATGAATGAAGACTCCCTGAGACGAGAGTTGTCCATGGTAAGGGCCTCGAAGGCGGCCTTCATGAGGGGCTGGAAGTAGGGACGGAAGACATCGGCGCCCACAGCGTCAGCGATGGTACCGATGGTATCGGTAGCAACACCACGGAGGTCGATCTGTTCGTCAGACTCCTGGAGCTCCAGGAAGGGCACCAAACGCTGGATAGTTTGGTCAAAGTAGGGCACAAACTTCTCCTTGGCAGCATGAGCAGCAGAACCAATGGCACCAGTGACGGTGATCTTGACGGCAATGATGCCGTTCTCGAGGAGGACGAGGAGTCGCTCCATGAGAAGAGTGAGGTAGTTTACAATGTCGTCACCAAGGATTTCAAGGTAAGAGTCGAGGCAGGTACAGGCGTTCTTCTGGGTGGCAGGCTCAACGATGAGGTTGAAAAGGATGGGGACGATGACAGAGTGCCTAGTAGCGCACTCTTCAGCGAGCCATTCACAAAGACACCCGAGAGCGATACAAGCGGCCTTTCGGACGATGACCTCGGGGTCTTGCAAACCACTCTCAATCACGGGCCACAATTGGTCGACGTGAGGTCGAATGTACTCGCTGCAGCCCTCGACAGAGACACCAAAGGCCATGAGAGCAGACTTGCGCATACTGGCGTCACCAGCCATGTAGACTTGGAGCTGCTGGGTGAGGACTGGGAAGACCTGTTGAGGAGGAAGAACCTGGGCGAGGGTGTCAAGAGTACGGAACGCGAGACGAGAAGGAGAGTCCTCGTCAGCGTCCTCGGGATCGTCCTCAGTGCCGACAGGCAAAAGAGCCTCGATGATGGGCTTGGCAAGACCGAGAGCCTGAACCTTGCTCTTCTTGTATCGAATGACCCAAGAAAGGACGTTGAGGGCACCACACCTCATCTCGTCCTCTACGTCCTTGTTGCCGGCGACGCCGAGGAAGAACTGTACAAGGTCACCAACGTGCTTGCTGACAAGGGGAGCCTCGAGGATGAGGAAGGTCTCGAAAGCATCGTAACCGTGCTTGACACCCTCGTCGTCGCCGTCCTGGATGGCCTTCTCCAAGACCTTAAGCATGGGGACGATCAAGTCCTGGAAGGCCTTGATGTCATGCTTGTCCTCGACCTCGATGTACTCGGCCACCTTGGCGAGAGCTCGCAGGGTGGTGACTCGAACTTCGGCAGATTCGGGGTCGACGAGAGAGACGGAAAAGGTCTCAAACAGACTGGCAAGGTGGTCCTGGAAGTTTTCGGCAACGGTGTCGAGGATAGAGAACAGGACGTAGATGGCCGTTTCTCGGTGAGTCTTGTCAGAGGAGCGGGCGGCCTGGTAGAGACCGGGCATAAGGGTGGGCCATTGGGACGGCTGGGTGGCAAGCTCGAGATCCGCGATGGCAGCGACAGCCTGGGCCTGGGAATGTCTGACGATGGGGCTACATGATATCAGCGACCGTGCACGCAGACGTCTCGAGGGCAACGTACGAAGTTTCATTCGTCAGTCGCTGGAGCAAGCTGTCCTTGATCTGCTGTCTCAACTGCTCGGGGTTCTTCTTCCACATCTTGCCATCTCGACTTGATATTCTCTTTCGCAGCTCGACGGCGGCCAATTGCCGGATCTAAATTTCACGTCCCATCAGTAGGTGTTCGCGGGCGACGACGAGAGGCGCAAGCTCACGGAAGGGTTCTCGTTGGTGCATGAGATCTCATAGAGGGCGGGGATACAGGTGGGGTCCTTGTAGAACTGGGTGTTGAGCTGGGTGGTGGCCTGCAGGAGGGTGAGCTGTGCGGTGGGTGGGCTGGGAAAGACTGACGGCCTTGATGAGGGCTGTGTCCGGGGCGATGGTGGCCTCGAGGAGCTGTGTGAGGGTGGGGATGTAGTTGGGCTGGGGCTGTCAGCGGGGCGGCGGCTCAGCTTAGGTGCACTCACGTCCATCTTGGCTTTTGGGGTGGAGGAAAAGACACTGCAGCAATTCTCCTCGCCAAAAAAAGTTGCCAGCAAGCCCGTGTACGGCAAATTTCATGGCCACGTAAGGGTCTGCTTATGTAATACGGTGGAGGAGGGTCTGAGTGTGCTGCACTGCTGCTGATGCCATCATGTATGCAGCCGTAGGACTGTTCGTATGCATTGTATGAACCGACAATTCATATGCACTCGTATGCAGGCATGCAGCACTGTGAGCACAGGGGACTCCTCACTGCTGACTGGGAAAGGGCGCAAGCTGCCATGTGCTTGCCTCGTGGCCCGTCGCTGATCCTCGCCGTCCACCCCTGCCTGGCCATACAGCCATTCGGATTTCTACAGATGGTCTCACGTCACTGCTGATGCTGCCCCAGCCCGTCCATTCCTCGTACGCTCCAGAGTGTGCCGGGGCCAGGGTGGGCGACCATATCGAGACCTACGAACAGCCTCTTCCACAACAGCTCGCCTCCATCGAAGCTGCTCTCGCCCTCCTGGTCGTCCCGGATAGCGAAGACCTCGATCAGCAACAGCACAATCGCTTCGTCCATGCCCTCACCAAAAACCTGCCCTATCCTCAATTCCACCACCATTCACCTTCCCAGACTTCCGCCACCTTTGCCCACAACCCCATATCCATAGACTGCAGCCCTTTCGACCTTGGTCGTTCCAACAGTCTTCACCATCCCACTGCCACCCCGCCTCTCACTCATGCCACTTCCCAAGTCTTATCGCCCGCCTTTCACGCCCTCTCTCAGCCCGACATTGTAGTGCGCTTTGTCAACCTACCTCAGCGTTCCGTGTGCCTGCACAGGCTATATGGTGTAGGCGTCGTCAAGATGATCCAGCTCGATGAGCTGGGACACGCTTGCTCCCTGCTCGAAACCAATGCGCGATTCCGTCAGGGTGTCGCGCTGGCTCTTTTCCATCTTGCTACTGCATTCCAGATAGACGGTGCTTGGTTGGGGATCTGCCTCGTCGGATCGAGCTTCTCCAGGATCGTCATGCTCGATGACCGTCATGCCGTCGTCGAGACCTCGCCAGCATCCGCACATGCTTACCCTGCCTTTCAAAGCGTCGCCGCCTACTTTCAATTTCACGACTACACCTCGCTCGGCCGAAACCTCCTCGCCGTTGATCAAATATCCTCAGACAACCCCTGCAATATCGATCCGGATTCCTATCGCTTCTTTGCAGACTTTTATAGAGTGCTGTTTGCCGTCATCAGACGCTCTATCGTCGAACAAGCCCTGTCCCCACTCGACAAGTCGACCCCCATGCAGGATCTCTTTGGCGATATTCTCAACGACATCCGCGAAATGCCTCGGGCGATTGCAGTACATACTCGGCGGGAGAGGAAAGATGTGACCACAAGTTTGTTGGCGAAACGGAAGGAATCCACTCATATCACAGAGTCAAGTGGGGATGGGCGGTGTGATGACGAGATTCACCGCGCTGAAAGTCACGGGAGCTCGCCACATGGGTCAGGCTTCTGGACCAAGGAGGCAATTAGGCGATTGAACAAGCATCTGCGCGATAAAGTCTGTGAGTTGTACTGTATCCTGGCCCCGAGTTACTGCTGATAATCCATACAGCACCCAGCGTAGCCAGATGGCAGCAGGGTGTAGCCGAAGCTGGACATCCCACACTGTCTGTCGATCCTGCCGAGTTGTTTTACACCGAAACGTCAGCGCGTCAAGATCTTTGGCCAGGCCCGCCGAATACTGTCAAGGTCGAGATCCCTATGACATGATCACTGTTCTGGATATCAGAATCTTTCCCGTAGACACCGATACCTTTGAAAGATTCGTGGCACGGCGGATGGAGCAGGCAGGCGTATTGTATTCGGATAGTCTGGAGTGAGTTGGGAGACGGCAGGAAGGCTCCGACATCCCTTTGCGAGATGAGGAAGAGGGGCAGGTTATACTCTTCATTGCATAACATGGACAATCAACATAGGTCGGACAAAGGTTTGACAAATAGAGGAAGCTGCAGCCCAGCTTCCTCCTCTCCGACTACCCGCGGCCTCATCACGACGCTGCCATTGAATCAGTCAAAGTTTGCGTAAAGAAAAAGAACAACTCACGAAACTTTCCTCTCTATCTCTGGCCGACTGTTTAGCTCTTCAAATTCAAAGCCTCTAATCAAGACAAACAACATCACTTTCATCTCTGCCAGCGCAAACCTATACCCTATGCAGTTCCTGCTCCCTCCAAGAAACGTCATGAGGTTGTGATATACTCCTGGGACAGCTTTGGTGGTGGCGGGATACAATTCGGGGATAGGGTCAAGGAACCGGTCGGGTATGAATTGAGAGGCTGTTGGGCCCCAGATATCCTCCGAAGTGTTGACGTTTAGATTGGCTATCCTGCAATTAGCTTCGATTGAATGAGAAAGTCAAAAAATTCACGCATCAAAACAGTCGTCCCCCTATTGAGCGCAACACTGTCCAAAACCCTCCCATCTCTTCCAACTACAGGCGTGGCCAAGGGTAGGACACAGTCTTGCGCCGCCTCTCTCAGTGCCATCGGAATCGGTGCAGATAGTCTCAAGACTTCCTTCACCACTGCATCCATATATGGAAGCGCCAAGAGTGTTTCTATAGGTGGGTGGTCATCGGGGACGGATTGTAGCTCAGCACGGAGGCGGTGTTGAACGGTGGGGTGCTGGGACAGGGTATAGAGGACCCAGGTGAGGGCGGTGGATGACGTCTCGTTCCCGGCGAGCATCTGAAGGAGTCAATACGGTCAAGTCAAGCAGCCAAGCTAGCTTACGAAGGTGGTGATCTGGTCCAAAACTTCGTCGTCCGACAGGCGGTCTTCCGGTAGGATATCATGAGCCATGTTGGCTTTGACTGGCAGAGTATCAGACTTGAAAGGGTCATACGATCGATCTACTTACTCAAGATAGACAGCAGATCGTTGCCGATGTCTACGTTCTTCTCCAAAAACCCGGCGTAGTATGTCTGTACCACTTGCTTTTTACGCTGGATGATCTCCTGTTCACAGGATCAGTCGTGTCCACTGCAGTGCCCGTGTTGGAACCTACCATACCGACTCGTCGCGTGATGCTCCGGCTCCTGTTAAGCACTTGTGTCCTCTCAGTAGGCTACACTCTTTGTCAGCTCGGTAAATAGAAGGTAAGAAGGCTCACAATGAAACGAAGAGCAGGGAAAAGCCCTTGGATCACGCTCATAGCCGACATGCCCATGCCAATCTCAAACATCTCCCGGTACGCTTCTGCCAGCTCATTTTCACCCCCCTCCAGCGTTTGGAAGTCATAGTCAAACCCCGCTAAGCCGATCACGTCCAACGTAGCCTTGCCGGTCCATTTGAGCATGTCGATCTTTCGCCCGTTGGGCTGCTTGTCCTGTTCTAGGGGGGGTGTGGGGCTTGCTTGAGATTCCGCGTCATCATCTATTAAGCCTAGCAGACGTATCTTGAGTTCGTAAGCCTTGTCAAAGAAGATAGGCGCCATCCCTTTGATGCTGTTCGGGCTGAAGCTAGGATTCAGAGCTTTTCTCTGCTTCTGGTGGTCCTTTCCCTCGGCCACCACCAGCCCTTGCCAAGCATGTCGCCCAGAATAGCTCGACCATGAACGGGCTTGGGAAACAGGTCTGGGTGGGAGAGAATGTAGGAGATGGCGGTTGTATCGATGGTCAAGACGCGGGACATGCCGAGGAGGATATTGTAGCGTAATGTGGGGCCATGGGCTGCAAGCCAGATGTCGTACGCAGCATTGGGGTGCGAATGAGCGAGGACGGTCTTGATGGATCCCCAGAAGATGCTGGGCGATTTGGGACCTGTGTGATGACGCACGTAAGCTCATAAACAGCACGATTCCGTCGCAAGAAACCGTATGACTGACCGGGAAGATTTCGATAGGCAAGGGACCTTTCTTGTAGAGGAAAAATGTAGAGGTAGGCTACCAGCAGAATCACTGTGAAGCCTGCCATTCCATATAGAAGGAATCTCAGTAGACAAGAAGTCCAGCTGGAACTGGCCGTCAGCTCGAGGGGGTAGTGTAAGCCCATGAGGTTGATATTAGCTTCTGGATAGGTGTGTCTAAGAGAGTCGATTGGTGATTTTTCCCGGGCAGGTCAAAGTCCCAGACTAATATAGCGATTGACCGCAGGCCATTATAATCCCCGAGGCCTGATACTGTCGGATGCAAGAGCACTTGTAAGATCAGTACCTTGAGCTGCCCCGAAGGAAGAAGACAATCTCACCCTTAAAGCCCATCGACTAGATTAAGAATTGTGTACCCCACAATGTCTATTCCAATATTGTGCGGCCTTTGGCCTTTGGCCTTTGACATGGAAACCCTCAGCGCTCGGATGCTTTGTGTGCTGCTTCTGTTTGTGGCCCAGGGACTTTGCGTGCCCGTGCTGCCGATTGTCCGGAGGCATTGTGGCATATGTATACAGCGAACTGACTAGACTTGTCGTGTGCTACCCCCTTCGAAACGCGAAACAAGAGAAAGAGGAGCATTCAAGGAGCATTGCACAATCGGCGCCGCAATGCAACAATTGCAAAGGAGATGGACGGTGTTACGTAATTCGGCCTTTCGGGTGACCGCTTCTTCTTTGCCATTTTGCTCTGCGCGTATATCCTTCTCTGCTGATTATCGTTCAACATCCCCCCATCCGCCATGAACCCGTCCTACTTCCTGCCAAACGCGTACGACGCTGGACAGGGCCCCTCGTCCCGGCAGTACGACGACGATTCTGCCTCGGAATCAGACGCCTCTCTCTCCCCCGAACCCCTCTACCCCCACAATCCCAACGAACACTACTCCCATCCCCAGCCACATCACTTCCCTTCCCATCCCCAACAACCCCACGAAGAGCAGCGCCCTCCTCTCCAGACCGGACCAATGGTCGCGCCTCATCAGGATCTGGATTCCTTCCTCGAGTCCTTCTGGACGAGACAGATGGACACTGTCGAGGGCGAGACGCCAGACTGGAAGAGCTACAATCTTCCCCTGGCAAGGATCAAGAAGGTAATGAAGAGTGATGAAGAAGTAAAGGTGAGTAGCCATTGATACAATTACGAGCACCGCTGATGCACAGCGAGTAGATGATTTCGGCTGAAGGTAGTCGATATTCCACATTTGCCGTTCCAGTGCTGACAACATCTTCCCATAGCACCTATAATGTTCTCCAAAGCCTGCGAGAGTGCGTCATTCCTTTACGCGATTTGAGGCTGGTTGTCTGACGCGATCTTAGTATTCATATCCGAACTCACTTGCCGCGCGTGGTTAGTCGCCGAGTCAAACAAACGCCGCACTCTACAGAAATCGGACGTGGCAGCTGCAATCGCGTACTCGGACATGTTTGACTTTTTGATCGATATCATCCCTCGAGATGATGGCGGCAGTGGGGGGGCGGGTGCAGCGGGGCCCTCGGGAAACGGCCAGGAGAGTGGAACCCAAACAGGGGGCCAAGGCAGTGTGGCGCAAGAGGACGGGGTAGAGGAGGAAGAAGGGGAGGGAGAGCCATACGAAGGTACGGACGGTGGAGAGGAAGGCGAGGATCTGTATGGCGAGTATGTGCAGGACGAGTAATCAGCTGTGTATATAGTATGATCTTGGTGTAATGGCAATATGGCTTTGTTGTGTTTTTTCTTTACATGAATAGATTCATCAATTCGTTTCTAAATCCACTCAATCTAACAAGCACCACGTCGATGGAGCACTAAGGCCCATTTACACTCATCCTGTTGATCCCAGACGTCACACCCTCAGCACCGATCTGGGTAGGTGCAGCATGCGCATAAGAGCGTCCGTCAGGCATTCCGTATCCAGCACTTTGGGGAGCTTGCCCATAAGCAGGAGTCTGCTGGTAGTACTGCTGCGACTGCTGGTGAGGCTCACCCTGCTGCTGGTGATATGCATCCCATTGCTGATGTTCCCCGGAACCTACCCCCGCTACACCCGGCTCAGTCGTTGTCCTCGAAGGTGGAGTATGGGGAGGGTACGGCGGGGCAGCTTGGGGAGGGGCACCCTGTTGGTAGCCCTGCGTCTGTTGTCCCGGGGAGCCAGCAGCTGGGACAGGGGCAGAAGCGGATGCGACTCGGTTCACGGAATTGGTGCTATTGCTTTGCTGATAATACAAGCCCTGTTGGGCTGGATCATGCTGAGGAGCATACTGCTGCTGCTGGAGACGGGGCTGCTGTTGAGCCCCAGCGGCGGGAGAAGCAGACTGCTGTGGGTACCCTGCTGACGGGTGTTGTGCCGACGGGTCAGCGGGGAAAGGTGTCTGACCAAGAGCAGCTTGCTGGGGCTGTTGCCCATAGTACGAGTTCTGAGTGTGGAGCTGAGGTTGAGGCTGAGGAGCATACTCGTAGACTTGACCCTGGCCTACTACTTGGGGAGGATGGGAAGGGGGATTTCGCAAGTCTTCATACTGCCTTATGGCCCTGATAAAGTTGGAGTTCATGTGATCCAGCTCGGCTGATATATGTCAGTAAAAACTTGGCTACGATGCACGTATTGAACGCACCCTTTTGGTCCGAGTACTTCTTGATGAGGGCATTGATCTGCCCTTGGAGAGCTACGCTGGCCTGGTACATTTCCTCGATTTCCGGTCGGTCATCCAGCCTGTCTCCACGGGCAGGATCGATTCCCTTGAGAGTTTGCAACAGTTGATCAACGAGGCCTGCGAGAAAACAAGTCAATAACCTTTCTGCAACCTTACATTGTTAACTTACCCAAAGAAGCAAAAACCCTTGCCTCCTCCTGAGCCTCCTCTTGCAATTCCCTGGTGGACAACTCTGGTAGACCTTCGACATATGTCACTGGAAAGATACCGATTTTTCCATTACAGGCTCCTCGCCACCATTCCTTGAACCCCCTATCAAGCACTTTGATCACATCACCTCTATCAAAGTCAAGCTCACCAACCTCTGCACCCGTGAAGGGGTAGATGGCGCGCACGCGGGTGGCAGTGTTGATATCAATCTGAGGAGGCGTAGGCTCGAGAGGCTGGGGCGACTGGATACGCTGAAGCTGAGGAGGGTAGTGGGACTGTACAGGCGCTTGGATAGCTGGTTGTTGTTGATATTGGGCCTGTGTAGGTGCTTGGGCTTGAGGCTGAGAGGGAGCGGTGATGGGAGGCTGGGAAGCGGCACCAGAGGGGCCGGAAGAGGACGAAGCCCCAGCAGACCCAGAGGGTTGGTAAGTGAAAGTTGAGCGCCCGCCTTTGTCTTGCTTGGAGAGCTCGAGAACACGCTGGAGCTCTTCTTCCTCTTCCCTCCTACGAGCTTCCGCCTAGATCAGACTGTCAGTAAGTGACCTTCCCATCGCCAAGTGTAGCTTACTGCACTTTCCGGAGCAGCTTCAGCCTCATCGAATGGAAGATCTGATCACTCCATTAGGTCTCATTGTACATACATGAGCACTGGACTCACTTTTGCTTCTCAATTGGTCATAGAGCTCCCCCATGAGTCCCAAGTTGGGATTCCCGGTTGCTTCAAACTGCCTAGCCCACTCCTTGATATAGACTAGAGCCTTCTTCTTGACGGGAGCCGCGGTAGTCTGGCTCAAAGTGAGCTCGAGTCTTTTGAAGACTTTCTCATGTGCTCACTCGGTCGTTCACGAGCCTATCGAGGGCCTGAGTCCAGTTCCGAGAAGACAGCTCGCCGAGAAGCTCATTTCCGCAATTCTGAGCCAGGACGTTCGCCAGCTGCAGTTCACATCCATCAGTCCTTTACTTGTAGCGAAGCATGCGGCCGCACCTCAAGAGCGTATATCTGCACGTTGGGGTTTCGGTGGGAGAGTCTCTTCTGTAGCGCGGCGATAGCCAGTCGGGCTCTGACCCTCGACCTGTCAGCACTTGCAGTCCGGGTGCTTCGGGGCACTCACCCATTCTCCCCTTCCCCCGATACCTTGTCACAAACATCCATGTTGAGGGCCCAGTCCTCCGAGGCGAGATTCTCGTCGGTGGCTTTGACTAAATGAAGCAATCCGAGCAAAGGGTGACGCCTGTTTAGCGGATACCACAGGGGACGAGGGAATGAGAGCGGCACTCACGGACGAGTTCATCGTATGGGTTGGGCGCTGACGAGAACATTGCGGCGGTGGCGAATGGAGAAAGAGGAATGAAAGAGGAAAGTGGCGCAGCACGATGACGGAGCGGAGGGCGATGCAACAACCCGGGGCGCGGCGGCAATGGCCGAAACGACGGGCAACTCTTCTCAGCAACTCTCATGGCATTCTCTATAGGTTCATGCATGCAGGAAAATGCAGACGTAAATTGATGATTGCTACTTATAGTTGCGCTTGACAAAATTCACAAAACTCGCTGGAACTCTTCTACTTGCCTGAGCGCCGCATCAAGCAATAGTTGCCATAAACTCTCCCGCTTTCCAACAGCCCACCTGGAAGCCAGATCAAACGGGACCACCATTTGGAAGATGCAGCGTCCAAGAAAGGAGTACAGAATTCAGCTTCAAAGTCGGGGTGGACTACCCAGTCTGGCTCCAACTCGGAGGGGGTGGCTGAAGGGAGGGAGAGGGCTACCAGATAGGTGCACTCGCTGGGGTCGACCTAAAACAAGGTGTCAATATACGATCACACTTCAAAGAGATTGACATACAAAGGTTCCAGGCTCGGCCGAAGCCTTGTTCTCGCCGTTGAACCGGCCTTCTCTGATGACCCTAGTCTCGCTCCTAGGCCATCTGCCACTTTTCGCCGCGCTCTCTTCCCACTTCCTAGGCATCATGCCATCAAACTCTGACTGGATCCAGTAGGTCTGGATACCCTCGGGAATCAAATAAGACCCAGGGAATCGATGCCACTCCGACCCGTAGCAGAGAGTGATGGGCTCCTCCAAATCTTGCAGAGGTGAAAGGTCCCACTGAATGTCAAACTCCTCGTTACTGTACTGTTTATAATCCTTGGGTGGAGCTATAGGCTCGTACCCCAGCTCGGAGAGAACACCAGGGAGGGTTTCGTATTGAAAGTGGAGGATAATGTCGAATGGGGCATGGTAAAATTGATACATGGCTCCGATTCGGCCGAGCGAGAGGATGGAGGGGAAAAGGATGGTGAAGAGAGTGAAATTGGAGAAGAGTTGAGATTTGCTAGCCTTTGGAGAGATCAGCCGTGTTTTTTCCGCATGACAGAAGCTTACCCTGTATGGAGACCTGGTGAGATAGACGTAGCTCTGCTCGAACCATCCTCGAATCAGATAGATTGACACTGCCGCGTTGAAACACAAGAGCGGGTATGCAGGGAAGAAGAACCTCTCCTCCTTGTGAGCCTGAGCGGTCAAGATGGCTCCCCAGATGTAGGAAGGTGCCAATCTCGTAGCCAGAAGCAGATAGGGACTGGTCTCGCCTTCGACAGGCTTCCTCTGGGACTTTCCCAGTCTCCTGAAATCATATTTGTATGTCACGGCCAAAGCAGGCAAAGAAATCAGAGCAAGGGGGAGGAAGAAATTGAAGTTGAGGAAAAGATTCGCCAAGTAGAAGGTCGAGGGAGATGTGCCGTAGAGGTCCGGAGAGCCGGAGGGGCTAAAAAGATTGTACGTGATGATGTTGAGGGTAGGAAGAACGGACTTTCCATAAGCCCAAGAGTCGATCAAATACACAGGAATCTATCGGCCGTTAGAGTGCTGGTACAGATCGCGGTAAGAGTCACTCACAGCTATACAAGCCGCAAAGGCAGTCGCCTTGGCCATGGTGTCCCATCTCTTTGTCCTCCACTGACTGACAGCAGCCGCGGGAACAATCTCACCGCCGCCCAGGAAGAGTTGCTCAAAGACAAGGGGAATGCCCAAGGCCGCACTGAAAGGCCATCCAACGATCGCGCCAAGAGCATAGAAGAAGGTGGCCCGGTAGGTTCGGGTCACGCCCTGGGGGGTGGAGGTTGCCGGTTGGAACCAAAAGGTCGAGGCGAGCATAGTTGTGTACATCGTGAAAGAAGACGGCAAGAATGCTGTAGACCGTATCAGGATCATGTTCAACGGTTATCAAGATGACTTACAGACAGAGGCAAAGCTCATGCCGGCACTCAGCATCATGATGAAGAGCAGGTACCTTCCCACACGCTCGTTGATAGTTTCTACAACAGTTCTGTAGAACTTGGCCTCAGAGAACGAACAGATGGCGCCAAGGGAGATTCTGAGGGCAAAGAACGCGGGACGCTACGACCAATGTCAACGATATGTCCAGGCTTGTGCGACTCCCCGGAATACTGACCTTTCCGAGACGCAACAGAAGGGGTCCGAGGTGCGCCAGAGGCCAGTGTAAAAGAATATAGGCCCAGCTTCGCACGGCGAATTCCGGAGAGAGCTCCCACGTCTGGAAGCCGTGGTTGTACTGAAAGTAGTGGAGAGGCTCGAAGAAGTTGAACACTGCCCATGTGAGCTACTTGATTCTTTCTCGAGCATGAATCTCACCTTCGTCACAGTCGGCAATGATATTATACATTGCGCCCGCTGTTCTGATGAGGAGTAGCAGGCGAACGGCAAGCGACAACGAGGGCACAAATGGACCTCTCTGGTTTCTATAGGACACAATGAGCAATCCAGCGAGATACCCAAGCTCAAACAAGCTACCTACCGTCCGCTCTGATCTTGTAGCAAGCCTTGGTGCCTCGCCTTGAATCCTACAGGTGCCATCGATCCAAACTCGTCTTTCTTGGGCGCCTGCGTCGACTGGGCTACCGCATTTGGACCCGCGGTAGGACGGCGAAACCGAATCGTCTCTGTGCCAGGGAGGGCCATGCCGGGGGAGGATGTGATTTTTGGGTTGGCGTAGATGGACAAGCAGAAGAGAGATTTGTCTGGGATTTGTTCGCTCGTGAAGCGGAAAAAGGCCAATCGCCGGTGAGTGGTGACGCATCTCAATCGCTCCGCCTACTGTGACTGCAGCGGATACATTCCTCATTGACCCCAGAAGATATCCAGCAGCAGCATGCGTATCCCTTTCTTCAGCCCGGCCCCGCCCTCCAGCACAGAGTCGTCCGAGGCAGGGCCCTCATCGCCCACGCCCGCTTCTACGCCAGCAGCTTCAGCGGCCACCGCCCCTGTAATCAATCGATTCGAGCATATGCTCGCCGACGAAACTAGCATACAGGAAGCACAGTATCCTACCTACGACGAGGTGCCCGGGTGCATGAGACTGCTGTAAGCTTGTGGTCACCCGCTACGAGCAGAGTTCCTAACGAAATCCCAGAGACGAGTTCTTGATGTGTTATGGTATGTCATCTTGCTCAAAGCAGCCACAGGCGTTGACTTGATTCAGCTCTTGTTCCACAACTGCGCTCTTTCTACCGCCGAGGAGAAATGAGTGATTGCACGTGGAAGTTTCAAGACTTCAAATACTGCATGTCATTAAAGTCATCTGACCCAGAGGAAAAGAGGCAGCTGTGGATCAAAAGGCGTGCAGAGTGGTGGGCTCAGAGGCGATTGAACAGAAGCAGCGAAGATGTCTGGGATCTGAGAACGTGAGTACCCTCGCTTCTCGTCTATCTGGTGCTGATTCATGATGAAAGAGAACGACTCGAGAATTTCCCTCCCCTGGCCCCCGAGGACGTTTCCAGCGACACGACGACTGCATAAATTCATTCACAAACGATAATGCACCTCATGTTGACAGTGCAAGCCCTCCGCTCATCGGACAATCGCCTCTACTTGCTCACGTCTACCTGCGCCTCTGGCTCGCCCGCCTTGGCTTTCTTTGGTTCCGACCCCTCAATTTTGGTCTTGCCTGGCTTCGCCTGCATCTCACGAGTGGCAATGGCTTTAGCTTGCTTTTTCTCAGCCATCTTCTCCTTTTTGGATTTGTGCTGATTGAGTGGCTGCTTGGGATCTCAGCAAGTTTGCTCACACATCGGAGCTCAAAGTACCTTATCTCTACCCATGCTGATCGTATTATCTTGGCCAGGTTTCGAAAAGTCTCTGTGCTTCTTGCGAGCTATATAAGTAAAGCTTCACGCCTTCGCGGACATCCGATGTGAGATGGTGTGAGATCTTACCCAAGCATGCTTCGCGTTTGCGACAATGGGAAACAATGACGAGGTCCCCTACAGCCTGCTTTGTGAGATCTACCAACAAGGGGAGGGGGAGGCAATCCTTTTGCGGCCCAACTGATTGATCATGCAGAGAAGACGTCTGACTACCTATCGTCATTCCGGTTGTGTTGCTTCGGTTTCTGAGAAGACGCGTGTGTCGACCGAAGGCGTGCTAGTTTCTGAGAAACCTCTCATGGGCCGCAGGAACCTTGCGAACATGTCTTCTACTATTACATGCAGCCTCTACAGCATAACTATAGTAATCTTATACCAAATTATAATGACGAATTTCTATATCAACGTAGCACCTATGTGTCCCCTCCATGGGGATCAGAAAATGGGCCTTCTCTGTCTCTCCTTTCCTGGAGCTCTCTCATGATCTCTGCCAATGCAATCGTAGCCTGGCCGCTCCCCGTCCCCAAACCGACCTGCACCTTGGATGCACTCGCGAGCTGCGGCTCGGCGGCAAAGTAGGACGTTGAGGAAGAGGTTGGAGATGCCACATCTGGAAAGTGTTCGTGTTCCGAATGTGTCGAGTTGTACTCCTCGAGATAGTCGACAGAGTCGTGTTTCTCCCTCGCGGGAAGCGGGGGCTGATCGCGGAATGGGTCGTTTAAGAGAGCCGACATGCCTTCCCCGAGCGTGGGCGCGCGAGACATTGGTCGCGGATAGACAGCATGAGCCCCGTCACTCGCGTTCGATTCTTCATGTGAATGGATAGCAGGATAGCGTCCTGGCTCGCCGTCAATATCCCTTCCATAGAGTTCCGCATCAACCATAGTCCACTCGGGCTCATTTTTCTTCTTCGCCTCATTAGCCCAGTCGTAGCGCGGAGTGCGGGCAGTAGGCACCTGGCTTGCCCCAAAGCTCTTCTCCGTGCGCTGGCTCGCAATCCTCCCAAGAGCCGCACCATGTTTCTGGCCCCGTGTAGGGAAGAATGCTCGGACCCCTTCAACCGCCCCATGGAATTTGTCGACCCAAAACGGCTGAGGAGAGTTTGGGCGATCAGAGTATACAGAATTCTGGCGAGGGAAGGGCGAATTTGCATGGTCTCGGGAGTAGAGTTCGGAGCTTTGACCAGCAATGAAAGGTACCTCGTCTTCGGCTGGGGTAGGAGTACCGGTGAGCTTGCGGCCAGTCAGCTTCAGGAAGCTTTGACCAGGCGCGGCCAGAGAGGCAAGCGTGTTTCGGACCCCAGAACTCTGTCGACCAAGCGTTGGGCCACCGTGACGAGAGTCTGGTACATGACGGAAAAAGCTTTTCTCGTCGTTGGAGTGAGGCAGGTCATAAGATGTTACAACCAAATTCGGGCCGCCACCAGGTGAGGGAGATGTCCCTCGAAATTGCTTCTCGGCGTACGAATCATAGATAGGATGATCGTTCGTCATCCAGCCTTTCCACTTTGGCTGCTGCTTGATATCTTGGCCGCTCTGACCAAAACCGTCGGGCCCCTTTGGAGGCATCCCTCGCAATGCCATATATTTGTCCTTGCCACCACTATACCAGATGACGATGATGAGGCCAATCAGTAAAAGAAGGAGCCAAAAGGCTAGCATGATGCCGTAGAAGACCCTCTCCACCTTCAGAGCGCTCTCAAAGTGGGTGATTAGAGTGCCAACAACACCGTCATCATCGTCATCATCGCTAGACCCTACTGCCGCAGATGCAATAGGTGTAGCGATTTCCTCCATCGAGCTATTTGATAGCAGGAGAACGTCGCTAGAAAGGGTAGGAAGGTCGACGAAGGCGTGTTCGGATATCCAGGTGAGGCCTTTCTCGAGGTTGGTGATTTTGGAACCCAGGATGCAGTACATGAAGGTGTTGATCGGGTTGTAAAGGATTGTGTCGCCAAAAGTGGTATTGAGGACTGTGATCTGTCAGCAGTGGGTTGAGAGAACATTGCAAGACTTACTGCTTTCGACTTCGTCGTAAAACTGGACAAGGGTGGTATTCAAGGTCACAGCAGTGGTATTGACCCAGCTCCCAAAGAGCTCGTTGTTGATCCTGTCCTCAAACTCTTTGATGGCGGTATTGTAAGAATCGGCGTACTCTTGGCTGCTGTTGAGAGCTGCAGCATTGAGTTTGGCCACAAGCGCGTTGGAAGACGCGGTCACAGTTGCGTTGGCATTGGATTCTGCGTTTGATTTGATCGCATCCAGAGCGAGGAGCTGGAACTGGATGGACAAGAAACCGATGATGGATATGCACAAGAGAGCCAAGCAAGTCGGATGAGCTAGGTATGACACTATTCAACAGATCAATAAAGGTCAAGGAACGAAGCGATTAGGACTCACTGAACCACCGGATATTCGTTCTGGTCCTCGGACTCTTGCTGACGCGATTCAAGACGTGGGATGAGTACCGCTCCAGCACGGGGTGTTCTACAATTGCCACCATCCTCCAAGCGTCACTTCGTCCATCATTTTGCCATTCCTCCTGAATTGTCTCGACGGTGTCCTTCATGATTTTCCACTTGCGCCATTCCCATATTGCAAGAGCAGCCCACACCAGGAAGAGCAAGAGGAACATAAGGCCGATAGCGATGCTGGACAGCTTGTGTAGAGCTTTGACGGCGTCGTCAATCAAGGATGTGTCCAGGTCAGAGCACAGCTCACTGGACAGATCGTTGCCACTGCTCGCAGAGAGAGACGAGAGAGAGGGGACAGGGAGTATGGAACTGTTGAAACTCGCTGCCATCTCGAGACGGGTAGAATTGATCTCTGTGATTAGAAGCTCGAAGGGGGTGTCGATTATTTCGTTCAGTTTCTCCTTTAGATCGTTGAGAGTGGGGAGAGAAGAATTGAGAGTGAGGAGCCCGTCTTCAAAAGTCGTTGGGATGGTGACATTGGCGAGGAAGGAAAGAGAAGGAATGGTGAAGGATGGGACAGTCAAGTTGACATTGACCAGATTGGTTACCGTCTACGGTTACCAATCAGAGGCATGCTCGAGAAGGATACGACGCAACTCACATTGATGCCGCTGACAGCACTCTGAATAATGTTGTTGGCCGAATTGATGTCGTCCTGTATGTCGGTGCGGACCGAGTTCAGTGTACTGGTCACGGAATCGGATATCTGCGTGTGTGTCAGTATCAATACTAGAGAGACAAGAAACAGTACTCGCCGTTTGTACAACGGAAATCAATATCTCCAAAGTACCTCTTACTGCCAACTCGATCGTACAGAGCAACAAGCTTCGGTAAGTGTCGACAATAAAGTTGACAACCGCCTCTATGATCTGGATAGCATCCATCAACATGGTGCCCACCGCCAAGATAGTGGCTTGTGTAGCGCGAACAGCCTCCTGGTTCGTTTGCATAGCAAGATACCTTGGGATGGCTTGTATTGACGCTGCCCCCTTTGCAAGACCAGAACAAGCGGAGAGAAGGGATGACTTCAGAGAAGACGCAAGAGAGGCTGTAGAAGAACGATTTTGGATCAAGTGGGCGATGGTCAAAATCATCGGCAAAAGGCATGGCGAACAGAAAGTAAGGATGATTCGTGGTAGCAGAGCCAAATAAGGGCGCAGTGGCGTAGATGTAGGGCGCTGTTGAAGTGGCGCGGGGGAGTATGGTGTATGAGGGGTCGGGGGCAGAGGCGATGATGAGTACTGCACGAAAGGTGGCCGTATAGGTGGGGAAAGAGGGATGACCTCTTCAGCATTGATTCGGGTGGGAGTTTGGAGGTGCGCCATGGAGAAAATACAATGGTGGTGTTGTGATTGATAGAAAGGGGATGTAGAAAGCAGGAGTCTAGGAAAGAGCTGTGAGTGAGGAGATGGATTGACAGAGATGGTCAAATGCGTTCGACATAGTCTGCATATGACGGTCTTGCCGCTTGGAGTTTCATGAAGAATAGGCAACTCGCCAGATCAGCAAACAAGGAACCCCCTGATCCTGGTGGTCAGTTTCTATTGTTCGCTGGCGAGTCATGTTGATGCGCGAGGGAGAACAATAAGCGTTGAAGAAAGGGCGTGTTACAGAAAACAATACGAAAATGAATCTGAAACGACCAAGTCCCTGGAAGGCTGGAAAGGTCCCACTCGGCGGAATCAAATCGTGCTGCACCGTGGGAATATCCAGTCCGTGGCGCGCTATGGCCTATGTCCCTCGCCATTTACCCGGGAATCAACGCACGATCCCATGGATGGAACTCCAAACTATCTACGTCTACGCCAAGTGATAATCCCTCCTCGACCTCCTTGACGACGACGGCGGTTCGGGCGGAGTGTCACGGTGTACGTGCGTCGGTAGAGCACGATTTTGCCCGGCGCAAGCCCGGCGACTCGCCCTCTCGATGCCTCAGTTGCCAGAGTACGGGCACGGACTCACTCGAAGCTCAACCGAGGCAGGTGACGACCCCATGCTGAAACCACTCCCTCCGTTCACGAGTCGAGCAAAAATCCATCGAGGCCGTCGACATCCTGACCTTCGGCAAAAACAGTAGCACGATCGCCCGTCGTAATTCACACTTCTCGCTGAGCATCCGAAAGACGTCCTGACAACCCGTCCTGACAACCCCCGTTCGCTCCGTTAGAGGAAAGGAAGGAGGGGCATAATTCTCCTGAAGGCCGTGGCCCGTGGCCCGACAATCCCGCCCACTTCCACATCAATCCTGTTCAATCCGTCAGGGATGCGGACAATTCTCGCGCTTCGCTTCGGTCAACGGTTTCTGTATGTACTCTTTCGTCGCATATTGACTACGCATCGCAGCTGTATGTTACAAATACTCTCCGCGCCCATCATCTTGAGCTCAATCTCCCCTGGTCCCTCAGTGTGCCTAAGCACCTTCCATACAGTGTTTCAGCTGACTTGGGACTCGTCTTGACGGATATATAAGAGGTCACAATGCGTCTTTTTCATTCCCCAAACAACTTCAAGTTTCTTCTCTTTCAACCACTCACATTCTTTAACAGGCTTGACGCCTTGCACATTCTTTCTTTACCTAGCTTTCTATTCGTTTATCATCCAACATGCCTTCTTTCCTCGCGTAAGCCACGACCCCTGGTACATCACATTACTTGTATGCTGATACCCTACGCCCAGAAACAAAGTCGCTCTCGCCACACTTGCCGGGCTCGCTGCACTCCCTTCGGCTTTGGCCCATGGGCACGTGACTTCTTGGCAGATCGGTGATACTACTTGTACGTCTGACGCTTATAACGTCTTCCTCACTGACACCCATCTTAGACGCTGGTTTCAACCCCTCCAACTCGGCCGAGCTGGGCTCTACCCCCGAGCGAGCCGTAAGCTCAACCCCCCCTTACATGAACGATAACCCCAGCTGAATATCTTATCAGACGACCAACTCTGACCAAGGCCCGGCTGACTACACCACGGATGTGATCGCCACGGGTGGCACGGCTACATCGAGTGACCTTGTCGCGAATGCTACGGCAGGAGATACTGTCATTGTCACATGGAACACATGGCCCGAGAGCCACAAGGGGTGAGCAAATCGGCCTCAGGAGCTTCAGCTGAAACCTTTCCCAGTTCTGTCACCCAGTGGATGGCCCATTGTCCCGATGATCTCTGTGCTGGCACAGCTGGCGCCGACATGGATTGGTTCAAGATCTCCCAGAGCAGCTACGACGAGTCCTCGGACTCTTGGCCCACTGATTACATTGCCGAGAACTTGATTTGGACCTTCACTCTCCCAACCAACTTGGCTGCTGGGTGAGCGTGGTATAAACGCGCAATGGGTAGAGGCTGACGACAGGGTGCAGGCAGTACCTCCTCCGACATGAGCTCTTGGCAATGCACAGCACTGGTGCTGTGAGTCGTTTCCTTGTTCTACTCTTGAATGAAGCCTACTCACTTTGCTCATAGCCTCAATTCTATCCTGTTGCCATCGAGATGCAGCTCGAATCATCCGGGTCCACCACCCCTTCTCCCACTGGCACCTTCCCCGATATGTACGACTCCGATGACGACATGGCTCTGACTCAGAACATCTACGGTGGCTCCGCTCTCAACGCAGAGTTTGTGGTGCCCGGTGTCGCTGTCTAGTACGTCATATATTCATAGAATGTCTGTGGACGACATGCTGATACAGCGCTAGTGATGGCAGCGACTCGACGGTATCAAACTGGGATTCCACTGGCCTCGAGAACAACTCTACCAGCTCCTCTTCCACCACCGCTTCTTCTGCCGTTTCTGCTACCACCTCTTCTGCCGAAGCCTCTGCCGCTACCTCGTCCGCTGAGGTCCTTGTCGCGACTTCCGATGCCGAGTCTTCCATCCAGTCATCTGCCGTCGAAACCTCTGCCGTCGAGACCTCTGCTGTCGAAACCTCTGCCGCCGAAACCTCTGCCGTCGAAACCTCTGCTATCGAATCCTCTGCTGTCGAATCCTCTGCTGTCGAGACCTCTGCTGTCGAGACCTCTGCCGTCGAGACCAGCGCTGCCGCAACTGCCACCAATGCAGTTAGCGAGACTGCCACTTCCACCTCGTGAGTATACCTGACGTTGCATATGAAGCGCTGACGATCTTTCAGCGCTTCGGCCTCTGCCACGGGTAGCGGATCGAGCGGTACCAACTTGCAGACTTACACTGGTGCTATCGACGGTATCTCGGCTCCGTCCGTGACTGGTGGGTGGGCTATATTCTACTCTGCCCATTTTGTACTCACTCGACTATAGCCGACGGCGACCAGTACACTTGCGATGGAAACACTTTCAACAGCGAGTCTGACGCGCTCACCCGTTCTTGCGAGGTACAGAGGAACCAGTGCCTCGACTCTGCCAACAGCAAAGCCAACGACGAGGTCAGCTCTGCCATGACTGCTTGCGAGACTCAGGTATGTTCCAGCTTGATTGGACACTCGCTATCCGATCCGTATGCTGACTTGTCCCAAAGGCCACAGAATGCGACTCTTCTATTTCTTCTGCCCGTCGACGCGACATGGTCATCGGACGATACGCCAGGCGAGCCTTCTAACCATTGAGCGCCTTCCCCCCGCGCTCTGTTCCATAGCTTCCTTGTCTTCTCTATACTATCTTGTCAGTAAACCCAAAAAAAAATCCACCATATGGCGTTGACCGCCCTATGCATAACCTTTTGTAAACGTATGCTGGCAATTTGAGTGATGCCATCCACCAAGAATGACACTAATCAGCCGCGGCAACTCTCATGTAATGGGTATAGGGCATTTAATAAATAGAAGCAATTGAGGGTCATCTGGAGTTGAGATTGTTCAGTGCTGGCACACGGGTATCTCCTGAGACGTGACACCGAATGAGGGCAAGCGCGCGTAGATAGGCATTCCAGCAGCATGGGACAGTATGCACAGTCAGTATCCGACATTCTAGCCTTTTGGGGTTTCGTTGGGTGACTTTGTTGGGAGTAGACATCGCGTGCGCCTAAGAGTGATAGCAGCGCAATATTTGATCCCGTTTGAGAGGTGACGCGTCTGTTGCTTTGGACGTTGGATGCTTTCACCCACCAAGTACTTCTCACCTCTCTGCCCGGCATGGCCCTCTACGCACAAAGACCAGTCCACCACGAGCCCACTGCGGCCCCCATCGAACAGCAAGTCATCTCCAAAAGGCCATACCTGCGTCACACGCTGACTCGCAATTCTTAGCCATGGCTTCAACCCGTACAGCGACAACGGTGGTTCCATCCTATCTATCTGCGGAGCCGACTTTGCCATGATTGCCGGAGACACCCGACAATCAGAAGGCTACAGCATTCAGACTCGATATGCTCCGAAAGTGTGGCAATTGTGAGTCCTGGCTGTGTTGGAAGGTCCGTAACTGACAACCTTGATAGGACCGACAAAGCGGTTCTGGCTACGAACGGCTTTGCTGCTGATGGAAACAATTTCGTCAAGAGAGTGAAGCAAAGACTGGAGGTACGTAACCTTTGTGCTGGCGCTGCAAAGTTCCACTAACCAAGGGTTTTAAGTGGTATGAGCACGCTCATCAAAAGCAAATGAGCATCAAGTCTATCGCAAGGATGATTCAGACCATGCTCTATGGCGAGAGATTCTTCCCGTACTATGTGTACAACATTCTCGGAGGTATCGAGGAGGACGGTGAGAATGATCATCCTTGTTTGAGGGCGGTACTGACGCAAGGCAGGTTCCGGTGCCGTGTACTCTTTCGACCCGGTCGGCTCCTACGAACGAGAGGCGTGCAGAGCTGCCGGTGCTGCCCAATCCCTCATTCAGCCATTCCTTGACAATCAGATCTATTTCAAGAACCAACAGCCCGCACCCGGGGCTGGCCCCTTCGTCCCCGGCAATCTTCCCTTGAGCACCGTCCTTTCCGTCGTTGTCGACTCCTTCTCCTCTGCCACCGAGAGACACATTGAAGTGGGTGATGGGCTCGAGATCTTTGTGGTCATGGCTGCTGGAAGGTCTACGGACGATCTCCTCGGAGAAGGTCGATTGGCGCCGGGAATGGAAGTGGAAGAGCTGCACCCCCTTGGACAGGGAGGAGGCGAGAGAACGTTTTTGGTCAGGTGCCCTTTGAAGAGAGACTAGATGTTGTAAATATGAACTGGATCAAGGGCTTCCCGAATCCATTTGACATTTCTGTCAGGACAACGAGACATTTCTAGACATTCATGATTCACCAATGACTACAGAGCTTTACCACATTAGTCACAATACAACATAGAGTACACTGGGAGGCCTTTCGAAATCAAGATGTAGCCTCGGAGTCAACGACACTAGTGTGATCATTGGATTCAGGCTCATACTAGTAGCTCCCAGGGGGCTTGTCCCACTTTTGGTGCTTGTGCCAGTGTCTGTTGTTCTCCACATCCGAGACGCCCCCACCGATTATCAGACTGATGTTCCATCAGTGAGGTGGTATATGTGATCCAGCTAGATCACTTACCCTATGACTGTCCAGATGAGCCAAGCCCAGAAAAATGCTGTCCAGAATCTGCGCAATGCTCGCGATCTCACGACATGGTCTGGCGGCTGCACCCATTCTCCGTGGGCGACGGGCCCCTGCTCCGGGTGAGCGGACTGCGTGGGGTGTTGTTGGGGCTGCCTTTGGGGCGGCATAGCCTGTGGTTGTGGTTTCTTGGTGCTGTGGCCGTCATCTGAGTTGTGAATGAGTATGTGGCCAGGAGACTGGTGTTAGAGGATACTTGCAAGGAGGAGGTGCTTCTGATGGCCCGGCATCGTGCTGTTCAGGCTGAGGGAGATGAGATTCTTCCGGGGGGCTGGCAACGACTGCGGCGTAGGAGGGTTTGTCAGGCATCGTCGGTGGAACCAGTGGTGGCGATACAAAAGCACAAACAAAAGTAACATCGTCATCATGGGTCCGGCGGCGGCATCAAGGAAAGAGAGGGACTTGTTACGTCATCACCTGCCCGTTCCTTTTTGTCCATCCCCGCCGCCAGCTCGCGTCGACGAACAAAGTAATCGTCTGACAGGGCTGTGCAAAGCCTTTGAGCTTCGAGATGCGTACAATACTGGGCCAATATTCACTTTACATCCTGCTATGGTGACAAAAACACATTTACTTCTCCGTATAACAACTTTCCGTATAACAACAATGATATTCTTCCGTCTTTCTTTCTTTCTCACACCCCGATGTCTACACCCGCTCTCGGAACTCGACAACAGGCTTCTCATCGTGTTCCAATGAGGCTACCTTCTCAATGTCGTCCCTAGCACCGACCTCGGGAGTGTATTGCCCAGGGCTTTCCTCGACATTGAGGTTGGTCTGTAATATCACGTCAGCACCATCCACGGAAGGTTGCAATCCAATGTGGCTTACCTGGCTAGTCCAAATCGTCAAGCGGCCGTGGTACTTCCTGCTGTTGATGACCCACATGACACCACCGTAGCAGAGCAGGGGTACAAAGCCGGTCAAGGGAATGAAGAAGGACCTCCAAGTGCTGACGGCGTCGGACACGGCACCTTGGATGGAAGGGTAAGCGGCACCACCGGACACCCCCAAAGCGACTATTCCTGAACCGATCTTCGCATGAATTCCCAGACCTTGTGTGGCCACGCTAAAGATCACAGGATAGCATACTCTAGTGCAAGAAATCAGCGGCCGAGTCGGGTCAATCAAAGACGGCGGTAAGACTTACGACTCGAAGAGGTAGATCATGAAGAGGCAAGCAATCCCGCCCTTTCCGGGAACTGTGGCCGTCAGGATGGAGAAGATCACCAATCCAATGCCGTTCATGAACAAGGCGAAGGAAGGATCGATCCAACGAAGGTAGGCTACCCCCAAAAATCGCCCGAAGGTGAAGACCGCCTGGCAGCCGGAAAACATGTTTGCCGCGGTCGCGGAATCATACGCGGGGGAGATTCCAGGTTGTTCCGTGATGTAGAAGATGGTGAAGGAAGCTACAGCTACTTGAGCACCGACGTAGAAGAACTGGGCGGCTGTAAAGATGATCAGTCGAGATGTCAAGGTACCGCATGGGCGACTCACCGGCACCGAACAAGGTGTGATACTGCTTCCAGATTGACTGCTTGGCGACTCGTTCTTCCTGGTCTTCGGACACTGCCTGCTTGACTTCGGGGAGCGTCGCGAATGCAATCCCGACATTTAAAAGTGCTGAGAAGCAAGCAAGAGCCAAGTAGACGTATTGGACTGTACCGAGGCTGTTCTGGTTGTCGCCGTTAAAGAAGGTGTTGGCAGCGATCTGAGGACCGATGACTGTCGCAATGCCGTTGAAAGCTTGAGCCAAGGTGAGGCGCATGGCAGCATGAGAAGGAGGCCCAAGAATGGTGATGTAAGAGTTGGCTGCTGTTTCCAAGGTGGCAAGACCACTGGCGGAGACAAAGGTGAAGGCGACAAACATCCCGTACTGTTCAAACTTGGCAGAAGGCCAGAAGAGGACAGCACCGATAGAGAACAGGCCTAGACCGATGTGGATACCCTATTGGATAGGTTAGACTTGTGACTGTCTATCCGCGCGAGAGACCCACCTTCTTATAGCCGTAGCGTCTCATGAAGACACCCATGGGGGGCGCAACCACAAGGTAGGACACGAAATAGGCAAACTGCAATAACGTTGATTTGGTCTTGGTTAATCCGACTGTACATAGTGGTGAGCTAGGCATCTGCGGAATGTCATGATCGTTTTCTTACAGACTGTCAAAAAGTGTTTGTTGAGTACATCGAGAAGACCATACGACAGCCCCCAGAGAAAGAACTATCTAGTAGTGAGAACTTGCGCCAGCCGTGTCAATGGAGGAAAGCTGCTTACCAGAGAGGTGACCAAGGAGAATGAGAAGTACAGCTGACTCTTGCTCAGAGAAGTGTAGTCGACGGCAGCAGTGCCCGGACCGATGGACGGAGTAGGCATGGTGGTCGGGTCTAAGAGGGATTGTTGTGTTGAATGAAAGTAGGAGAAGTGGCTGCAGAGGGAAGCGCTGTGCTGTGTGGGGACATTTCCAGCATTTCGAGAGGGGGCTTTATATATCAATCCATTCGACTTCCGCATCGGAGGCGGCTAACCGTACGTGGCCAAGAAGAGTCGACATTTGCGCGCACTTGCCGATGCATGAGACTGAATGTGCCTTGGACCTTTCGGCTCGATGGTGCTTATTCTGGTTTCCTGCAAAGATTCCAGTTCGCGGTTGATCAAGAAGCGGAATCTCATCGTACATGACTTCATCGAAAAATTACAGTATAGTTTTAGTCAGATCTGAAAGCCGAAGGTCAGCAGACCATGTTGTGAAGTAGAGGCTGCCATACGCTATGCAGACGTGGTCGTCAATCTAGGATGCCTGAACCTATGGAGGATACTGCGGCAATTGAAGGTGTAGATGGGTGCAGACTAGATGCCCCAAAGGCCCAACAAACAAAGCAATAGATTTGTGATTGACGAGATATCGAGAGCAAGGTACAGGCACAGGAACCAAACTTTGCAATCAGCCATTGCCGCTTAACTATCCCTGAGGTTTCCGGGTACCCGCTTTAGAGTGTTGGGGGCCCTGTGGGGGCCCTGGTTGGGGGATCTGGAGCTCTGGAGCCTCTTTCCTCGATCTCCTCTTGCCTCTGCAGCTCGATGTGGGCGAGGGGACATTCTCGTTCCGCCATTGCCGCAGCACCCATCGGCACGGTCGGCAGGATGGTCACGCAGCCGATACCATTCTCGCCTGCAGATCCGAGGTCATCCAAGTTGCCGGGATCCATTCGGCTGGTGAGACAACGTGCAGCAGTGGTCAAAATGCCAAGATCTGTTGCAATATTGGTTGCGAGTGACCTGTGACAGCTGAAATGTATGCACATGCAGCTGGTGTATAATAGCTACAGTGAGGAGGGGTGGCGCAAGTTCCTCTGCACAATGACATATGTGCGAGCGTCGTTAGCCGGCGGCCCACGGCCTACGGCTCATCATTTCTGCGGCATGTTTCCACGAGGGAAACTCACGATAGCCGCAAGCGGCTTCCAGCCCAGAGCATTTACCGGTCCTTGAGCCTCTTGTCGCTTAGCCAGAATATTACTCCTGCCCTTTCCCACTCTACTTGAGTTCACGGTCCACGGGAATCGGGATCAGAGTTTGACACAGGAGTGTATTACGTTGTGGGCGCATCGCGCAGCGCATTAGATAACGGTCGGTAGGCACATTTAGATGTCCGCTGATCACAGGCTAGCGATCGCTCTCCATTATTCAAGCTTGTCAATCCAGACTATCGTTGTGATATTCCGCCCCCTGCCTTGTCAGTGACCAGTGGACATTTCTCGACACTCAATGAATCGCATCTTTGTGAGAACGATGAATAGTTGCATCACCTTGAACTTTCGTACCAAGACGCTTGCCCTTGCACCTAGACTTGCAGCCCACCCATCCTCCCTGCCAATCCACCGGCACCACCCTTGGCTGTGACAGGCCACACTACCAATCGCCCGTCCTTGCCTGCAGTGCTGACCTTTGGGACATCCCCGTTGGCTGCCCACTCGTACGCATCTAGCCAAGTGATGGTGTTCTGGTGCACAGTGGTGAGCAGCCCGTCGCTGCCAACAGGGGTCAAGCCAGCGCTTGTGGGAGCGCCAGGAGGAGCGGGGCCACGTTGGCCCTTTGAGTCGGCTGCCTTGAAGAGGTTGAAGGCCTCATTGTTGCCGAGTCGGCCGACACCACCAGAGCGAGAGCCAGTCGCACTGGGAGTGAGGGGTCGGGAACCGCCCGAAGAGGGGTCATCGAGTGAATGAGAGAAGGCCCATCCTTCGGGGGAGCCGCTGAAAACCATGGGCTGGCAGTCGTGTCCCGCCGCAATGAGGGTGGACTCGCTAGTAAAGGTCAAGACCGTGAAAGGCAGCGAGGGGAGACGAAGCACGACATGTGCGGAGGGAGGAGAGCCAGGAGCGGAAGGATAGACAACCGAGATGGAAGCATCATGGGCAACAAAGGCAAGAGTGTCACCAGAGGGAGAGAATGCGACATTGTGCACCCAGCCACCATCAGGGGATTTGAACTCGCCGCAGATGGTGCCAAATGGCAATCGCTCGCCCCAGACCGTGGGCTGAGGCCTGAGAGATCAACATCAGCGACACTTTCACGTATGCAGTCGTGTGTACTCACTTGGCGTCCAGGCCCTTGATGTAGGCAGAAAAGACATAGGCCTTGGACTCTGCCGTGCCTGCCGCCAGAAGCACATTGTTGGGATGCCAGTCGAGCGAGAGCACGGTACTCCTGAGGGGCTTCTTGACATGCTTGGATACCCACCAATTGTCTTCTTGGTCAAAGTAACACACGGCGATAGTCCTCGCGCCACTGCCGACGGCAAACTTGTCCTCCTTGGGTGACCATTTGACGCAAGTGGCCGCGCGGCTGATACGGAGAAGGACAAGGGCAGGCTTCCATCCAGTTGCAGTAGGAGTCCAGACGTAAGCGTTTCTGTCCTGAGAACACGTGACGATGCGGTTGGAGTTGGGGGCCCAGGAGATGGCAGTGATGAGCTTGTCGTGCTGCGACCGGGGATCAGTGACGGTAGATAAGACATCCTTCGCTCACTCACCTCGGCAAGCACATCCTTCAGTTCCCACTCAGAGCCCTTCTTCTCATAGATGTGTACTTCGTTAGAGTTGGGAGAGACAGCCACCTCTACGACGACATGTCAGTAACCTTCACCAATGATGTGCAGAGCACGAACGGGTTCTGTCGGGGCTGAAGGCGACACCTGTGAGGGGTCCCAAGGAGAGCTGGAATACTTCGGGGGCAGACATGGTGGTGGGGGGAGGGAGGACTAGCAGTCTACTCGCTCGATGGGTATGATAGATGCGGACAGCAAAGAACAACGATAGACGCTATCGCCATGACGCGTGCACAGGAGTGCAATTGATCCCGCCCAATTTGTTCCGCGTCATCACTTCAGTCAAGTCGCTGATACAAGGCATTTGCTACATAGCGCTTGCTTCTCATCTCCCAAATCCCCCATCATGTCTCGGCCGGTATCCAAGAAGCCTTTACTCAAGCCATCATCTTCCAACCGTCTCGGTCAATCGTCCTCGAAACTCGCCGGACCGAGAAAGATCGCTGGCGGTTCGGCGGGAAGCAAAGGCGTTGATGAGGGCTACTTGTATATCGCAGGCGTCAAAGACCCGAGCAAGAGAGTGACAGAATATAGGGTCAGTATCGGTTCCAGCTGGATCTGTATCTTTCTGACATACCTTGCAGACAGAGCAAGATATATGCCCGATTTGTCATACCGATAGGCAGTTCAACAAGAACTTGCGGCTACTCGTATCACCTTGCTACCACAAGATGTAAGCCATGAACAGCATACTTATGTTGTGTATTTGCTGATGAGTGCTACGTAGGTGCGAATCCTGTGTCGACAGGTTGTTCGCTTTGGGCCCGGAGAAATGTCCGGTGTGCAATAGGATGCTGCGAAAGATCAACTTTGCACATCAGACATTCGAAGATCTGAAGGTAGAGAAGGAGGTCTCGGTAAGACGCAGAATGTCAGACATGTGAGCAGATATCTGTGACCCAACTGTGCACTAGTGCTGACAATGTCCTAGCTTCAACAAACGGAGAGGTGACTTTGATAGTGACAAGGAGTACGACGACTACCTAGAGAAGGTTGAGGATTACAGTAAGCCGACTCGCGATGCCTCATTATAATAGAATCTGACTGACGAGCTCTGCCCCCAGCTTTCAACCTATTGAACGACGTAGATGTCGCTCAGACCGAAAAGTATATTGAAGATTGGCAGCGCGATAACCGCAAAGATATCGACGATAACAAACTCAAAATATCAGAGGAGTCCATGACCCAGTCCAAGCGAGAAGAGACAGACCGGAGAGTCCGTGAAGAACGTATGCGAAAGATGGAGGAGGCGGAAAGGATTGAGAAGATTGAAGTGGAGAGAATACGAGGGGAAATTACCGACGCATTGTCGCGGGGGGAAAAGAGGCGGGCGAGGGATATAGAGCTCAAGGCCAGGGAAGCAAAGAGGCTTCGAGAAGAAGCTCTCTTTGAATACGTCCCGCCTTCTCTCCTGGCCAGCATGGTTCGGACCGACACCCAACACTCACCCCTCTCTCCCTCATACAACGGCCCCTACGTTCCCATACCCTACTCTGACCCTGATCATGCTTCATGGGTCGACTGGTATGACCGCCAGCCAGAGTATGTGGATAGGAGGTCTAGGGTGATGTTTATCAGGGAGGATAAAGAGGGCAAAGTGCGAGGTGGGGGTTATGATCTGAATCTATTCTGGGAGATGGAGGTTCGTAGTGCCGTGGAGGCTGTAGGCGTCGAGCCACTCGTATGAGAATCTGTACATGTATGCGAGGTCATGATGTACAGTGGGGCTGTACCAACCCAGAATAGCCGCAACAAATGCATGACTGGAGAACAATACGCCACGCGTTGGTGCCTCAACAACACACACGACTTTTAATCCGCATCTCGCCACCGATTCACAGCTTGTGTATAATCTTCTTTTCCATCAGCATGTCATCGCCATAGACAGCATGTTCTTCAAAGACAATAATCCTACGCCCGAACGCACCCCCACATCACTAAATAACAAGAAATTTGCCATCACGCCGGTCAAAGCCGTCTCACAGACATCGCTATCACACGCCAGCCCGCTATTTCGAACCCCTAGCTTCGACCACCCAAGTGCCACTGCTGGAGCCGGTCCATCTCGGAGGCAAAGCGGATCGAACCTTCGAGACCATCATGGGCGTATATCTCCCACAAAAAAGATAGCAAGGACGTTTGGGTCTGCCAGTACGCCGGCCTTGACAACAGCGAGTGGACGGGCTGAGATTGAACATCGGCGGTATGGGAGTAGTGATCTTGAAAGAGTGTTGGACCGTGGTAAGGCTTGCGTGTGGCGGCAAGGTATACAGACTGACGTTTGACTATAGTCTTTGCCAAACATGACAAAGCCTCCCAGGACTTGGGTGGGAGGGTGCCCGTATTCTCCAGACCTAAGGGAAGGCGGGTTAATGCTCTTGTTGGAAGCCAGACGTCCAACAGCCATCGTAGCATAATCAAGACTTCACACGGGCATCACACGAAAGCCTGGAGTACAGACTCTACTGCATCCGGGCTTTTTTCAAACTTTGCCATTCCGGCCAGTGGAAGAGGAGACGATCAATCTGATGTGTTTACCGAGGTGAGCGATCCCGTTTCGCCTAGTTCTATGAGCTGATAGTGTCCTTCGATAGATACTCACACCTAACACGTTTCGCTCTCCTACGACTGTGTTTACCGATCTTGGTACTCTGTCCGAAATGACCCCTCAACTGCTGGCTACATAGCACCTGATCCGTTACATGTTAGAATGCTTCAAGGAGTCAAACCCAGGGCCAAGTTGTCTTGGGTCCAGCAGTACGACGATATGCTGCCTGCGATGGGTACCAGATCTTTCGAGGAAGGTATCCACCCCGAGGGACTTGTTGAAGAGAATACCGAGGTGGTAGCTCGTATAGACGACCTCTCGGCCCGGGTCCAATCCATGATTACCGAGGGCGAGGGTGCGATCAGGTCAGCGCCACCCATACTCACTCCCACCTCTTCGCATTCACCCGAAGAAAACGTACTGGACCGGGCCGTTGGGACTAGTGAAGAGGAGGCCGACGACACTGGCTGGGATCTCTGTGACGCTCTTGACCTGGCCATCTCCATTGGTATAGCAAAGCGAATAGAGCTTGAGTCTGCCGCTGAAGCCGTGCTTGAGGCGGACCCACGCGATGGGGAGCGCATCGCAACCGCCAAGAGAAGAAAGGACAGTCCATGTCTTGGAGAGAGGATTTCGCATAGGCAGACTGAGAGTGTGATGGAGGGGCATTTACATGCGATGGGACTTGTGCGATCTCGTAGTCTTGGGCTGCTGAGGTATGGGGGGGTGGACGTCATGTGATAGAGGAACTCGGCGTCTGCGTGAACAAACGTTCAGCTGTGTATATGAGCTATGCACTGCTGCATTTCTGGAAGCAGGTTACTCCGGCCGCTCCGTGAGCTAGGGGCGGATAGTGCTATGTATGATGTGGCCCTATACGCGTCTCCGGAGTGACTGCCCTAGCAGTAGCCTAGCAAGATTGTTTTCGCTGGATGTGGCGATGCGGAATGCTGCGGCTGTGACATGACGCGCGCGGGCCACGCCGGTTAGGGAATTTCAGCTGCTGCATCTTGGCTCAAATCGGTCATTCTTCTCTCATTCTTCTCTTTCTTCTCTCACCCCCCGCCATGCTCCCTCTTGCCCTCGCCCTCCTCCCTGCCCTCCCCCTCGCACTCGCCGCTTCCGCCCCCGATCCACTCCGCGTCCCCCTCACCTCTTTCCACTCTCGCCAGTACTCGGAAGATCTATCGGAACGCCAGTCTTGGCTGCTCGGTCAGGCCAAGTCTCTTCGGACAAAATATGCCCCTCATCTCGACGAACGGGGCCAGGAGCTGTTGAGGAGAGATAGGTTAGAGGCCAGTGTCAAGCGGAATCAGCGTGAACTGGGACGACGGTCGACGGGCAGTGTTTCGTAAGTCTTTGCGCACAATAGCCCAGTCATCTTGCTGCGGTGGGTGGCAACAGCAGGCATACGTTGCTGCCCAACTGCGTATCCATGAGGCTCATGGGATCGCTCTTCGTGCGCCCATCTGCAGCATGGAGCAGGGTCTTCTCATGCATAGGCCATAAAATTGAGACTGCGCTGACGCCGCCCAATTAGGTTGACAGACGTCGGTCTTGATGCTTCTTATGCCGGAACCGTATCCATTGGGTATGTCTCGGACCCCTTCTGCCGTACCAATGTCCTGGACTGACCTTGTTCAGCACACCGTCTCAAGATTTCCTCGTCATCATGGACACTGGATCCTCAGACCTGTACGTACCAATGCACTCAGGGTTCCCGCGCCGCCAAGCATTTCATTTGGCTGACCATCATTCATCGGCTGTTTTTATTTTCATTTCATTTTCTTGAAATGATGCTGCATATACAGCTGGGTCGCCGGATCAACATGTACCGCCGACTTTTGTACCCAGACCACCACTTTCGACACTAGCAACTCGTCCACCTTTTCGACATCAAACGAGGCGTTCAACATCACCTACGGGTCCGGCGACGCCGATGGCGAACTTGCAACGGACACTGTGTCCATGGGTGGCTTCTCGGTCACTGATCAGACTTTCGGCGTTGTCACTTCAACCTCGGCCGATCTTATCAGCTCTCCTCTCTCAGGTCTGATGGGCTTGGCCTTCAAGTCTATCGCCTCCTCCGGTGCCACGCCGTGCTGGCAGTCTCTTGCCTCCGGGGGCTCATGGGATTCCGCTGAGTTCGGCGTGTACCTCAATAGGTACCGAGGAGACAGCAGTGCTAGTGAGATCGAGAGTGATGGTGGCGAGATTCTCTTTGGGTGAGTTGTCAAGTGCAGGAGTGGCAGCACATAATCTGACCTTGCACAGCGGTACCGACTCTTCCAAGTACAACGGCTCCTTCAACTACATCTCGATCGATGAGGCAGACGAAGACTACTGGAGGATTCCGCTCGAGGCGTTGACTGTGCAGGGCAGCGATGTTACCATTGTGAGTCATCAGTCGCATGCCCCTGTATACGACTTCTGATGATATTGCAGACTTCTTCTACTAGCAGCGGCTCTTCGCCTCAGTGTGCCATTGACACTGGTACAACCCTGATTGGTGTGCCTTCTACTGTCGCGGAAGCCATCTATGCGGAGATTGATGGCGCGGAGGCTTTGTCGGCTTCGTCTGGCTATTCTGGGTACTACCAATACCCTTGTTCTACCACCGTATCGGTTTCCCTCCAGTACGGCGGGCTCTCTTACAGCATCTCCGATGCGGACATGAACTTGGGCTCTTTCACCAGTGACACCTCAATGTGCACTGGTGCCTTCTTTGCCATGGACTTGTAAGTCACACTCACTTTACGTGGCTTGAGCTGACATCCATCACCAGGTCTGCATCATCCCCTGTCCAGTGGATCGTCGGTGCTTCCTTCATGAAGAACGTCTACACCACCTTCCGATACGACCCCACGTCCATCGGTTTCGCTGAGCTTACGGGCGGCACCTCCGTGTCTACCGGTAACTCTTCGGCCACTACGACCTCTGGTGGAAGCTCATCAGGCTCTGGCTCTGGATCAGGTAAAAGCTCCAGCAGTGCTGCCACGAAGAACAGCGTCCAATGGTGCTTTGCTGCTTTGGGGGTGCTCGGCGCGTACGTGATGCTCTAAGACAGCTGTCTATCTGGGTTCCGACACGCATCTCGATAAGTGTAAGATAGTTCGGGGGGTTATGACGGGAAGGCTTATGCGAAAGAGGAGTAATCAGAGGAGAAGATTTGTACGATCATACCGGACAATCATATTTTTTCGATATCCAAAATTGCCAGCCAAGCTCCCCAGCAGCTAAAACCTCCCTGCCTCTCCTTTTCTCCCTGTTTGTAAAAAAGTAGCTACTCAGCTTTCCTCTTCTTTCATCCCTTGCTTGGTTGCGCGCTTGCTCCAATTCACGGATCATGTATCTACACCGCATTTTAGCATTTTTGATAGCATTTGAGTAAATTTCCATAATCTAGTCTCGACCATGTTGGCTCTGTCTCCGTATGCATCAATCATTTTGTCTGGACGAAGCAAGCCGCGGGCAGACACCCGAGGTACCCAAGAATACATATCGATATAGAAAGTGTACACATGTATCAACTGAACTTCCATCTATTCCCACAATTCTGCAGATTTGGTCAGACACGTCCCTGTATCTACGGCCGGGCGACTCACTGTACATCTGCAAACACAAAGAGAGAATTACAGCAGTTAGTTTTTCTTTCCAGGTGAGCATTAGGAGAAACATACGTAACAAACGTCTGCATTATCCATCAGCCATGACCCTTTGTGTGAAGAAGACACTTACCGTCATCGGTTCATCCGCACTTCTTGTTTGCATCTGGTAGTAGGTACACTTTCTCTGCTGGCATCGCCCACATTTGAACGCATCTGTCTCTGCTTGTGTCTCACCAACAGCCTTGGCCTTGAACAGATTGTCGGTGGCAAGTTTTTGGTTGAGCATGCGGACGCTTTCGGAAGCCATTTCCTGGGACCGGTCAGCCGAGGAAATCAACAACTGACTGGAGACTTACATCTTTGGTCATGTTGGCAACCGTTTCAGGAGTCACGTCCCCAAGCACGATCTCGTTTCTTAAGGCGGGATTGCCCTTGTCCTTGAGGTTGAGATACAAGGATCGCATTTCTGGGATCACGTTAGTAGTGACTCGAGATGCCGCACGGCAGCTCACTAGCTCGATAATCGTTCCCTGTAGAGTTGTTCATGGCCTTGTGAGCAGCACGTTCGATCCCTCTGGCTCGCTCCTGCAAGATTTTTGATTCTGCCGAGCTCGATCAGCTGACAGCCAAAAAGGGACCGACGGAAGCCACCAACCGGCATTGCTATCCAGAGCCAGGGCATCATAGATCAAAATCACACACTTGTCCCTCACATCGTCTGCTCTGCCACCGTCATAGCTAGCGTCAGCTTTCAGAGACGCAGCGATCCCGTCAGATTTGGCGGTTCGGGGTGTGGTACGAGACGAATCAATGGTAGAGAGTGGCTGACGCGCAGGTGGGGAAGTCTGCTTGATATCTGGTGTCAAAGTCGAGGCTGGTGTGCTTCTAGAAGGAGAGGCAGCCGATGATCCCGCTGTCCACCCTTGTCAGCTCGAGCGTAGGTTGAGGATACTACGCACCCTCCGCCTTGACCCGCTTGGCACCTCCATCCTCCTTCTCCTTCTTTACGTCCTTCCCATCATCCCCCTCTGCCCTCTTTCGTTTCTTCTTTTCTTCCACAGCATCTCTCCACTTTTTTACAATCTCTTTGGCCAGGCTCGAGACGGCCGGGGTAGCGTGCTGGCGCAATTTACCCACAGCGACACCGGCTTTGGAAGACTGGGTCCGGGCTTGTCAGATGGCATTCTGGAGAGGCGGGATACGACTTGAGCTTACACGAAGAAGATCTTCTGTGGGAATTACCTGAGACTTGAGAGTGTTCAGGATGGCGAGGACGTCCTGCAAAGCGGCAGATATGATAAGACAAGAAAGATGTGCGGGAAGGAACGACCTACATCTGGCTTGCCGGACTGGTTGGCGGCGTTGAGGTCCTTGACCTTGCTGGTGACGGCGGCAGCATCCATAACGGGGCGTGGGGCAGAGATGGACAAAAGTCGAGGGAGGATAGAAGAGTCTTTGTGAACTCGGCGCGTCAGGTGCTTATGTAATCGCATCAACAGCAGGAGGAGGGAATTTCCAGGAGCCACTGCAAGGATGTCGTTCAAGCATCTTCGTCTCGCCACGACCATAATCCCCCCGCCATGTTCCTCCAGTCCCTGCGCGCCTCCTCTTCCCGTCTGCCCCGCAGCACCCGCTGTTTCTCTACATCCTCAACACTTTTCCTAAAATCTCCCCTCGCAGCTTCTGGTGCGTTGCCCGACAAGGGTCACCCTGCCTTGCCCTTCAGATCCATGTGAAGAATGAAAGGCCTGACCCGTATTGCTCTCTAGCCGAAATTCCCACACCAACTGCTCTCCTCGAGAAGATAGGGCGCAATGCCGACAAGAAGCTCACGCCGTTTGCCGAGACATGGGAGTCTTTGAATGAAGTTTGGATCAGACCAAAGAAGATGGCCGAGTCGGGGTTGTCTACGAAAGAAAAGAGGTGAGTGGGCCGTCATGGCCGACTAGCCAAAGCTGGCCCTCGATTGAAAGAACGCTGATGTATCTTTTCTAGATATATCGTATGCCAACCCGTAACATGACTGTGGCATATCACTGACATTACATTTGCAGCTGTGGGCGTTCTCCCGATACTCACAAGGGAGCAGTCCATCGGCATTCATCCGCCCGCCCAAGCCAGCCAAGAAGTTTAGAGGGTAAGTGTGTCTTTGGCTGAAGCGACCTGGCAGATCTATGAGCTGACTCGGTGGTGATGCAGATGGGGTCCCAAGATACAGCATGGTGTTCGAGTGGGTGGAGAAAAGTAGTATCATATACACAGGTCGTTCGGATGTATGCCCTTTCTGTTGCAAGTTTATGTGTCATTCAAATTCCAGAGATAGATACATGTGACAACAAATCTCGACGTATTGCTGGTCAGATCAGATGTTTACTACCTTGCGCATGCCATGATTGGCATCTCAAGTGCTGGCATCTCAAGCGACGGCCTTATTGAAGCCTATGTCAGTCAGTTGGCGTACCCTAATAGGTAGCGGGACTTGCCTGAAGACCCTCTATATCTTTGCGTCCACCGCCTGTGTCGCTGCCGGTTCCGTGACCACTCCCAGCTGCCTAGTCACCTTCTCCCATTCTTCCAGTTCCTCCTTTTCCCTGGCCTCTCTCAACTGCTTGGACTCGGTCCAGCGCCAGGACACGAGTTCTTTCAGGGTGTGGCCGGGAGGGGGTGCTGTGCGGGGGTTTGTCTCGTTGAGGTAGTAGGCAAAGACGCCTGTGAATGCGCCAAGGACGGGATCGAGGGTGCGGGAGAGGAGATATGTGCGTGGGGGCATGGTGGATGGATGGGAAATGAGATGCGGGCGATGCAAGATGTGATGGGCGGGGTGGAGGCAGCGCGGTGGAGTCTATTGCCGCTCTCTCTCTTGCATCTACCACCAACACCGTACTATGCCGACAAGGTGCGTCCTCCATGGCCCTCAGCTGTCCACTGACCCAACGCAGAACATCCCCCGGCGACGGCGGGCCCCTCGCCACTCCGCCCCCGTCCACCGACAAGGTAGAGATGACCGCCACCCTCAACAACCATACAGACAGCATTATACCCACCCCGGGTGGTGTCGTTCGTGTCAGGCCATTCCGGTCGTCCAGCAATGCACAGCTCAAAGCCGTGCTCAGTTTCACACCCAGAGTATCCGCCTTGGACCGGCACAACACATCGTCACAGACCGACCAGTTTAGAGGCTTCTTTGTCCTCTTTTGGATAGGTAAGTGGTACGCTCAGGAGACACTGCTGAGACCGAGCAGGACTTGCTCTTCTCTTCCTGAGAACAACTATAGAATCGTGGGAGACGAACCGCACACCTCTGTCATGGACATTCGGCCGCCTCATCACGGGCGACGCACTCGTACTCGCCATTTCTGATGGTATTATGGTACTCTCGATGTTTTTGTGCGTCCCGTTTGTCAAAGCCTTGCAATACGGCTGGTTTGACTACAACTGGACTGGGTCTGTCATACAACACGTATTTCAATCCTTATATCTGGCGATTGCCGTGTGGTGGGGCTACCACAGGCAATGGTATTGGGTGCAGTCGGGATTCTTGGTATTGCGTGAGTACCGTGCACCGAGTAGCTTTTCACACTGACAGCCATTGACAGACGCCATGTCCTGCATGATGAAGGTACCTCGGTCTCGCTGATACCAATCTAGCTGACACAATGCAGATGCACTCCTACATGGCCCACAATGGAATGCTCGCCACAGTGTCCCGACGACTCCAAAAGGAAAAGAGCCGTCTAGAACAAGTCATCTCAGAGTACCCTGGAGGAAGAGAAGCTCTACTGCGAGAGGCAGGGGCCCGCAAGGCGGATTTGGAAGCAGAGGAGGCAGAACACGAAGGCAACCGAGAGGCCTCTGTACCGTTGGGTACCCCGGCTGGAGAGATGACCCCTGTGGAAGTACCTCTGCCCTCTGCGGGCTACGAAGACCCCAGTGCTCTTCCAAAGAAAGCACAGGCTACTGTCTCGGAGCTCGAGTCTGTCGGCACCTCCACTGCCAAGGAATCCGCGTCCCGTTCGGAAGCCCGTAAACGACTGCACATTGACCCGCCCAAGCAAAGACCCTATGCCAAAGACGCTCTACCCTCTCCCCGACCCGATCTTCCTCTGGGAACATCCCTTGAGCCCTCCCACACCACCTCCCCCCACAGTCTCAGCCCGCCAGGTGCTCTCGCTTGGTCGTCAAACGAGGAGGTTGCGCTCTTGGCGACAAACATTGACGCCATGCAGGAAGAGCTGAAGAGTAACGGAGATTCGGGAGTGGTGTGGCCTCAAAACGTGACTTATAAAAACTTTTGGGAGTTTATGCTTTTCCCTACTCTGGTGTATCAGCTCGAGTACCCGAGAACCGAAACGTAAGTCTAGTCTGAGGCGGACAATTGCTCACGAACAGTATGCGGCCACTGGTGGTTCTTGAAAAGATCGTCGCCACGTTTGGCACCTTTTCTCTGATCTACACCATTACCGAACACTATATCATGCCCCATCTGCCAAAAGAGGGCGATTCGCTTTCTTTGATCAAGAGCTTTATCAGTCTTGCTCTGCCTATGATTATCAATTATCTGCTCATCTTCTAGTACGTGTCGTGGTTTGCAATCGAGTCTTGGCTGATGATAGCAGTATCATATTCGAGTGTGTTTGCACTGGATTTGCAGAGCTGTCATAGTGCGTACCGAGAGTATTGACAGACGTACCTGACATCTTGCAGCTTTGCCGACCGGGAATTCTACCAGGATTGGTGGAACTCTACATCTTGGGACCAATTCTCTCGCAAGTGGAACAAGCCTGTACACGTACGGCAATCCTTTTCACTCTGGCCGAGCTCATTACCGTCATAGACCTTTCTCCTGCGCCACGTATACGCCTCTACCATGTCTTCCCTCCAGCTCTCCCGCACGTCCGCTGCTTTCGTCACATTCCTTCTGTCCGCCCTCTGCCACGAACTCGTCATGGCGGTCGTGACTAAAAAGATCAGGCCTTATCTGTTCCTCATGCAGATGGCGCAGCTTCCTATGATTGCATTGGGCAGACTGCCGGTGGTGAAGCGAAACAAGACGATAGGCAATATCGTGTTTTGGATAGGCCTGATGATGGGATTCCCGTTACTGTGAGTGCCTGTGTCATTGTGTGAGGTGTCGCTGATGAATGCTGGATCGACAGGGCCATCTGTTATCTCGTTTGGTAGCTGTATGTGCGGATTGTGTAAAAGTACTGGCGCATGATGTTTGTTGTTTACTCCGACATGGGTGATGGTGACGTGTGGTCACACAGCCCTGACAGTGGGTCGAGTATGTATACATCAATGAACAATGATACGAAAGATGGAGATAAGAACGAAGATTTCATACGCCACCAGAATAAACCTAATATCACCATGTATACAAGAAAGGCATCAGAAGCAAGCATCGGAAAGAAGGGGTATATAATCATCGAAACAAGAAAAGCCGGGTACTGGATACAACCGCCGCCGCCGAATGACCACCATCCTGTACCTAACCAGAGGCCATCGGAGGCTGGCACAGGGGCTTTGGTACTATAATCTACATACTTACTTTAAATATAAAGCTAGATGTCGATCCAAATATCACTCCTTATCTACAAGCGTAACCTAGCTAATGTCCATGGCAAGATGCCATGGGCCTAGCGTCACAGCGTCGCCTTTGGCGAGGGCTGAGGGCTGTGCATGGACTCGTGGTAAGAGTCTTGCGACCCGGCAGGCGAACCAGCAATGCGGGGCATGACCCTGGGATCGTCATAGCTGCTTCCTTGGTGCAGGACCTTGGGCTCGTCGTAGCTGCTCGCGTGGTGGGGGTGGTGTCGCTCCGACTCGTCCGTATTCCTCCTCCACATCTCGGGACTCTGGGAGCCTGCTTCGTACGCATGAGGGGTGTACTGTGGAGGGTTGGGTGCGGCGTAAGGGCCCCAGACGGGGACATAGATGGGCTGCGAGGGCTGGGGGTGACCGGGGGCAGGGTTGACCGGGACGTAGTGGTAGCCAGGAGGCAGATGGAAGGTACTCTGGGGCGAAGAAAACTGCTGACCGTACGGCTGCTGGTAAGGAGCCACCGCACCACTGGAGCCGTCGTACGCAGGACCAGACGAGGGCCCGTCAGACGAGTCGGGGGAGGGGAAGCCGGGAGGCAGCTTCTTGAGGTCGCCGCCGGTACCGATGGCGAGCTGCTTGCTCCTGGCAGTAGATTTGGCCTTGCCGCCCTTGCCCGACTTGTTGGTTGTGACGGCATTGTTGGGCGGGTGGTAACCGCCGCCGGCGAACCAGGACTCACAGCCAGCGCGAATCCCCCATTTGCGAGCGGAAGCACTCTGGCAGCCATAAGGTCTATCAATGTGGTCAGCCTGGGCAGACACGTGCGCCACGCTACGACTCACCTGGGCAGTTTCACAAAAGCCTTGCACATGGACGTCTGGTGGCGCACACCGTTGTAGATCTTGGTGGGGTTCTGTCGATAATCTGGGGCGTCTCACGTTAGCAACGAAAATCATGCAATGGAGAGCCACTCACATGGATACCTCTTCTTGATCGAGTCTGAGATTTCAGACACATACAGCTGGTGGGGCGGGGCCGCGAGCAGGAGAGCCTCTCCGATGAGGGCGGCGTAAGACATGGGTGGCCTGGGCGCCGGGAGCTCGCCGGGGCCGAGGATGGGCTCGTCCTGCTTGCAGGGCATTGTGGTGGGGGGAGGGACGGCGCCCCAGGTGGGGTACTGTGCTGGCTGCTGTCTGTGGGCCATGGGATGGACGGCGGAGGAGGACATGGCCCAGGGGGCGGGCTGGGGGTACTGCTGGTTGTAGACTGGTGTGCCGCTGTGGGAGGCGGGGTAGGGGTAGTCTGCCGGGTAGGAGGGGGTGGTGTACGGGGGTGTGTAGTGGGGATAGCCGTACGGGGGGTGGGAAGAGGAGGGATGGGTGGCGGCGGACGAGGTAGAAGTAGTGGAGTGGGACAGCGAGGGCGTGTTTGCCTCGTGGCGCGCGCTCTCGGGCGCACCATGGACATGCCGATCGTCCTCCACGGCGGGGTCTATCACCGGCGTGCTCATCACGCGACGGGGCCAGGGGGGGCTGGGGGCGCTGGGCGAGAACGGGCGGGCAGCAGGGCGTGATGTTCGCGGGAGGAAGGTGGGCAGCAGCGTGCCGCCCTGCTCGCTGGGCGCAATGTCAGCATCTCCAAGCAACGTACACAGCGCCACATGCCACGTCGCATGGGGTACAGCAGGTACCCGGAGCACATGCAGATACATAAAAGCTGACTCACTCTTGCAACATTGACGCCGGCTCGCTCACTATCAGTCCACCAGTAATGCCGTACGCCTGGGACGGGGAAGAGGGGTATGTCGTCTGCATCGGGCTGCTGCCAAAGTCCTGCTTGTACGTGATTGGGGTGTGATAGCTTTCTAACGAGGCGTACTGGAAGGCGTGTTCTGGTGAGGCAAAGTTGACCGACTGTGATGAGGCGGGCGAGGACGAGAGCGTAGGGGCGTAGGGGGAGTGGGCAAGGACGCGTTCAGAAAGTAACGACGATGGAAGGGGGATGGGCGCGAGGTCGGCGGCGATATAAGTGCTGCTGGCTGGGACCGTCGGGGGACTGGCGAGCATCGAAGGCGGGGGTGGAGCAAGCCGGGCCAGGGGTAGGATGGCGGTGCTGGTGGATCAGGTTTCACCTCGAGATGAGCGGTGCAAGGGGATGGACGAGGAAGTAGATGGTAGGAGGCCTAGAAGGAGGGTTGAATGAGGCAGTACGTGGAAGGCGGTCCTTCGGCAGAGGGTCTGTGTACGAGGCCTGTGTTTCGACGAGTGGAGGGAGAGATGGGAGGCTGCCAGGGTCAGTATATTATATACATGCAGCAGAGATGGGAGGTGGCTCACGTAAACTGGCCGTTGGAAGATGCAGTGGTGTGGGCTGACGTGTGCTGATGATGAGCTGAGTGTATGGGGATGTGTGTGGCAGCTGTCTGTGGGTGAATCAGATCACGGTCCGCTATTTATGCATTCCCCTGCCTCTGATTCCTGATCGCACGGTGTTGTTGTCTGACGAGGAGGTGAAGGGGAGAGCGCAACAGTGCGCACTCGGCGTCCGCGGTCCCTTCTGCGACGGGCCCCACCTCGCGCCGGGCCTAACAGACGAGGCACAGTACATGAAACGCGCCTACCCCTAGGGACAACAACCCAGAACCAAACATCACTGATTCAGCCTTGTGCTCGTACTGCGACTGCCCTGTTTTGCTCCCGAGCTCCGTCGCGAGCTTACCCCCTCGTCCATGGTTAGCATTGTCCATGACTGGCAAGTATTGCAGTATATGCAGTATGCAGCACGGGCGCCCCGCTGCCGACCTTCCACTCTTCCAGAGACCGAAGACCGCACTCAAAGGTGGCATGGGCTCATGTCAACAGGCGCACAGGCATGGCATACCCACATGGGCAGCACGCAAGAGCAAAAGCGGACAGGATGACAACCTTCCGCTGGAACCAAGGCCTTGCTTGTTGAAGGTCAGGGTCCGGCTTTCCAGGGGCGGGAATCTGAAACGTCCTTTTGTTGGGCGGTGGCACAGGATCAACACAAGAAGGTCAGCGGATCCTTGATCTTCCATAATTACTCGCAATTTGCCTTATCGCCATATGCTTCTCACAACATCCAGCTCGCGACTTGGGAATGCCGAGCATGATGGCAGCGCTGCGGAAGAAGCCACCATCTGTACACGGATCGACAGCGTACATCAAAACCTAATTGGGATTCCTATGGATCAGAACCATTTTAGTGTCGGATACATAGGCTTTCGAGCCCCCACTCACCACGCTGTCATAGATGGCGGATGGCGGAGGGCGGCGCCCACGTGGGAAGGGACCAGCCAAGAATATCGGGGGCGTTTCCCGAACATCCCGAAGAGCGATGATCCGAGAGCATCCTTTGCATTATCTCTTTGTCTGATGGTTCCTGATCGAACGAGACCGATCGACTATACTCCTGGAATCCGAGATAAGCAGAGGAGACCGAAGGCGAGAACAATGGCGCGCATTCGGTTTCACTGTAGGTCGAAGCCTGGAAGCAGATTGCACGGGGAAGTTCGGCGAGTGAGCAAGGGGCCGGGGGGCGCAAGGGAGTCAGGGTCCAGTGTCAAGACTGCATGAGCGCAGAGAAAAGAACAATAGACCGTAGGTGAGCACCGGCCGCCGGGAATATGATGACGCGAGACGAGCTTGTGAAGGCTGCTGAAGGCTTTTCATCACAGGCGCAGTCGTCAACCCTTGACATGACATCCGACGGCCAACGGAAAAACATAGATAGGACAGAGAGTACGTATAGCAGAGCCGGCCATGTCGAAAAGACAATGGCGAGGTTTCGGTCCCCGATGAAGAGGAAGCGAATCTCGGCCGGGGTCGGCCTTGTTCTTGATGAGCCTGTGATAGATGTACAGTACTGTCCGAGTTGCTTTGAGATTTGCGGAGGCTCCGTTAGCGTGGTTGCTGCTTTGAAATATACACAGAGGCCGCGACCCGGGTGGGGACCGAGTCGAGCCAGCGCAGAGTTACAGTGGGCGACTACCCGAGCGTCAGTATAGTTATATGGCATGTATGGCGGCAGTATCACCAGGCCAGACAGAATCAGTCAACTCACAGTCCTCTACACATCATCCACTCTGGTCCTCTTTGGTGACGGCACCTCCACCTCGTCATCATCATCCAGAGGGTCGCGCCATACCGCGGCTCCATCCATCTCCCCATCTGCCCCATTCACCCCGTCCTGAGCCACCGATGGATCAGGGCTGCTGCCCACATAGATACTCTCTTCGCTGCCTTGCTGCCCTCTTGGGCTGGTGGTCTTCTCTGGTCGTTTGAGACCCCCGACCAGGAAGGGCTTATTGAAGGCGTCTACAAGCGATGTGACCTTGGTGGCACCTAGACCCTTGACGTTGGACAATGCCTTTGCCGACTTGCGCGACATGTTGTCCAAAGACTGCCCGCGTCAGCCAGACATCCTCGCTTTGCACAAATCAACTCACCCCAAACTCGGCAGCCAAATTATTCGCATCCGTCTTGTTGACCTTTTTCCCGCTCGTCAATACATGCTGGAGTTGGTCGTGGTACGTCTGCTGCACCCGTTCCTTCAGCATGTCGGCAGACTTGTGCTCAAATTGCTTGAACGTGACCAGATACTGGGCGATTTCTTCGTTAGACCAAGCGACAAAGACCGTAAAGTCGTTGATGATGGCGATCTTGCTAAGCTCCCGAAGAGATTGATGATGTTCGTTCTTCAACCGCGTCAGCTGCCATTGCAAACAGTAGCGCCAAGCTTACCACATCGCAGAGCACGAGGATAATACGCAGATTGTACATGTTTTTCATCTTTTCGATCCGCTGATGGATATACTCGGGATGAAGCCGGTGGTATTTGAGACTACACTGCTCGTTAGAAGGCGCCTGAATAGGGGATATAGACTTGCCTGAGAAAGAGGACACCGTTGTGCGCACCAACTTGATAGTCTGCTGGAATATCGCCAATCTCGATACCCACGCTTCTTATAGCACCAAGCACAGGGTTACGCCGCTGATATAGTGTCAGCCGTGCATGCGGAAAAGTATGCAAGACTCACTTGGACAGAATTGTAGACGATACTGCTTTTACTGGAAGCGGGTCTGTTGATAGGCCGAGAGGATCCCGCCTGGGGCTGAACTGGCGGCGCACTGGGGCCACCCTGGGGCTGTGTATCGCTGTTCGAGTCTTCCGAGTCTCTGACTTGCGGCAGACCACCAGAAGCGTTCCGGAAAGAGGGTGCACCCGGACCCGCGAGTGTTTCGGTGGATTTGAGGAAGGAGGTAGCGCTTTGGAAAGCGGGAGGGCCCATTGCAGAGTCGCCCGTGGGCTGCCCAGGATTGCTCATGGCGGGAGTGGGGAATGGGTGAAGAAGAGATGGAACCGTGTTGACTGGACTATGAGATGCATGACGCGCATTGCCACAGGGTAATTTACCGAAGCTCCGTTAAACGTAAACAACAGCGAGACGCGCCTTTCTTTTCATTGTTTGTCTCCCCTCGACATCGCAAGTCGCAGTATGGCAGCGTCAACATCCACAAAGAGTACAGCAAAGAAGGTAATCCAACAGATACAATGTCAGCCAATCAGCTGACATCTGGCAGACGGGCAAAGAGAACGCCGCCCCTCGTGGCAAGAGTCGGGCCCTTGATGAAGTTGCGAGCGAGGACGACGAGATCGGTGAGTTCAATTTCCCAAGGGCAACAGCACAAACTAAAGCCAAGGCGTAGTGCAAGAGAAGAAGTCCAGCAAGAGTAAAAACAAAAGACCCTTGCAGGAGGCCGACGACGAGGGAGATGTGAGAGAGCTCAAGAAGCAGCTAGCTACTGTAGGTGTCTCGAAACATAGTCTGACATTGGCTCACATCTTCAAGGTCTCTGCCGAACGCGATCGGCTGCGGTCCCAAAAAGATACGTTTGCCAAACAGTTTGAAGAGCTTTCGAGGCTCAGATCGACCGAGGCCGAGTCTCTTTTGGAAAAGTACAAGGAAAAGGTCAAGATACAAACAGACGGTGTGTGCTATTCTTCTCGATATATACAAACTGACACCCCCATCAGCCCAGAGCAAGGTCATTGATGACTCAACAAAGCTCAACGACTCTCTCATGTCTCGAGTGCAGCACCTGGAAAAATCACTGGCAGCCGCCAAGAAGGCTGTCACCGAGAATATCGTCAATGCAGACCCGAAAGAAGTACGCGCTTTGAAGGATGAAATCAAGAGGGCGAAGTCGGATGTTGATTCCAAGAATAATGCTTGTGGGCGCCTGTCTTCCAAAGCTCCCGCATAGTGGCTGACATTGCTGTGATAGATCTTGCACTTCAGAAAGAGTACAAGACCGAGATTGAAAACTCGCGGTCCTTGCAGGCGTCTACCAAAAGCGGTCCGGCTAGCAATGCAGTCTCCAATGCGGGTTCCTCGTCCGAGGAGGCCGAGAAGGACACTGCCAGTCTGAGCCTCTACGAAGATCTCACCTTGTTAAATATCACGAGCGTCAAGATACAAAAGGGCAAATATGGGAACAAGGAAAAGACTTTCAACTGTGTCATGGCCGCGAACGGTATCAGTGAGTCAAGCGCGCACAGGACAGCATCTTTCTGACACTTGTGCCTCTGAAGGTCTCGGCTTCAAGCTCCGTTCCTATATCGAGATCGACAAGAAACGCCCTGCCGATTCGCCCTACGTCAGCACGGTACACTACTCCCCGTCCTCCCTCGAAAACGAATCCAAAGAGGTTGTAGAGAAACTTGGCTATTTCGCGGCTGAATTTGTGATACCACGTGAAGAGCTTGGGGGCTTCTTTCTAGAGCTGAGAACGAGGCTTGAGGCGAGTGACGATGACGAGTAGGAGGACAGGGTTATCTATGAGTGTGGTGTATACTAGTACTAATTATAATCAACTTTGTGTGTATGATGTGACGTCTATACAGAAGACATGCGTATACATAACGTGTCTCAATATGGCTTCGTGCAACAGAATGAGAAGCGAACGACTTGCTACTCCCAAGCGCTCGGGCCACAAAAGCAAAGAATTATTCTAGTGATATGAACAAATTATCTCGAGTGATATAATAGTAATGAAGAAATGTCCTGTTGAAGCTAAACCACATGTTGCTACGCGTAATGGAATGATCACAAAAGCGAAAGTATGATAGAATGTGCGATTATTGTCCGGAAACCTCGATAATAGAAAATTCCCCCAATTGGCTACTCAGGCCAATGCCGACTTGGATTTTCTCCTAAGCCACCCGGCCAAGTTTGACCTGCTCCCCATCTTTTTCATCTTCCCTTCGTTGGGCACGGCAAGGGACTCAGCATTCACCAAGCCACCCGAGCTGCGGGGTGTGGTCTCGAGAGAGGCGATGACCGCAGCATTGTTTGAGCCCTGCGAATTGGTCTCGCCGAGCGCAAAGCTGGACGAGCAACTCGACGCGCTAGGGTCGAGATCAGGGGTGGGAGGAGATACAGGTGGCTCTGCCGCCGCTGCAACGGTCGAGAGCATCGACCTGCGCTTGGGCTGCGAAGGCGACAAAGGAGGAGATAGCATGGTGCTCCTTGGGCTGACGGGAACCGGGCCTAATGTGGAGAGGGGTGATGCTACCACCGGCGGAGGTGGGGGCAGTGTAGCGAGCTGTTCAGAGGAGGAAGAGTCGCCTGGGCTTGGTTGACGTGACACTGCACGAGAGCCGGAGCGGCTAGAGGCGAGAGACGGGCGGCGGGACTCGGCAATCATGCCCGTCATGGTCATGCAACAGTCCCAGCTCGGAAGATAGACCCTGCCCTTCATCTTTGCACCATGTCCCGCCACTACTCGGGTGGGACATCGCACTCCGCCGGCGAGAAGGACTTCGGCGCCGCTGACGCTGACATCGTGCAGCACACTGGAAGACATGTCCTAATGTGGAGAGGGGTGATGCTACCACCGGCGGAGGTGGGGGCAGTGTAGCGAGCTGTTCAGAGGAGGAAGAGTCGCCTGGGCTTGGTTGACGTGACACTGCACGAGAGCCGGAGCGGCTAGAGGCGAGAGACGGGCGGCGGGACTCGGCAATCATGCCCGTCATGGTCATGCAACAGTCCCAGCTCGGAAGATAGACCCTGCCCTTCATCTTTGCACCATGTCCCGCCACTACTCGGGTGGGACATCGCACTCCGCCGGCGAGAAGGACTTCGGCGCCGCTGACGCTGACATCGTGCAGCACACTGGAAGACATGTTGACTAAGGGCGCACGCCAGACAGACAAGGGCACCACACAACCAAACAGCTCCCGGGCACAGCGGCCTTGAAAGTTGGGGAGAAGGGAGAGCACAAACGTTTCCAATATGAAAGGTAAGGTGGTTGGGGACCTGCTGGGGAGAACGTGTAGAAGGGTCACGGGAAGGACGCTGCGGTCGTCCCCACTGCCCTTGCCAAGCAGACGAGCAAGAAGAGGCAGGACACCAGTGGTGACGATTGATGCCTGGTGTATGAGATCTCGCAAAGCCTTTTTCGGCCCAGGACTGGGTATAAAGTTGACCACGGCATCAAAGAGATGAGGAGCGTCCTTGGCCTCGGACTCGGACCTGATCATACCGTTGAAAGCGGTGGAAAGACGGTTGCGCGAACTTCGCGCCGAAGACTCGCTGCGCAAAGACTGAGTAGACATGGTCTTTGGAAGATTCGGGATGGAAGTGGAGGAAGCAGGCCTGGTGAGGTTGCCTGACTCGTACGACGCCCTTCGGGACCCTGTGGATATGCCCAGCCCGGACATGACCCTCGTCCGCATTCCTGGCGATGTGTTGGACGAGTTGGAGTTTGTGCTGTCAAATGACGCATGACGCGAGCGAGTAGGCGCGGGGGAGCGAGCCCGGAATTGCTTGGCAAGAGAGACTGCCTTGTCAATGAGGATGGCAAAGGCTTGCGCTTCCGTATCGTTCTTTCCGACAGACGGCTGGAAGGTGTAAAGTGTAGGATATATCTCCCGGCGTGTCGACTGCGACATGAGGTGCGAAGGGGATAGCAGGTCTTCAATGGCAGCCACAGGTTTGTAGGTCCCGATAAGCAAAGCGGTGTTGGCGAACGCTGGGTTCGACAGCAGGGGCTCAATCGATTCCACCGTGGGATCTGAGATGAACGTCAGCATTTGTGAATCAAAACGAAAACAAGAAACTCACCGCCAAGGACCAGAACTACTCTGCTCGCAGTAGACCACGAGCCCAACTCCATCTCACTGGGATCAAGCACCCACGGTGCGGACACAGAATTGTGCGGCTCCTCCGGGATTCCTCCAAGACCGCCCGCCGAAATCTCTCTGCCTTTCCCCTTCTCAGTCGATCTTCGTTTGTCCATAGTCAACATGCCCTCGTCCGAGTCTGAGCCCCCGGAACGGCGACTATCCGGTCTTGGAGACGTGCGTTTCTCACCAGCCTTGTAGGCTGACGGGGGCGGTGAAGAGGTATTACTGCCAGAAGGCGGTGCACCATTGGTGCTCTCCATCACCGCAGTCAAGGACGCCTGAGGCGTGGAAGAGCTTCCAGGGGTCCAGGTCCCGCGGGCGGCGTCGTACTGAGACATGCGTCGGGCATTCTGAGCCTTGGCGTCGAGGAAGGAGTCGGCAATGGGAGAGTGGGAGGTGGACGGGGCCTCGGGTGCAGGGAGGTAAGCCGAGGTGGGCGAGGGGAGTTGGGAGGTGGTAGTCGAGCGGGGTGAGACGGTGGTAGACATGTTGGATTTGGGCTGCTGCGGAGGGGCGGAGATGTGTGAGGCGGATTTACTTCGTCTTTTCGCAAGCCAGCTGTTGAAGCTGCCGCCCATGGCGTGTGTCAGCCTTGGCGAGGAAGAGGGGGACGGAAGGGGGAAGATACAAGGGTGCGAAAAGATGGACAATAGAGAAAAAGATACGAGTGACGCAACCTGCCTGCGCAAGACTTTCTGCTCTTCCTCGGGGATGGCAGAGTGAGGCTTGGCCGGGTGCACGGTACAGGGCACTGCAGGGTGGGGGATGGGATGCGGCGGGGGGATGGATGTATGGCGGTGGGAAAGAAGAAAGACGGCGCGAGACGAAGGGACTACTCACCATGCACAGCTCGCTGCTCCTTTATAATTGCGATGGGGGCCCCTGACCGTGGATTGGGACTCCTGAGAGGAACAGGTGGGTGGCAGGGACGGCGCTGCGAGGGCAGTTGCGAGGGGCCAGCGATGGGGTATGGGATGGGGCGAGGATGTTGATATCGCTGGATGCATGCATTTTATATTATCTAGGGAGCCGTAGTCCGCTAGCCCGCCGCTTTCGGGAGGGCAAAAAATCGATGACGTGAAACGCGCAGGACGGCAGGAACCAGAGCCACTCGTCTCTCCCCGCTGAAGCCGTAGATCAACCTTATCCTGTTCAATTATTCCTCTCAATCCGACATCCCCTCCTTATCAGCTCTGATCGGCAGCCACCCACTGCAGCGTCTTTCGGCTGCAGGCCGCCCTCGGCCCCCAGTGGCCAATGGGCTTCGACCCGCACCAGACTCTCTTTCGTGCTGACGACTGTTCACCGTGACTAGTCTACAACAAGGTCTGCAAGAGTTACGGGTGGGGACGGGGCTTGCGCCAGCTAGGATGGCAAGCGACGCAGATAGGTACAGATAAGAAGAGAGAAAAGACTGCAAGTTGCAAGGTGCAAGACAGGAAAACAGCAGGTACAGCAGGAACCACCAGCTTCCTTTCATGGAGTTCACACTTTAAAGCTTGAGCCACTCTGACTCGCTTTGCGTCTCCTATGGGATCTGCGTTGAGTGATCGACGAGGCAATCGAGGTGTGCTTGTCAGCGTTTTCAAGTTCTCTGTTCCTTGACTCTCGTCTCTGTTACAATATTGCCCTTGTGCAAAATTTTTGTAAGGATCCAGTGGTCCAGGTCCCGGGGCGCGAGTTAACAAATCCAAATACCAACATATGCAATACAATTCCGGAGTTGGGAATGTGATGCAGTGGCTTTTGCTGCTCATCCGGTTAATTGATCTTACTTGGTATTTTAGGTTCTTTGAAACTTTCTTCGGCCTAGTCAAACGATCCATGGTCAAATGTTCATCATTGACACTTTCGTCCCTTGCCCCTCTTGAACCTTTCAAAAGCCTTTTTCGTCTCGTCTGCAAACGAATCGTCCACCAGGAACTTGGCCCCGACAGCTGCCAGCCCCTTGGCCACCTTCATGGCCAGCTTGTGGGCTTCCAGCTTGCCGGCCGACTCGGTGAAGCCTGCCGTGTGGTTGCCAGACCCAAGAGGACATGGTATCTCGAAACCGGGATGGATGGCGGGGACTTTGTAACAGACGTTGCCTAGTATGTAGATGTCAGGTCAACTTCGAGCTGGAAACAAAAGGCAAACGCACCAAAATCTGTACTTGCTGTGGACATCCCACCCATGGTGATCTTTTGTCCGATAACATTTTCCATGAAAGCTTGGTATGAGTAGGCCATTGGCTCGTTATTCCTCAAGTCGGCGTATACCTCTGTCACACATTAGCGGGGGAGCAGGCAGTATTGTTGATCTCACCATCCTCTTCAGCTTTGACTTTCATTGTACAGCCAGTAGCCCTGTCGATAAAAGCGATCAGTTCACGTCAACGAGCCAAATCATGTACACTCACTCGGCAGCTGCTTTGAAGCACGCAACAACCTTGCCTCGAAGCTCCAGACAGCTCTTGACGTCCAGCGCTCTCGTGCTGTATGACACCTTGGAATCTAAAGCGACAGTCAGATCGGTCGAGAGACACACGAGCACTTGGACCCACAACTAGGGATAATGTTCTGTGCCCACTGCTCCGACCCTAGGATGATGCCGTGGACTCGCATAGTGGGCTCGAGCTGTTGCCGCAACATCGACACTGCGGTATCTGGACAATTGCCGTCAGACTAGAGATGCAACGTGATGGTCCAAAACATACAGCCTTGCACGGCAGCATCGAGAGCATTGATACCCATCCAGGGAGCGGCCTGTTCCACAATCAGAAGCCTTCGCACTACAGCGAAACAGACTCACGCCGGCATGAGCGCCCCTGCCGAAAAACTCAATCTCAAACCCAGCCCTGGCCAAAGTGCCCGGCCCGCCGACTGTACATGATCCCTCATACTCGGGCGGCCCGGATCCACCTCCAGGATGAGCCATGGCACAGGCGTCGAGGTCGTCGTAGACACCTTCCCTGAGGAGAATGACCTTTCCACCTCCACCCTCCTCCGCTACCGCAATCTTTAGCATTTTGGACATACGATACAGACAACGTTTGCTTACCAGGTGTGCCAATAAGCTTGACAGTCCCTGCTATATTGCAGGCTTTCAAGGCAGCTTTGAGCCCAACAGCCGCGGCAACGCCTACCACAGCGATGAGGTTATGTCCGCAGGCTATGGCAAGTGGTCAGCAGGTCATGCCAACCAAGGACACATGTGACTTGCCATGGCCAACGTTGGGTAGAGCATCGAATTCAGAGTTGAATCCGAAAACCCGGCCGTCCTCTCCGTGAGTGTAGGAGGCGACAAATGCGGTGGAGAGACTGGAGGGATTGGTCACATCAAAGCCTAGCTTGCTCAAGCTCGCTACCAAGTTCTCGTGGGCTTTACTGCAAATCACTCCGTTAGGCGAACGAGCGTTCATATATCTGGGAAAAGACTTGCAACTCTTTGAATCCAAGCTCGGGATTTTCATGTATGGCCAGGTTGAGCTCTCGCATATCCGCATCGATCGCATCGATGGCTTGGAAGATGGCATCCTTGATCGTGTCCTTCACAATGGAGGCGGTCGGAGGCACAAGGTCTTTGAGGGAGCTGATGGTCTGGTTGACCAGGGCCTGAATGTCGACGGGCAGCTGGCCCGGGGTGGATGTTGGTGGTGAGATGACTCTCATGCTGAGCAGAGTGATAGTTGAGGGCGAGTAGTACTGTCTGGAGACCGTCTCGGATGGATGGTCGGTCAGACCGAGGCTGAGTATCTGGGTGAACATCTGGCTTTATCGACGGGACCAACGTTCGGACATGACCGACGGCCTGATAGCAGACTCAAGTGGGCACTTCTGGTCGCCCTACATAGGTCGGTCTTCGAGGCTTTGAGCCTCGGCAGCCGCTGGTAAAGCATAGGCATGTGAAGATAGAGGGTAGATGAAAGTTTGGATAAGTCCCTGGCAGAGACAGCCATGACCGAGGGAGACTGCTGGCCGGGCAGGCATGCTATACGCATGGGAATTGGAGTCGGCGAGCTGTGGTGCGTAGTGGGAGGAGATACAGTCTCGAGACAGCTGGGGGGTAGCTCCAGAAGGGGATGGGATGCGCTGGACGAGGGCAGGAGTGGGAAAAGCATTCGCGCCGAGCAAGGAACGAAACGCGTTCAGTTGGGGATCTCATGTCTCTACGTAGTCCTACACCATCCCGAACTTTTCCACGCCTGCTTTCTATCTCCTCTGGTATCGCGTACGGCACCCTCTCCCCATCAGCACCCCGCAAGGCATCTCGACATCCGCCCCGTGGCTGCCCGGCTGTTAGACTTGCCATGGATCCCCACACAAATCCCCAGGTGCGTGCTCATTCCGCGCGCAAGGAGGGCGATTGGTGCATTTACTGAACACTTTTACAGGGTGCCCATAGCCAGTCTCCAAATGGAGAGCCTCGCCAGCCCTCTCCACTGAAACAAGACTACAGCGGCTTCGTTAGCTCTGTTTTTCCCATTCCCGGAAGTCGTCGAACAGGTGTCCACTCTTCCGTCTCGCAATTAGCAGAAATACCGCCTCAAGATATAGAGCGACATCAGCGCTCATCAAACGGGTCGATTCCCAGCGATCCATTTCATGATACCAGACGAGGCACCTTCCCCACGACCGGTGCTCTTCCCCCACACGGACGCAAAATCCATGTTTCTTATGACTTGGCCGCATCTCCCGGGCAGCCTGGCTCCTCTCATAGCCAAATACACCCTACCTCCAACTCCCCTCAGATGCCCATTTCTGACAATGACTCGATATCTGCCTTCCTGGCAGAGATGCCGACAATGACCGAAGACCCTACGCGGCACGTACTTTGGACGGAACTTGTGCGCCTGAAGACGAGGTCACTAGAGCTTCAGATCGCCGAGGCGAAAAGAAAAGAGAAGGAGGCGGAGCTGGAGCTTGCGAGATTACAGAGTGGGGCCGTCTCTAGAAATGACGGCGGAAGCAATGCCACGGCAGGGCCAAGCGGATCCAACGATCTTTCGGCTGCTGGTATTGCGGGGACTCAAGACACATCCAGCTACGGTATATCGCAACAAATTATGCCCCCTCAGCATCAGCTCGAACATCATCAAATCCAACAGCCATATGACGCGGCCCAGCATCAGTTGTACGGTGCGCCCCAATCAGGTCAGGCGCCATGTGCCATGTCTCCTTTCGACCTGGATGCGCTGCTTCAGACTGATACCAACAACTTCCTGTCGTGGCTACCTGATCTCGGAGGGCACGACATCTCCCAGTCAGATCAGTCTGCACCATACGGTGCCATGCTGTCATCGTCGCATGACGTTCCGTCTACTAGCGAGCATATGCCTGTCGCGCAACCTTCCCCCGCTCCTCCAAGTCCCCCAGATATCCATTCCCCGCCCACAAAAAGATTAAAACGGACAACGGAGAAGAAGACTGTAGTTGAGCAAGCGTGTATCTGCACCTCTTGCTCCGAACCTCTTGCGCGTGTATTAATTCGGGCGCCCAAGTCACAGATTCCGAATCCCATCAACGTCTCAATCAAGTGCCTCAAGTGTGCCCCTGTCCAGCAACCGTCGACCTTGCCCGATCCCAATCAAACGGCCAGTGGCTCGGCAATAGGGACAGTGGAAACCAGAAAGAGGATGAGGACGTCTATGGAAATAGATGACGAAGATGCCAAGGTCCTTGAAAGAAGAACTTGGTGTGATGTGTGCCAAAAGGTTGTTGGCTCTGGACAATTGATAGGTGGAAAGAAAAAAGAGAACATATCACACATGGCGGAGATAGTGTGTGTGAGCTGTGATAGCAAATATCAGAGGTGTACGGATGTAAGTTTTGTGGCTCAAAATGCAATCTTGTACTAATCAATCAGTGTGGCGGTGGTGGTGGTCCTCGAGTCGGTATCGGGAAATGGCGTATGAAACAGGTCTTTCATCCGGGACGCAAGACGTGCAGCCTTTCTCACACGAGGTTCGTCTCTTCACCGTGATCCATATGGCAGTATCTGAAAGGGCTCATCGTTCTAGGTTGGGCGATCGTACCCGCGAGCTCGGTGTCCACGTCACCCCTACAGACTTTACTCCCGAGCAAATGAAGGAGGTACTGTCCCGCTGTAAGGCCTTGTGGAATGAAAAGACCCTTTCGCGATTAGCCATTCCGGAAATGCTAGAGTACGTCGTTTCCATTGATGCCCGTTACTTAGCTCATGGACTTGCAGGGTAGACTTGCCGGCAGGTTTCGCCAACCCCCTCCGCGACTTTGCCGATGTCGACGATATTGTCACTCGCAATTGGCCCTCGAGGGAAGCAATGATCCATGGAGAAGGTATAGATCAGACCCGCTTCAAACGACTTCTATCTCTGATAGTATGTAGACCATCAGATTTCTACACCATATGCTGACTTGCTGTACAGTGGGCCCACTCGAAACCTCGACGTACTGTCAGGACGGTCGATCTGGAAGAAGAATGGACAAAGCACGCCGACGAGAATGACCACCAAGACATGAGCACTGTACTGGCAAATGTCCGACGAAGTGAGTTTCGTCTGGAAACAAAGTGTGGGGCTGATGCTTTGGCCAGCAAACGTAGTCATTCCTGCGGGTTCCGAGCTCATCGGTATGTGGGGTGGAGAATGGGATATGCAGAGTGAGTCCGCAGAGGGTTGAGTGTGTCAGAGTTGACTCTTACAGACGGCTCCCTCCTTATCTCTACCTTCATCCCGTTCGAGGGAACCGACGGAGAGGACAGCACTGCCCTTTCAGTGGGGGAGATGATTACCAAAGTTCAAGGTTTGCTGCAGGAGATCAATACGGCAAGAACGGACCAAGCGGCTTTGGAAGGCAGACAACCTGTCCTGCTGCCGCCCTGCCAGCACTTGTGGACGGTGTCTGGGGTAAGTCCGTGATCCCTCAATACTGTGCAGACCGCTGACCCGTCAACAGGGCTACATTCCCCTGGTACGGGAACGATTCGCAGATGTCTTGATAAAGAAAAGAGCATTTGTTCATCTTGAAGAGTATCTCACGAGACACCCGGAGTTTATCGAATGCGTCAAAGCTAGACCTGGTAAGCCGAGGATTCTGCACGGGAGCTGTATACTGAGTTCTGCCAGTCGGTTTGCATCCTGATATACATCGTCCCATTCCCGTGTCGGACTCAAATGATGCGGATGCGTCGACCCCACGGCCTCTCATCCTTGTAAGATGGCTCGGTAACGACTTTGATGCGCAAAAAATCCTAGAGATCAAGCAGATGGAGTTCGGCGGTGCCAAGGGGAAGACTAAAAAGCGGCCGAGGGGTAAGGCGTGATGGTGTGCATGCTATCCGTACAATTGAGGGGGCGGCATCTAGTCATGGCTTCGCGTTATAACGTTATATGAACTGGCGCGAATATCGGCTATCCACACTTAATTGACAATTTCAGCCCGCATAAGATACTCCTCGCCGAATATTGAGGACTTGTACCATTTCATGTGGACTTTGCGGACCAACCTGTGGGCGTCGGCCACAGAGGCCAGGGTGAAACAGCAAGTGGTGTTGAGAGAATATACTGACCTTTGAATGTATTTCAGCGGCGGCCATGTTGGCGTGGTACATGCAATTGAACGTACTGTGGCAATTTCAATATCGCATCCTTTGCCTCCCTCAAGGAGCATCCACTTGCCAATCGATCTAGGTCTGATACAGTGACTCCGCCTGGCAATCCTCTCACGACAACTCTGCGCCCCCTAAATTCAGGTTGTAATGCCCAATCAACCGTTAATTTCCAGCTTTCCGTCGATCTCCAGTCCACGTCTCTTGTCCCTTTCAGCTCGTTCCTCGTAGCCATCTCGATGGTAGCCTCTGTCCATTCCTCTTTGTTGCTCAATGTGAGTTGGGCGGCCTCCAGCATGTGAAGTTTGGGGTTCAGGTTCAAGTTACGCTTGGGGCTTTCCCCAGTGGGGTAGGGGAGAGTCGAGGAGGATGTCGCGAACAAAGGGTGGGCATTCACGTGAGCATGGATGGCCAACGCTTGTCTCGGGCTCTCAAGCTCGATGTGCCATTTTCTGGTGAGAGACGGCATACGGGGGAGAGAGGGAGGTGAAGCGGTGACTATAAAGGTCAGATAAGGATGAAGTACAAGCGGTTCGAGACATAACTTACTCGAGGATAGAGGAAACGACTTCCCGACAGCCTTCGCATCTTGGAGGGCACGCAAAACATCTTGAGGGAGGGCCAATTTCGGGACATTATTCAATATCAGGAACCTTGGTTGATTGGTAGGCGGCAGTCGTTCTGGGAACCATGAGCAGAGTACGAATAGGATTACAAAAGACTGACGGGCTCGAAAGCGAGAGACGAGTTTGGGGCGGTGGCTAGGGGCATTCTGAAAGACCTTGGCCAAATGAGACGATGCGTCCTCAGCGACACCTTTGAGCATGACTGATGGTCGCATGTTAAGATATTGACCTGGTGCGTGGTTAGATGTTCACCATCAAACATCGCCAGACTCATTGGCCGCCAAAAAGTCCAAAACATCAGTGATTACGTAATGTAGAAAAGGAGAGCTCGGCGTCCCGGCGGTATTATATTAGCAGAGGAGTGCTGGACGAGTGTTCTCTTCCACAATGAACGAGTACATGCGATCTATGTGCCACAGAGGCAAAGGTGGCAGCTACTACAGTGAAGTGATACTAGAGTATTCCCATAACAAATATCTTCAACCTTGGTACTAATTGCATAACTATCAGAGCCAAACTCATCCTCGGATTCTTATCGATGCTGCAGCTCTCTCATCTAGAGCAAAGATCATCTCTTGCCGTTGAGTGGCACGATAGTTATGTAGAGTACCTGATACTACATTAGTCGCATGCTGGGTTTATTCAGAGCTGTGGACGTACAGGAAGAATGGGTTCTTCATATCGGTCGTGTCCTCTGCCCCGAGCTCTTGCCCCTTACGCTCTATCTCAGCGTCACTCAAGCCCATCTCCTGAATATTTCTCAGCTTCTTGCGATTCGAGTACTCCAGCCAGATCCGCCACATGACGATGGTGACCAACTCGGCGGCCATGCAGGCTGCGATCGTCTGTCATTCCAAGGGTGAGAGTGTGTATTGCCGGTGATCGTGTAAGCTTACGATAGTCCCAGGTATGTAACGAGGGGCATCCTTCGATTTCATGACTTGGGAGCCAGCAATATTTCCGGTACTAGCCATAATTGTCAATAACCTATACCGTCCCTTGCCTTCTGTCGAGGTGCTTACCAGTATGCAATGAATGTCATCGAGCTAATGATACTCCTCTTGGTTCTTCCAGCTGTGTTAGACGACAGCAATGCCCAGGCTGAAAATAAAGGAATGACAAAGCTTTCCTCAACATTAGCTTCATCAAAAGATACGCAATCAGGCGACTCACGTGACAGTCATGAGATACATGCCCCATTTGATCCATTTGTAGGAAACGTCGGCTGGCAAAAGAGCCAAGAACATGAGCTATATCATTTCTTCAGTATCGGCTTGAAGCACAGCCAAGTTGATCGACAACTTACGCCAATAAAGGGAAACACCGTACTGATCATCATAAAGTACATCCTGATTCCCTTGAACTTTGAAGTCATGATACCAATGAAAGCAAACCACAGAACGGAAACCACAGAACGGGGAATGCCATAGAGAATGACCTCACTCTCGGTACTATGACATCCGTTAGCTAGTGGTTATTTTTCTGATGTGATAATTCTCACAATCCAAATGAACGATTAACAACCGAGCCGAAGGTTGTGAGCGAACCATTGCACACACTGCTGAGGAAGGCGTTTACGAATCTTGATTTGATCAGGGCCGGTTCACGTCGCAAAAGATAATTGTCAACTCACTGGGCGTACATTACCGGATCCAGGAATGCTTCCCGCACCTGATCCCATTTCCAAGTCTTTCGTCCAGTCATGTCAGTACCCGCATTGTTCTTCATGACTCGCGCATTCGCAATCTTCTTCTCCTCTTGGCTCAACCAGCGAACTTCGTTGGGACTACCGAGCATCCAATACGCGACGAACGCCGCCAACAATGTTTGGCCCCCCAAGAACACAGCGATGCCCCTCCAAGCCTCAAATCCTCCTTCGTTTTTGGTAGCAGCTTTAGCGATGCCGTACATGGTGAGGTCGACAACGACACCCCAGCCAGCGTTGGCAGATTGAAAGACCAAGGAGCGAGCATTGTGTTCCTGCGTCGTGTACCAATTGGCCTGTAATGCTGTCAGTCCTGATATCCCACCACTCTTTGGAGTCTTACGATGAGCAGATTGAATCCCGGACTGTATGACATATTGATTGTGAGTTCCGGTACCTCTTGACTGACTACTTCCAGTAACTCACCTGATGGTACACTCGAATGCGCCTACGACTCTGGTCAGCCGATGTCCAACAGAGACGATACACGCTTACCTTGGAGAAAGCGCAGGACCATGAAAGGCGCCCAAGAGTGGAGGAAAGCTTGAGCCAGAACAACGACGCCCCAGCAGAACATGTAGATAGTGAGACATAGACCCATGTCTTGACGCGTATGTTCAACGTGCGATCCGTGTTTACTCTGCAGAAATATGCTCACTGAATCGTTGTAAGACGATGTTGGACGGGAATTCAAAGAGAGCATAGGCCGTATCTGAGGCAGATTGTCAACGTCATCAGAGCGGACGAAATCGTGGACATCACTCACAGAAAACGACCGTAAGCAAGGAGTACTGATTGCCGTGCATACCAGTGTCGGCCTGAACACCGTACAAATTCTGAAATACCATAAGCATCACCGTAAAAATGCCTGTATATCTGCAACTTACCATGGAACCCAGACTGAAGGGGATCAATTGCATCAGACTGGCGGCAATGTTGACGCACAAGGGTGGGAAAGTACTCACCCAGTCTTGTCGGTTTGTTGGATTCCATAGCACCACCACATCAGAGGCAAAAGAACAAAGTCGACCTTGCGCTTCACCCTATTGTACTGCTCTTTGGTATAGACCTCTTGACCATCCAAGCTGGACTTGGGCGTCAGCCATCTACACCGCGTGATAAGGACGTAGACATACGCTTCTTCCGCCACCTTCACTTCTTGCACAGTGACGGTGTTGCCATTCTCGGCTTCAAGCTGCTTCTCATCCGGGTAATCATCGAGTTGCTCCACGTTGGTGAGGTGATGATGGGTCTTGACGTCGGAGGACATCGTGTAGATATAGTTCTGTGCTGAAGTATGATTGAGGAAAGAGCAATGCCAATATTACAAGTCGGCAGGCAGATAAACCGGATCGAACCCATAGAGTCTGCTTAAATCCATCATCTGAGATGGTATACGTACCGGCATCGGGGGTGTCCGAGCGCACGATAAGGACGACTGCGTTGGCTCGAAGATAGATAAGGGATGGTCACGCCAAGAGTGGTGGAGGCCAGAAGCCAGGAGCAGAGATAAGCAGGTGCAGGACGTTAGCGCTCCACAAGGCAGGAATTGGACCGAGTCTGTTCCTGCCAAGCTCGTTCCTCATGCAGTTGCCGCCAGCTCTTGAAAGCCGATGCAGGTGTCAGATCGGCTTATTTTGCCAGTGAAGGCAGGCACTGATAAGAGGCTGCGATACAGCGGCGTCGAGGCCGACTAGGCCTCCCGACACAAGACATGTTTCTCATGATCCTCATGATAAGGATGGGGGCGCCTCGGTCATCTCCGGTGAGCTTTCAAGACATCAGCACCACATTCCCTCGAGGCCTTGAGCTATAATCGGATACGGCAATGGGGATTCCAAGGTGTGCGAGTGTTGTGCGTATCGTACAGCATCGGTGAGCTGACCCCAATTTGGAAGCAAGAGAATGGATGATATCCGCGGATAGGGTCCATATCTTCAGCATCTCCTGTCTATGCCCTCCCGTTTCTCCTCTTCTCGATACTCGAACATGGCTTGTACACCTACGAACAGACAGCCACAAGCAAACAGTAGGAACATCCATCCTGTCTACTGTCAGCAAGGACATGGATTCCCGAGAAGGGACTCACCTGAGAATGTCGAAGTAAGCTCTTTCAAGAGATGTCTTGTTCCGTCCACTCCCAGAACAAATCCGACCAGGTTGGCAACCATCATCATGAGGATGTTGGCGACGCCCCCGAGCGCGCAAACATGGCGATAGTATCGATGCTCTCCAAACTACTGATAAGTCAGCTGTGTATCCGCATGAGATGGCTAAGTCTCACCTTCTCCGCTGTGAAGAGCTTTCTGGCCGCGATCTCGGGAACAATAAACAGACTGACGAGCCATCCCCACGCAAGCAGCTTGAATGACAAGTCATGCCACAAGGCGACAAAGGTGAAGACGAGCAACGTAGCTGGCACAACATTCTTGGATCCTCCGACCGGGATGTACACATATCTACCGCCTGGTCAGCAAAGATAGATGGGGGTTAGCGTTCAACACACCTGACGACCCATAGATTGAAGCTTCGATGCCAACTGCGCCAAAAACCGAGGGCAGAATAGTTGTTGGAGATGCATCTGACCATGTTTTCTGGTGGGTCAACACCATCCCAGAGCGCCCATAATCGGAAGAAGCGCCATGGGATTAGCAGCTGCGGAGGCATCAGCATGATCCGTTGACACCAGGGCGGCAACTCACCTTGAGCCAGACGATGACCAGGTTCCAGAACCCAATCATGCTCAGCTCCGCCGGTGTATCGCCATCCCAGGCAGCCGTGTCTTTGATGGCCACGACATACATCGTATGCAGCACAAGCTCCATGGTCAAGATACACACGAGGAAGCGGAAAGCATATGCAATTTTGGTGCGCGGTGTGATTTCCACGGGTTTCTTGAGCTACCTGCTGTGAGCTGTGGGCACGGATGATGTCCGGGTACTTACTTGCCATGCAAAGTCGTTGAAAGACATGATTGGCCCAGCCACATATAAGGGAGGATACAGGCAGTATGCAAGATAGTTGGTGAAAGAGTAATCCTTTTCTGGGAGAGATGTGCCCGCTCGTTTTCGGTACTCGATGGGGGCCTTTGACATTACATGAGCACTAACACAACAAGCAGAGCCTGACATACCTCGGCTTCGGCTGGCTCTACCCGCCAGATATAATCCAAGCCAAATGACACTAGACGCATCATGGTAATGTTGAATCCAACATGCCACCGTGGCAGGAGACCATTGTAATCGTCCTAGATTGACAGTAAGCGCTTGTTCTGCCTCGTATTGTCTGCTTACCAAGAAGCCCAAATCCGCATGGAGGCTGGAGAATTTGTAGCCGTTATATCTCTCATTGAAGAACAGGACGACCATATTGCCACAGAATATCACTCCCGGCCACACTTTGCGCATCGCAGGTGTCAAGGGAAACTTTGAGGCGTAGTAATTGAGGGCCAATATGGCCAACACTTTGGCGGATGAGCTTCCGTGCAGAAGTATTGTCACAGCAATGGAAGAAATGGCAATGAAACGTGGCCTCGAGATGATGCCTGAAAGAGCGCGAGAGTGGAGGAAGGAGGCGATGAGATTGGAGGAAGCAAGCATGAGGAGTGGGAGAAGGTTGCTTCTGAAAGTGCGATACTGGATATCACTATTGTCCTGATTGATAATGTCAGCAGGTGCAGATCAGTGTTGCCATGCGTCTCACTACTTGTCTGCCAAACATCCACCCAGGCGAGAGCTTGTAGGAATACAGAGGGTAGTTGGGGTGCGTAGCTACAAGAAGGTTTAGTGGTAATGGAAGCCGAGGTAAAAGGGCCACTCACGCAAGCTCACCCTCATCGGGACCCAAAGCATCATGGGAACCACCAAAATGAACACGATAGCATAGAAGCGAAATTCTGTAGTGGTCCACCTCTGTGGCGCAGGCTCTTGCCCAGGTCTAGCTTGAGAGCCAGGGACAGACACAGTCAAGTCTGTAAGGCCCATCTTCCATGGTCTTGAGCCGGTCTTGGAAATGTTTGGAGGGAGAATAGAGTGCTCGAGTTGATCCATGCTGGCGAATGGCCGGGTCTGTGGGTACCGTCAGTATATGTACGGACGGACGTGAGGCAGGAACTGTACCCGTGCTCGATATGTTAATGAACTGGTTTTATCGCTGCTCATGATCGTGAGGGGCCAGTGTAGCCCATGGCGGGTACTGTAGCGTGGCCGTGTAGGTTGATATCCACCAGATACATCTCTTGACCACTCGACTTTCTTCGCCGCTGATGTGGAAGGTAATTTCGTTGCGACGCGACGCGTCGAGCCACGGGGGGCTTCGGTTTGGCCGTAATGTTGTGAAAATCATGCAAATCGGTATAGATTTTGGCGAGCCAGTCCAGAGTCTATGCATCGCGTCAGGCGCGAGGACAGGACTCGCACGATGCATGCTGGGTTATAGAGAGCAGGAAATGAGCGCTGAGTTGCGTAGCTTTCCGCGTCGCTGTCGGCCGACGAAAGCTGTCGCCATATTATTAGCTGCACTTTCCGAAGCCTCGCTGCACTTTAATCACCTCGCAACCGCGTCCCAGTACATAATTCTGCTCGGCTCTCTATCCCTCCACTACTCCCCCAGCACGCTACGCCTCTCCGCCCATTAGCCACCTGCAGTTCTCTCCTTTCTTCTGCCAGCCCAACAAATCTGCGTTATCCGAACAACAACGATGCAGACGGCCATAGTAGATAAGGAGGTGCGTCCCTGGTCTAAACATATTATCGTCATCCATCTTCGGCCGCGCCCCGTATCAGCCATCCCACGCCTTTTCAGTCCCTCTTCTCTCTCTATTCACCATGGTCCACAACGCCTGCCCTTTTGCTAACATGGCCGCCGCTTCCCAGCTTCACGCCAACCTCGCCGCCTCCGTGCCCCTCACTCCCTCTTTCCAGCCCAACACCCCCGACCCAGAGAAAGCGCCTCAACCTTCGGGGAACAATGTACGCGACCACGCTTCCATCATGGCAGACATTCCCGAGCTCGACTACACCCAGCCCCTGTCTGCTCTGCTCAAGCTTGGCACCCAGCGTGCCCACGTGAAGGCCGAGCATTCCGTTGGTGCTGCTGCCCTCGTCCAAGGTACTCTGGGGCTGGAAGAGTATATCCGGTGGCTCGCTGCTCTTTGGCGGGTCTATGAGTGAGTGTATTCTTCACACGACGCGTTTTCTGGCTAATCGCATGTCTCAGCGTTCTCGAGCTGAGCTTGCAACTCAATTCATCAAACCCCGTCCTCGCACCTACATATGACCCGACATTACTTGCCCGAGCTCCCGCTCTCGCGGCAGACATCAATTACCTTCTCACCCTCCTCCCGCCCGACACGACCTCAGTGTCTTTGCCCGCCTCCTCGCAGTCTACTGTTGCCACGCCCCTGCCGCCCTTTCCCCTCCCCTCCTTTCTCCAAAGTCTCTTTGACGACGCCCCGAGCCCACTTTCTGCCTATGTAGACCACCTCCGGACTCTTTCTGAATCACCAATCACTGCCCCAGGCCTGCTCGCGCATGCTTATGTCAGATATCTTGGTGATCTATCTGGTGGTCAATTCATTGGCGCCAGAGTCAAAAGGTCATATGGGCTCAAGGGTGATGAAGGAACGTCATTTTACCAGTTTGATTTCCAGAAGGAAGGGGCCGCTGGAGGTGATGAGAGCAGGGCGGAGTTGAAGAAGCAATTGGGAGAAATCAAAGATTGGTATCGACGGGGCATGGATGAGGCTGTGGGTGAAGACCAGAAGTTGAAAGGTGAGCTGCCCATCAAGTCTGCTGCGATCATGTCTAACGATACTTTTAGCCGACCTCGTTGAAGAAGCCAACTTGGCCTTTGCCCTCAACACAGATCTCTTTTCTATCATCCGTGTCCCCTCTTCAGGAGACAAGGCTGGTTCCAAGATCGCTGTGGCCGAACAGCCGAAAGCTGGTGTCAAGGACTTCATCACGCAGTCAATGTGGTTTGTTGCTGCTGCTGCTGTTGGCATGCTCCTGAATATCTATGTCGGGCCCATCGTACAAGATTGGCGAAAAGGAGAATAAAAATCTTGGTGGAAAGAGCACTAGTATACTATTTGGTTCCGTTAGGCTGTTCCTTCTTGATGCTTCATGTAACACTAAGATGTCTGCTTCGAGTGTACGACCTCCGCAGCCTCCTTGAAGTCAGACTTCTCTCATTTCCAGTTGATGCTAGGATCTAATATATGATGGTAATGGAACAAATACACCGATGCCTCAATCCCATGGCTTCGTTCTTCCCCCGGTATTTTTCGATCCGCCTACGTCTTGCCTGTTCCCTCCTGTGACACACGCTATGGCACACAAATACCCCCAAGAAAGGGGGCCCCGGCGGGACAACAACAGTCTACGCCATATCGTTCCCGATTTATTTGGTCGGTTCGGCCAGTGCCCGCGGTTTTGTAGTAGCGATATTGAGCTGGCGGGCCGCTAATGTTTGAGAAAAGGGACGATGGAGCTGATCGTAGTTCTTCGGACGTCGGAAAAGGAGCACATGCTAGAATGAACGTCAGTCGAGATTGATTGACAAGGCTTGGGCGAGAGGCATACAGGTTCCTACAGTACAAGTTAGCCAGGACTTGGATGAATATGAACTCCTGAACTTACAGGCTCATGCCGCATGTACATCTCCCATCTACGCTTACAGTCAGCCCCTGATCATCCACAAGAACGATGATCATCCACAAGAACGAATCAAGCTCACCCAGGTGACTGTTTGATGCCGATTCCTCTCCAAACCTCTTCTGCACAGACGCCTGGCGGAATGAAACGGACGAGGGGTTTGGGGACCTAAACACTGCAAGGTTAGATCGTGGCCAAGTCTGACAGCGTAACGACTGACGATTACATGTCTACGCAGATGATTAGTATAGACTCGCTTTATGTTGCTGGGATCATGCTTACCTGTATTCCCACTCGGTATCTGAAGCAACAAACAATCGATCAGCAAGGGTCCAAAGAGCCTCCACCATGGGGTCCACAAACAGCCGGGGAAACTCACCCGAATATCGAGCACTATAATGGATCTTCCCCTCATATGTATGGATAGCTTTACGCTTCTCCTCGGCAGTGAATGACTTTTGATGATACTTCTTGCTCATGATGTTTGGTGACTGACGATGGCAGAGTGGAGGTTTGTTTGGGTCTTGAGGCGAGGGGAGTGTCGTGGGATTTTGGGTCTAAGCTTGTGGGACTAGTTGAAAAGCTACAAGGGATTCAGCACTTCTCTCACGTAGCCAGGAATTGTGGGGGAGGATGCAGGCAGGCTTACATCGTTGATGGTCGTGTGCGTTGTTGACTGCTGGACGGCTTGTTTTGAAGGAGAATTACAGGATATCACAGAGAGAGCGGGGACAAGAAGAGGACACTATAGATACGAGCCCTTTACGGAATGGCAAGATGGGGAGGGGCTGACGAAAGCTGAGCCGTTGTTTGCAGTAGTTTACAGAGACAACAAGCAGAGATGCGCGAGCCTGACTTTCGGTCAACACCAGCCAGGCACAAGCTGGAACTTGACCAGGGTTCGCCACGTGGCGCGTTCCGGAAGCCGCCCGACCCTTACTTACGCGTTCGACCTTTGTGCGCAATTTACTATACCCCTATGCATGTGACGCTATGCAGTACTCGAGTACTCTGAGGTCTGGCACGGCGGTAAGCATCTGACGCGTCTGAGCGTCCACACTGCAAGAGGCGGGCTGGACTGCAGATGATAGGTTTTGGGCCCCGGGACCGTGCGAAGGAGCATTTAGAGCCGGTCCATGCATTGCTGAACGTTTGATTAAAATTAGTTGAATCCTTCATCGAATGCTGTCAGGCGCGCAGCTAGAATGAACATACAAGGCATATGACTGATTATGGCAAGAGGGTCCACCCTTTGCTGAGTGTCTGCATGGATGCGCGTGCTACATGCGTATCGATATGACCTTCCATTCAAGCGCTCTCATTGGCATAAGCATGAGGCTATGAACGACGTTACTTTCTACCGCAACATATCCATGAATTCGGCGCTCTACAAAGTAGCTATACCAAGATATATACGCGTTGGAGGTAGGGAAATCGCACAGCAAAATTGGGCGCAGGCCGAGACCGACGTTTGGCTCGTGGGTTTCTCAAGTACTCGCTTACTCCTACAGCATGTACAACCAGGCCATGCCAGTCTGCTCGCATGTGGTCAGTGAGTGGAATACTCGTTCTTGCTGACGTACACACATAAATATCTCATCGGTACAGTCGGCTCCATTGACCAACATTATATGTGACCGATGATGTCTGCCTTACGACCCCTGACTTCCTTCCGCTCTTATGGTCCTATCCATAATGCGAGCTGTATGTATCACCCTCGTGCCACTTTTCACGCCCTCCAACTCTCCACTATATTCCATCCTCAATCATCGCTCTCTTTCCCATCACTTTTCTTATCCTCCGAGCTACTCTTCGACCTACGCCCTTCGTTCCCTCTCTTACCCGGACCTACGGCCATATTGCCTAGGACAGCCTGAATTTTGTGCACAATTTCCGCAGTAGAGTCCTTTTCCTTCTCCACTTCCTTTTCTCGGTCTTCCGGATTTCTACTCTGGCTTCTTAGTGGCCTGTCGGGGCAATCATCTAGTTCATGCCCCGCGATACCGCAGTACTTACACAGATGGTAGCGTTGCCTGTACTCTCGCACCTGGCGCCGAAGCTCTTCGCGAGGCTGACCGACGTTCTCGGGAGGTGGTGGTACAGGCTTGCCACGATCGGCATTGCCAGTCTCGGTCGTCCTGCGAACATGACAATTATCCACGATATGCGCCGAGTCACCGCAGTAAAGGCAGAGACCGTAGCGCATACGGTATTCACGGATTCGGCGTCGGTGTTTATCGCGTCCTTCACCGGCATCGGCAGGTGGCGGAGGGATGGACTTGGGCCGGATGGGAGCCGGGGTGGAATGTGAAGAAGGTTTGGAGGGAGGAGTTGCCGGAAGAGATGCCGGAAGAGATGTGGGACGAGATGTGGGAATAGATGTGGGGAGAGATGCGGGGCCGGATATGCCGGATACCTGCTCAGGCAGCGAGGAAAGGAGAGGGTCCAAACTGGAGAGACCAGGAGTATTACCCTCCGAGCGTAGGCGTTGGTCGATTCGATGGGCCATTTGGGCAAGTTGTGCAATGGTACGTGATGTCCCATCTCCATCCAAATCGCCAAATTCGTTCTGAAGCTCTGCATAGACTTCTCGTAACAGACCCCGGAGGTAGACATCTTTGGTCAAGGTCCCTTCGGCCGCATCGAGCTTGCCAATAATGGTAGAGAACGCCACATTGTATTTCTGAACGGTGCTCGTCTGGCGCAGCTGCAGCAGCTGGTCGAGAAGACCGAGACGGTCGATCGGAGGAATGAATGCATCGGCAAAGGCAGCCCGAAACTCTTTCCATGTCTGCGTGGCGACATGATTGACCGACTTGAGTTGCTCAAACCACAAGGCAGCTTTCCTGGAAAGATGCAAAGCCGCCCATTCGATAGAAGCGGGTTCGTCTTTAAAAGAATCCTGGTTGTATTGCAATAGCTGCTCGAGCGCATTGATGAACGAAAGAGACCGGGATCTGTCGCCATCGAAGGAGATGGGGAGGATCGCAGGAAGGAGGTCGGACTTTGCGCACAGACGCTCTTCCCTCGCCCGCTTTGCTTTCGAGGAGGTTGGTTCGCAGACTTGATCGATTGTGCTCTGCTTTGACCGTTGGGGTCACCTGGCAGGCGTGCGCCGGGTATGGGACCCCTAGCACCTCCCGGAAGCATGGGTCGAAGCTGCTCGAGATTGAGGGCGGGGCCAGTTGGATTGTGTCTTGAAGTGGTGGGTTGCGAGAGCGAGGGCGGGTCTGGGTTGGGGCGGAATGCCGCAGACATGGGAGGATCCGGCCCCAGTGTGACCACTCTCGAGGAGGGCATGTCAGTCATGCTGGCGGCCACTCACTGCAGAGAGAGGGAAAGAGGGAAAGTAGAAAACAACCCTGTCACCGAGCGGAGGATGCCGCCGTACACATGCGCGCGTCCTCGCTGCTGCTCTCTTGACGACTTGTGCGACTCTCTCAGCGTCAAGCAACACGGCAGGCTCCCGCCAGCATGGAGTACCAGGAGGACTATGTCGACGTAAAGCGCCCACGCGACGGGGACGACTTGTACCATCCAAAGCAGTACTGTCAGTATCATCTCCTCCCGTCGCGAACTCTGCTCACCTCCGCCCACAGCCTCAGATCAAGCCCAGTCATCCAACTATCAACAAATCTCGCCAGACACTACAAGCTCTGTTCTTTCCACCGCTCCATTATCAAAAATCAAATCCAGTACCAGTGCAGACCGGAGGATGTCCGTTGGGATGGGTCAACCGGGAGTATACACCGGCATGGCCCAGGTGGCTCAGAGCCAAGGACCCAGAGGGGACGAAGCCGTGCCAGTCGGGTTCGATGAGGCTGTTTTGCGCGGTCTCTGTGATATGGATGTGAGTCCAATGAACCATCTCGCTGTCTGCATCTAACATTCTGTCATAGTGCTCCTTGTCACTGTTGGCCGACAGGATCAAGCAGGGAATAGTGTCGTGCAAGCAAGTGGCGACGTTTTTCCGGTCTCGCGCCGATATTGAAGAAAAGTATTCGCGCTCACTGACGGAGCTCTATCGGTCGACCGGAGACGTATATGCTAGGGGCGATTGTAAGGCAGGGTACGCATATGTTTTACTAGTCGATGGCACAAGCTGAAGTCTCTTCAGGACATTCGTTCAAGCGTACAACTCTGGACTCCGATTACAGGACCAACTGGCTCAGAATAGACTACGGTTTGCTCAACGGCTCAACGAGATGGCAGAAGAGCTTTTCAGTCTGGCACGAGAAGGTGAAAAGACTCGGAAAATCGTATGTAATCATGTCACATCGTGACTTGACTGACTTGCTTTCAGCACAAGGAAACCGGTTCTCGCTATCAGCTCATCATTCAAGATGCCGAGACCGCTGTTGAAAAGGCCAAAACCCGTTTGGACGGCATTGTAGAGGAGCTCGATCGAGTTTTGGCAGCCAAAGAGGGCGAAACCTACAAGGACACTCGAGGAGGATATAACACTGTTGGTGGACCGGCATACGGCAACAACGGCTCCGCCCCATCAGCATCCGCACCGTCAGGCCATGGCAAGAGTAAGCTTGGAAAAGCGATGAAGACGGGCGGACTGCTGTTCAAGGGCAAGGGGTCGGGGTCGCTCCAAAAGCAAGAAGACGATAGCAGAGCAAAGATGGACCATGCGAATGAGACGTTCACCAAGGCCGTTGCTGAGAGTAAGCAGCTGAGGAAGGAATATTTCAGTTTTCAGCTGCCAAAGATATTGCGCGTGAGTCGCTTCCAAGACGGCTAGAGTCGTGCTGATGAGAAACAGCTTTTGAAAGAGTGTGCCGACGAAATCGACTTGGGAACGCAATATCATCTCACGAGATTTGCATTCTTGTACGAGACAATGACTGTTGGAGATGGGGCCCTGTTGAACCCGTTGGGCAACCCAGAAGAGGGTGAGTGTGTTGGCATCAAATGGGATGTGTACTGATTGCTACTCAGGGCCTGGCTTGAAGGCGATATTCGAGAGCATAGACAACAGAACGGACTTCAAGTCATATATGCAGAACTACGCTGTAGTCAGAGGTACACCCCGCGGACCGCGGCGAGAAGGTCCTTACGATGACGGATTCGTGAGATCAAAATTGTCCACAAGGATCAGGGAGAACTGACACAATCCGTAGCAGATGCCGTTACCCCCCCATGTCCAAAAATCGCAAGATTCTACATTCTCCGCCTCACAATCTTCAGCCCACACGTCCCCTCAGCCTCAGGCTTTGCCATCACCCCATTCGCAAGCATCCGGGTACGGTTATCAAACTTCTCCCCAACCGCCATCTGCCTCGCAAATGCAATCCTCAGCGCCACCTCCCCATCCATCTGGCCCCTCTCATAACTACAACCCTTCCGTTGGATCAACCATCACCACTCAAACCAACAATACACTTCCTACCAATTCGTCTACGACCCAAAATCAGGGAGGGGAAACCACGTCGCTCGCGAGCTACCAACAGGACTACATGGCTCCGGGTATACCCGCATCTACAGGTCACACTTTTGGTGTCGATTTGGGTGAGCAACTGGCTAGAGATGGGACGGCGGTCCCGCGAATAGTTGAAAAGTGTGCTGCGGCCATAGAAATGTACGGGCTGGAAAGCACAGGTGTATACCGTTTGTCAGGGACTTCGAGTCGGGTTCAAGCTCTGAAAGCTGCCTTGGACAACGGTGAGTACTACGTGTGAGCTTGGCAACGACAGCACTGATAAAGTGCAGATGTGAACGCTGTGGATATTGAAAGCGACGAGTGGTCAGCGGATATCAATGTTGTCTGTGGGGCCTTGAAACTGTGGTTTAGAGAGTTACCAGAACCGCTTCTGACTCACGGCCTCTACCACTCCTTCATTGAAGCTGCCCGTGAGGAATCTCCTATAGATGGTTGAAATCAACTGACAGCTACCAGGTTATGAGAATGACCGACTCCGTCACATACGGCTTCACGAACAAGTCAACGAACTCCCAGACCCCAATTATGCCACTCTCAAATTCTTCATGGCTCACCTGGACAAGATACGGAGACACGAAAGCGTGAACCAGATGTCGGTCTCCAACCTCAGTATTGTCTTTGGTCCAACGTTGTTGGGTGCGCCACCAGAAGAGGGCGGGTTGAATTTGGAACACATGAGCTTCCAGTGCAAGGTGAGCAGTCGAGTAGCCGGGTGTGCAGAGGACTTGACTGATGTCACTCAACAGGCGATTGAGACCATTTTGAACAAATATCAGGAGATATTCGTAGAGGAAGATGATGATGGAGGGCGATAGGGCTCGACATGCTGCTCTTTGTTTTACGCCGATATCTAGATGACAATTCACGAGACAATCTTATCTCCTTTTTCCTTACTGGGTAACTCTTCATCGTTCGTAGTTGTGTGGGGATATATTCGCGCGATTTTGCGTTGGTTTGACACAATTTGTGCCAGACCGTATTTTTATGGATCTTATCATGTCTCTTGGCTTTGCACAGCTCAGCTGCAATTCGCTCGCGTGTGCTTTTGTTATCGCTCGCTCCATTGATACCATGCTTTCATGCCCTAAAAGATTGTGCCTAGAAAGCGAAGAACCAAAGATGCGTCAAGACCGAACCAAGCCTCGGAGCTTAAGGCTTGAGAGAGGCGGGGAAGGTACCGGCCTCAATTTGCTCGTCCCACTTGCCGACCCACTCGTCTGCGAAAAGTGTCAGCGCTGATTTGTCGAACGCTCTTAAACCCCGTTGATCGCCTGCGTGGACCCGCGATCTCACGACCCCCTGCCCGCTTTACGCGTCTCCTGCGTCTCCTCGCGTTCCACGCTTCGCTCTCCTCTTGTGAATTGAATAGTAAACTTACTGGGGCAAAGCGACCTGTAAGCCTTCTTAAACTGCTGGCAAGGAGCAAACTCCTCGCCCTTGGCGTTGACACACTTGTGGTAGTCAACAAAGTTCTGCCAGCAGTGCTTGGTCTGGTTCTGATTGGGGAATCGGGCGCTGGGATCCTCATCAGCAAGAATACTCTTTGGTTCACAGCGTTAGAGACGTACTCGAAGCCGGTAGTCTGGAGCTAAAGCAGCAAATTCAAAGATCAGCGAGCCGTCCCGATGTAGCCGATTGCCCTGCTCCTGTTACTGGACACCGCCCCTATGCACCTCCATCCTCTCCGGCGGCTCTTGTCCGTATCCTCGTAATACTGGTCTGCCGTTGATGACCCCTCCCTGCCCTCGGACCATCTCTCTTGTACGTCAAAAACTCACAACGTAGGTGCTAAGCACAAATAGGACAAGTCAGCGGTCACCCAGCCTTGCTCCCCGTGTGCACTCACTTTTCTTCCTCGGCCATGTTGGACGGTGTGGTGGTGGGTGAGCGGTGAGTAGGGGGATGGGATGGAGACGAGAGATGAGAGATATGCCTCCATTGGTTGGCCCGTCCCTGGCACAGAGCAGCCAACGGGATTATTTTCGGGTGCGGCCGGAGTTTTCGCAGGGCGTGGCGGTTTCAGTTCGCTGGTGGTAGAGCTCCGTATGCATGCATGGGTAACAACAGGGCGCCCGGGGTAGCCCAGCGTGCATGCATGTGCTGCCAGAGGGCCCGGCCTTGGCTGCTCGGAACGTCGTCTAGGAGGTCTATGGCCTGGTGTTCGGGGCAATTTGGTTCCGCACGTTGCAGCTGTGGTCAATTAATCACTGGGCATATCATCAATACAAGTCACTTCATACAGCAACAGGCAAACGGATACAGCTACAATGTCCCGCCAACTAGACAACCTCAACCCCACCATCTTCGCCCCCACCACGGCTTCCACCTCGAGCCGCAGGCCACCAAAGACCGGCAAGACCAACCTCTGGGCGCCTGAAGCCGTCATACAAGACAGTGTGACCGAGGACTGGCTGAGCGGGGGAGACAGAGACATTGGAAGCTCTGGGACTGAAAGCGAAGGAGAGGAAAGAGAGGAAATCGATGCAGAAGAGGTTTATGGTAGGTAGACCTTCAACTGAATGGTATCAGGTGCTGACAAGTGGCGAAAGATCTCCTGAGATCTATAACAGATCCTGAGCACCCGGTGTCTCTTGAACAACTACGTGTGGTGAACCAAGAGGACATACAAGTTGCTGGAAACCGGGTACTCGTCTTTCTGACGCCTACTATACCTCACTGCTCAATGTCTACTCTCATCGGTCCGTCTCTTTGTCATGTGATAACGCAAGCTGACCATCGCTGAAGGATTGTCGCTCAGAGTAAGACTTCTCCGTGCCCTTCCCCCGCGATATCGAGTCGATATCCGCATAAAATCTGGAACGCATCAGTCGGAGCATGCTGTGAACAAGCAGCTGAATGACAAGGAAAGAGTGCAAGCTGCTTTGGAGAACAAGCATTTGCTCAGCGTCGTGGAGGGTTGTCTGGCCACTGCTGGCAAACGGGGAGAGTAAACGTCTGGTATCTAATACCCCAGAGGGTCTGTAACATAGTATCTGTATCTGTAGGGCTTGCCAGATCGGGATCTGGGTGACATGGTGCAGATATCGTGAATGCCGACACTTGTAATCCGAGGCAATGCATCATTATCATGAACAGTCCAAGACGTTAATCATCAATATCGTGAAGCGGATCAGATTGATCCTCCCTTGTCCTCCTGCCTTGCAGCTGCTTGCCGCAGTTGTATCGCACTTCTCACATCGCTCACTTCCTTCGCTACACTTTCCACCCATTTGCCAACAGCCTTTTCAAGCATTTCCTCCCAACCTTCGAGCTTCTTGGCAATCACCATAGGGTCAAAATCGATTCGAGGCACATCCTTTCCCTTCCCAGCCGGTGCCGAAGGCAGTGATACTCGGTGAACTGAGGTAGCCCTCTCGCAAGCTACAAGAGACGGCTCCTGCTCCGTCCGGATAGCTTTAGTCTCCTTTTCGGGGCGGGGTAGAGCCACAGGTCTTTTGGGTTGCAGAAAGGTCGATGTATTGGCCGATGGCATCACGATAGGAAGTTGGAAGCGGTGTCTCAAAGCCCTACGATCGGATCAGTACCATACCGGTCCAAGAGACCACAAACTTACGCAGCAAAGCAGGTCAAATTGCCTACCCTTCTGAATGTCCACTCCTTGTCCCTTTTGACGTCTTCATTGGTGGGATTTGCTGTACCACTCTCGTCCGAGCCCCCAGAATTCAACGTAGCGTGTACGTCTTCCTCGGGTATGAAACCCCATGGCTTGGAGGATTTTAATAGAGAGGTATTGTAAGCCTCTATAAGTATGTAGCCATCACTGACCAAAATCAGTACCGCGTCGCATTGAACGGTTGCCACTCACGATAGGACAGAGAGGAAATTCGTTGCAAAATCCGAGCTCTGAGGAGGGGGGAGGCGGAGAGCCAGATCTAGGGAGAGGTTTGCAAGTAGGAACGCATGCAGTCGCTCTTGACACAGCCGTTAGCGCTGATATACAAGCAGATACTCGTGGTGCTGACCTAAAACCCTGCCATCCCAGCCTTCCTTGGACCACCCTTCTTCCTGGCCAACATTTTCTCCCTTCCCTTCCACAACGAAGAGCTTTTCCACTACCCCCACCCATTTGCCGACACCTTCCCGAGTATCCCTCGCCACCTTTTCCCACTCTGTTCCTTCCAGCACCCTGTACTCCCTGCCCTCGGACGCAATACGTTCCTCCCAAGGCTGCGACGAGAGAGACATCTCTTGAGATTGCGCGAGTACGTTCAGGTTATAGGAGTCCGAGTCGTAGTCACTGTCAAGAGAGTCTGGCTCAGAGTAGACGATGGACTGGTCCAGCGACGGGCCCTGAAGTTCAGCCTCTCCCACTCGAAGGTTTTCTTCAAGTACGCGAAGAGTATTGAGTACCTCCAGCGCGGCTTTGCGCAAGTCGGCGAGACGGTCATCCCCCGGACGACTCATGCTCGAGGTCGAACGCCGGTTGACAGGGCCCGAGACAGCTCGCGGAAGAGGCAGAGAAGGCCGGGAGGGTGTGGAGAAGCGGGGCCGAAGTTTGCTGCTGGGGACTGGCAGTAGAGAGCCATGAGTCAACGTGCGCTGGCCTTGGTTGTGGTGCGACACTGAGAGCGCAAGGAATCGAATCCGGCGGATAGACCTCGCAGTTGTGACAAGAGCTGAGTGAATATCGTCAGACGTCCGTGGAGCCGGTTCTTCGCCTTGAACAATGCTCAGGTCAAAGTAGAGGGACTTTGAAGTGGACAGAGCCTGATGGTTGGGTGATGTAGGTGACAGAGGAGCCGACAAGCCCCAAATCTCTCGTATGGCCCTGATGATATCCTGGGCTTCTTGCCGGGCAGCTTCGGGGTCTACTCGAGGCAAGTCCACCTCTTTCCAAGGCTTGCGCTCTTTTCTTTCCTTGCCTTTCTCCACACCCAGCTTCGGGTGGTCAGCCTCTTCCTCTCCATCCTCTCCGAGACTTCCGAGGCCACCGGGAGATTTGACGCCGGCGCCAGCTCCAGCCTTGTGGGATACTCCGACCTGGGAGAATTGGAGACGGAGGTCTTGAATGGACCCCAGCAGCTGGACCGACTCGCGCTTTGCCGCCGAGCGCGAGACATGGCGGTACTTGGGATTTTTGAGGGGCGGGAGCGGTGGCTGGGAATTCTCCTGCTCCATGGCGTTCGAGGAGCGAGAATGATTTTGGAGCTGTGTCTTCTTCTTTGTGGCAACGCGACGTGTATCATTTACGTAAGTGCATGGCCGGCGGGCGGATTTGCACGTCGGACGCACGGCACTCGCACGTTGACACAGGATACATACTGCAGCGGGAGGGTATTAAAGGCGGGTGAAATGCAGTTCACATCTTCCCTCTGCATCTCATCCTGCCTCTCCCAACTTTCACCATGGACACACTCGCTTCCCCTGCGTACCCTTTCGCTACCATGCCTCGTTTCTTCATACTGCCCTCCGTCCTCACTGTCCTCTACTCACTCGTCGCTGTCTCGCTTCTTTCCGCCGGACTCTACATTTACCTCTACCCCTACCGCCTTTTCAGGCTATCTTTCCGAAACCTTCCTGGTAAGCCTGGATTCCCTATAGACTCGCCATCAGCTCACCATCATATCAGGACCTGAGCCCGGCCACTGGTTCTGGGGTCATACCCAGACCCTCATCGCCCAGCAGCCCAACGCCATGCACACCGTTTGGACCAACAAGCATGGACCTACGATTCGCTACCCCATTTTCCTCGGAATCCAGCGCTTCCTTACAATCGACCCCTCCGCCCTCAACTACATTCTCACGCACCCGGAAAGCTTTGAAAAGCCCTCAGAGACCCGCGGTGAATTGACGACCATGTTGGGGAACGGTCTCTTGGTCGCGGAAGGCAGCGACCACAAGAAGCAGAGAAAGGCATTGGGTCCGAGTTTCAGCCCTGCTGCTATCCGAGGCATGATCCCGGCGTTCTATGACAAGGCATACGAGTCGAACAACAAGTTGATGGGGCTCGTTGAAGGAGCCGACACTGAGGTGGCATCGCCGACCCCGGCCAAGGATATCGACTTTGTTCCAGGAGGAAAGAAGATTGACGTGATGAGCTATCTCAGCAAGACTGCTTTGGATATCATTGGAACGTGCGGATTCGCGTACGACTTTAAGGCTTTGTCGGAACCATCCAACGAACTCTCGGATGCTTACAGGAACATGTTTATGGCGGTCATGGATGTTAGAGTCTGGGATTTCATTGTTTCCAAGATTCCAATCATCAGGAGCTTTGTGAGTATCGTGTCTATGTTGACGGATGACTCTGACCCAACGTGTAGCCCACCAAGAGGTCCAAGGTCGTTGCCGCAAGCAAAAAGCTCACCCGCAGTATCGGAATGGTACGTGCAGCTTTGCGATAATGATGTCGCTGACGTCCTACTAGAGTCTTCTCCGCGAAAAGAAAGACATCGTCATGGGCGCTCATGGCGGTGACTTGGAGAAAAAGGCTGATATCGGCAAGGACTTGATCTCGATCCTGGGTAGGCATACATACGTCAAATGTAGACAAAGACTGACATACTCTTTAGTCAAGGCCAACATGGCAGCAGGACTCAAGCCCGAGCAGAGGCTCTCGGACGAAGAAGTGCTTGACCAGATTACCACTTTCGTGAGTCTATCCCACCGGGAATGATCTTGGCTGACTTGATCCGAAGATGCTCGCCGGAAACGAAACGACATCTACCGGTCTTACCTGGATTCTATATAATCTGTCGCAGAACCAGGATGTGCAAGAGAAACTTCGCCAAGAGGTCCAATCAGTCTCGGAGGATCGCCCTTCGCTGTAAGGTATTCTGTTGTCTGTGTATCGCAAGCTGACGGTGTTCCCAGCGACACCCTGAACACCCTTCCTTACATGGAGGCCGTCGTTCACGAATCTCTCCGCATCTCTCCTCCCGCCTCCTTCACCTTGCGCGAAGCCACACAAGACGCGATCCTTCCGCTTGCCAACCCCGTCACCGGAAACGACGGCAAGGTGATGCACGAGGTGGCTATCGACAAGGGAACCTCCATCTTTATTCGTGAGTGCAGCCACATCACATGGGGCAACTCTAACGGACGATAGCCGTCATCACGGTCAACACTAGCCCGTCTATCTGGGGCGACGACGCTGCCAAATTCATCCCTGAGCGATGGCTTTCTTCTTCCAAAGATGGCTTCCAGCCTGGCCCTGTCCCTGGAGTCTGGGGCAATACGCTCACATTCCTTGGCGGCGGCCGAAACTGTATCGGGTACAGGTTTGCGTTGGCAGAGATCAAGGTCATTCTCTTTGTGTTGATGCGCAGTCTCATGTTTGAGGAGCTCAAGAGCAAGCCGGTTATCTCAAAGAAGACTGGGTGAGTGTCATGATGCTGAGTCGAGGGTGCCGCTAATAGCCGTGCTAGGATTGTCATGCGCTGCTCGATCGAAGGCGAAGAGGAGGCCGGTCTGCAGATGCCCCTCATGGTCCGCCCTGTGGCCGCCTGATCTACCCACAGCTCGATAATAGTGGCCTCAGCGGTCTGTATTATTTTAGAGTTGTGACATATTTCGAACCAAACGATAGTTTCTCAGCAAAACTTGGCTGGCTGGCTGGGGATTGTAGTAATCAACAAGTATGCATCGCCTAATAAGCCTTCCATTACACGGCCTCCACGGCGCAAGGCCCGCAAGGCCTACTGTGCTCAGCTGGACATGTCCTGCTCGCTGATATGCAGATTATCACTGGCCTCTGGCCTCTGCTTCCTGGATCTTTTGATGCACAAGGCCGGCAAGGGGACAGAGATAAGGTTGGGCCAATGGCCGAGCGGGCATTGGACGGGTGACCGCCTGGTAGTAACTGGTTAACGTCACCTCTCCCATTCACTTCTCCCGCTACCAAAATGCAGGTATCGTCATAGGCAGCGCAACACATAAGAGACAGCACGTAGGACGCAGAAGGACGACGCCCCTGCGACTCTCAAACCATACTCGACACCACCATGCCTCTCCCATCTCTCTTCGGGGCGCTCTTCCCCGCCTTCCACCTCCACTCCTGGGTCCACATCGCACTCTCCCTCCTCGCCCTCCTCGCTGCCACCCTCTTCGCCACCTACCTCTA